TATTCACATTTGGGTATCCACATTTATATATACATAAATGTGGATACCCAAATGTGAATACCCAAAAAGTGGATACACCAAAACAACTCAAATTGCTCAGCTTTTCAAAACATACATATATATATATAAATGTGGATACCCAAAAAGTGGATACACCAAAACAACTCAAATTGCTCAGCTTTTCAAAACATATATATATATATATAAATGTGGATACCCAAATGTGGATACCCAAATGTGGATACCCAAAAAGTGGATACACCAAATGTGAATACCCAAATTCGGATACCCAAAAAGTGGATACACCAAATGTGAATAGTGTAGTGTGTTTGTGCTAATAAGTCGTTACCGGGTGTAAGGATATTATGACATCACTCGCAATCATTGGCGCATTCTGAGCATGAATTGATTGATCATGCCTGGCAAGCTGTACTCAATAATACAAAACAGCATTTGCATGAGTGACCACTTGATGCAGTTGTTATAACTTCAAATAATAAAATGAATAACATCAAAAATGGTTCTACCTTCATTATAGTGTATTGTTTGAATTTTTTCGTTGATTTATTTTCAAAATGAGTTAGAAAACGACATTCATACATCGATCACTATGAAAATATTCACTATCACTTATACTTCTATGAAAAGCATGACTAGAGCGGAAAAAATCTAATGCAATTCGCAGCTGAGAAAAAAATCACTTTCCTTTCTTTCTTATGGTTATTGCACGTTGCAATTTTTCAGTGCATTTCTGTGTATCAAAAATATATTCAGAATACAGTTGTTAAACACAAAAAAAAACAGTAAGTTTTTGAAAAATAGATACAGATAATCGCGTCTGTTAGGATGTGGATGTGTCTTTTCTCTTAACCCACCATCAAGTTGTGTCTATCTTCTCTATCTGGATGATAGATGTTGTTTTACAAAAAATGTTGTCGTAGTTTTTAGCCTTCGGTAGCTAACTCTGTCAGCCACATCATCGACTTGTCTATACCATGTGCAATATATATCAACAACTAATGGATAGTTAAACTATCAACTCGACAGAAACGAATATATTGTCAGAAAAAGATAGTTCTCTTTCAGTAACACATCTATTTAATCTCTATCTCTCGAATGTCATATGGCTGCTTTCTTTCATTTTCAGTGAAACAAAATCATGCTACGATTATTACTTCTCTGCATCTTGTCTCTAGTGTCGTGCCAAACACCAGTAAAAAGATATTATATCCGTAAAGATTATTTTCATGGTCTCAAACCAGGTGAGTTTACGGTTTACAATCCAACAGGCGAAACTACTTACTATAGAATCGAATCTCACTATGGAATTTTACACTCGCTTGAACTTATTTCCTATCCATCGAAAATAGTCGTAGGCAAACTTAAGGCAAAACTAAGCCTGCTACTCTATAAAGCAGAATTGGATATTTTCGACAATAAGTCTCAACGATGGATTAATGGAAAGATCGATGCAAATTTTCAATTATTCGAAAGTAGATTTACGATTCAATGGAATGGTCGACGTTTAATCATGGTATCCGATGCATTCTCACTAATAACACGTTTTTATGACGAGCAACAGCCTAATATTATCCTTGCTAAATTCAGAAAACGATTCGAATCCTATTTGCTTGTCAATAAATTCGACATGGAAATATTCGTTAATGATTTACCGGATAGTATCTTTTTGTTGGGTCTAGCTGTCAAAGATCGTAACCGCCGGACACATCGAAAAAATTAATACTAAAAACACTATATAATTATTATTCGAATCGCTGTATTGTATTTGAATATTCTCTCTTGCTCGATCATTGCTTTGAATATTTTATTTTATCCAACGATTAGGTCAGAACAAATTGCATTATGTGCTGTTACTTTTTTCCTTCGTTTTCTTCTTCTGGAAAATATGTACCTACATATAAAAAGAGAGAATTTCAAGTCATGCGAAACAATCGATTTTTTTCAAATAAATTTTTCTCATCAGTGTCTACTTGCCAAGATTAAAATCTATTAAAAAATTCAACTGCGTCGATGAATAACAAATTTACGAAATTTCTAAGTAATGGCTAAGTTGAAATTTAAAACAATTTATATTTCTTTGCATATTTCAGAATTTAAGGTGAAATATTACTACGAAACAGTTTCTAAGAAAAACGAGAATGCATCCTATTCCGCAATGTTGAACACTTCGGAACCAATTCCAAGGAATACCGGGAAATCTGGGAATTATGTTCAATAGGAATTACACGGATCTTCTGGGTTTTGGTCGAAATGAAGTCGCATGGATTTCCGTGTGATTCCGTAGTTTAGGGTTAACCGTGTTGTGATAATTTTTCGGAACGACGTGTCGAATAGTAGAGAACATTTAGTGACAAATCAAACCGTTCATCATCAGAAGGGTATCCGGGCCGATAAACTCAGATCCACAGCCGCACTAAAGCCAACATTTTATCAAACTTTGTTTATACAAGAATGAAAAAGAAAATATAATGAAAGTTTGAAGTGTCGATACTTTCAAAAACGATGCAGTGAACAAATTGAGAATATTTTGTCAGAATCAAAAGCAAAACAGCTAGACCATCTTCAAATAATCTTATATATTCAATGTTTAATTAAATAATTGAATCAATTGATAATTTAAAACCCACTTGCAGTATCATTACACCCACAGTCGATGAATGTGGATGTGACTATAGGAGTGTCACAATCCATTCTCAAGAAACGGAAACGGAAACGCAACGCCACTAATGTGGTGGTGGTTCTTGATTCGGAATAAGAAAACACACCCAATCATCCCCTCAGCAGCATCAGCTCTTGTCGAAATTATCATTGAACGCCAAACAACTTATTTCAGGGATTTGAATAATGAAAAACAAAATTTGAATAAAAAACTGAAGCCTATTTATATTGTCTGAAATAACTTGCAACCCGTAATAATATATTAAATGAGTTATTCCTGAGATCAATTATGGAACGACTTCAGGAAGAACTTTGGTTTCTCGGCTATCAGATTGTCGTTAGAGCCAATATTGAGCTATTAGAAAAGTAAGACAGTGTAATGAACCAAATTAGGTATTTTATGCGGTCATGCACTGTGGTTTTAGAAAAAAAGCAGCTGCATTTTGAAAGTAAAGAGTGATTGAGAGAAAATATTTTAATTTCTGTCGCTGAAATGGCAATCATTAGTTCAGGTTATTTATAATACTATCTAAATACTGCTGATTTTCAATCACATATGGAGTTGTTGGTAGTAAAGAACTGCGATAGATCTTATCAGCTTTCGTGAAATAATCCAATGCCAGCTCTATTTTGCCAAGATCCACATAAACTCGTCCAAAGCGATGATAGAGAAGTGCCAAATCTTGATGCATTTCTGTTTCTGATTTCATAAAGATTTCTAAACTTCTTTGGAAATATGTTAGAGCACTTTGGTGATCTTTTCTGTTAAAGTAAACAAATCCAATATTTTCAATAGTTCGAGCGATCGAATAATGATTCGGCGGTAACCATTTTTCTCGAATTTCCAATGCACGGCTCAGATAAGTTAATGCATCTTCATAATTTGATTGGTCTGTATACAGAATACCTATATTGTAATAAATCATGGCAACATCAACACTTTCTAACCCAAAAACCATTTCATTTATTTTTAGAGACTTATTATAATAATCTAATGCTTTTTCATATTCTTTTTTATCTGCAAATGCATTAGCGAACCAATTATAACAGATGGATAGTTCTTCATGGCTATTCGGGATCATCAAATGTATGTTCAAGGCTTTTTCATGATAGCTGATAGCTAAATTATAATCACCTAAATAGTGTGCAGCTGTACCGAGACCAGTGTAGCAACTGGCAATCGTCTTTGCGTTTTTCTCATCAATGTTTCCTAATTCATCTAGTTGGCGCTGATAATATTTTTCTGCTTGCCGATATTCACCCATATCGGTCAATAAATGTGCAATGGCAATAAATTTTGGTTTATATTTAGTTATTTTGTCGTTCAAGTAACTGACCAGTTGCTCTAATTGATGTTCTTTTGAGCTGCATAACAGTAGATTTATTGTCCAAGAGCCAGTGCCTCTATCATCGGCAACTTTCGTTACTTTTTCAATTTTAAACACAGAACCGATCATAAATAAAACTTCTTTTTCTGTTTGGAAATAACTTTGAGATGATATATCAGCAAACGGTTTAACGTTTCGTGATGAGGATGGATCAATCTCAATATCGAATAATACAGGTTTTAAAGCGTTTTCTACCGGAGCGCTGACAGATGTAGCTGCTGATTCGATTAGAAACAATGCCAGGTCTCTATCGACTGTTGTGGAGAGAAATCTGTTCATGGAAATATAACTGCTAGTTGAACTTTGTATTCGTTCAAGTTCAGTGTTGGACATTAGTTGACCACGATAAACGCGAGTTATTTTAGACAAATTGCGTAATGCTGCATCTTCTTTTAGATTTTGCAACTGATTACATAGATCATTAATAAACGTTCTAAATGCTATTAATGTTTCTAGATTTTGACAACGCAAAGCTTTGTTTAATATTTTATATAAAAAAATTTCACGACTATACCAAAAGACAGCTCTTGTGTAAGTGTAGTTTTGCTGAAATTCATTAATTACTTCTAATTGACTAGTGTTATCCATGTATATTTCTTTACAAAAATTGACGAGCTCCAAGAAATCTGTTGCTGTGTGTTCCATTCGAAGGAATACTTCAATAAAAAGTTGAAACCAAAGAAAGTTTCCGTTTAGACTGGTAGATGAGTTTTCTTTAGCTAGTGACGAACCAACAGCATTGACATCATAAATATTCATGGGCAAGGACATAACATCTTCTAATTTTTCCAACTCTTGCTGATCAAGTTTTACCAAACAGATTAGTTCATCCTGATCAGATATAACTGCCCTTATCTACGAACAAGTAAAATAAACTACTCTATACGTTTCTACATTTCATGAATATTTTCTACTCACTTTTTGATTAACTTTTACGAATGTTTCTTTGAAGTCTACTGTGATCATTTCACTAAAGATATACACATATACTAACCGAGAAACGTTATTGCTTCGTTCGATAACTCCTTGCCACTCTCTCTCAAACCCACCAGAAATGATCAAAACAATTTTATCGCTACCATGATCTTTTTGTAACCAATCATCAAGTTTTGAAATATCATTAAATGTAATAATACGATTGATAGCCTGCCTAAGTTTCTTTTGAACAAAATGAATATCGTTCGTGGCAATATTGATATTGAACTCCAGCCATATCAGAGTAAATGTTTCCAAATTTCTTCTATTATCTACCTCGACGGGTGAAATAAAAGGCGTAAAGTAATCTGGAGCCGTGCAGGGCATTTTTGTTGAGAGTGAACATAGATTTTCTCTGTATTCGCCGGTATTCTGATTGTTTGCCATTATTTTTGAATCCGTATATGCGCTCAAATTTTATAGTTTTTAAGTATTTGGATGTGTTTTTGCTAAAGCACTTCCGTAAAAATATTTAATTAATACGAATATTTACTTAATCGTATAAAGGGAAAATATATCAGTTCCTTTTTTTCCTCTTTTCCTTTCGAGAGTAAGAAGTAAAAAATGAATGATACACTGTATACTGTTTTCGTTGGGACTAAACCATATGGAGTGGCAAAACGCTTTTTTTTACTTAACAAGCGTGTTCTTTTCTCACCAAGCCTTATTCTTTCTACTTAAACGACCGTCGTAAGCGGAGTCAGTAATCATCGTTCGTTAGATCTTTCGTTTACTGTAGAACGAAAGAAAAAAATATTTTTTCACGCATACGTATATGCACCTGTATACGTATGCAACTATTGCTCATTTTATGAAAAAAATTCTATACTTGTACAAATCTAGAGGTGTACGCCAAACGGTTGAGTCACTAGCTGTCACTGATCAAAGCACTAATCTACGCCTTTATGTATAAATATATGTATCTAAGGATCACGTAGTCCTAGGAGGAAGTGTTGAGAATATATGGCACTAGATTATTCTAGGGAAGGAGGAAGTCAAAATAAACAAAAGCTTGATTACTTAACGCTTGAATAATCTCTAGCATATAATCAAGTCATCAATAGTATACGTTCTAGCGCATAGTAAAGAATATCATCTTTTGTTTCATTTATTACCCAAGACTATTGGCAATAAACATTATAATGCAGGTAATTCAAGGGAGAAAGTGGTACTTCTATACTTCCGTAATTCACCTACTTCCATTGTATTCGTATCGTACTGCGAAGTGCGGAAGTCGCGTTTTCCCCCTTTGATAAGATGTCATGCAATAAGTCGAATGAATCGACTGATCTTTTGGGAATTCTACAGGGTTTTCTTGTCGCAATCTCTCTTTGTGATGAAAAATTTCTTGCAATTAATGATGAGATACAAACGGTTAATCATTCACTATTTATTCTCCGTTGTTTCACCCTCCCTTTTCAAATATCTATGTTCATTTGGTAATTGATCAGCATAAAATTGACATCTGAAAACGTTTTTATTTCAAAAATCGATCGTAACATAAGATGAAATGAGTGAAATAAGAAGAAAAAAAGAGCCAATTAAAATAAATAAGTTTATGGAGCTATTGTAGGAAAAGCTGTAATACGAAGACGAGCTGCACCCATCGGTATTAGTTTAATCAATTCGTCAGGTTCAGAACTTGCAACTGGAGACTGTGGTAGAAGTCCGACTACATTTTGATCATCTGCTATCCAACTAGGAATACGTCGAGCACGAACTTCAAGCTGCAGAGGTACATTCGTACGGATGAATGGATTAAGACGGTCATTTTTTTTCTTTTGACGCTCAATAATTAAGTCATGATCATTTGTCAAAATTAAACCGTAATTCCAATACGATTTAGGTAATACTTCATATTCTGGCCAATCATATTGACCTCCAATACGATTCCATTCTTCGTTAATATCTAATGAAAATGAAAGAGGTCCATAGGAAAGTGAAACTGAATTATGATTCTTGAACCACGTTTTCATTTCAACTGCCATAGGTATTTTAAATGTTAAAACATCATCGTTAGTCCAAATTCGGTCTAAAACTAGAAAAGAATTCTCGGCTTGTATTTGTTCATTGAAAATCATTTCCCCATTAATGGATAGTTCAATCGATTGTTGACACCATTGAGGAATACGTAAATAAAGATTAAATTGTGTCGGTATTGATATTTGAAAACGAAAATTAATTGTATCATCAAATGGATATTCAGTTTCTTCAATAATAGTTACCTGAGTTCCACTATCTGAACCGACAGTAGCCGTTACTTCAGATGCAGAATACATGGATGCACATAAACCATTATCCCATGTAGCTAACCATATTTCTTCCGAATAGTAAGGCCAACCAAATCCGTAATTATGTGCACAACAGCGATACTGATAGACACCAGGCATAAATGCTAACATTGGAAAAAGATTTTGAAATTGTCCTTTTGTTTTTAGTTTATTGTCCAATTGAATGGAATTCGGACAAGTTATATAATGAGTAGAACGAGCTAAAAATGGATCAAGTGCAGCTGGTAGAGAATTAAACGCTAATATTTCACATTGATCAGCCCATTTTCCGTCTCCGGTCAATCGAGTAAGTATAGAAAAGCTATGCATAAATTCAACAATACCACATGTTTCAAAACCTTGTCGTGGATCCGAAAAACCTTGACGACAATTTTCATCACCAGCAAAGCCTCCACCTGGAAATTGTCCGAATTCATTCATGACCTGTTCATAGTTGTTATAAGTTGCTCGAATAAAACTTGGATCACTAGGATTAACAACAACTGAATAAAGAGCTGGTTCACGAAATCCTTGTGCAATATTAACATTATGTCTTGTTGGAAGACTGTCCACCCAATTAGCTGCATTTGAATGAATCCTATGAATAAGATCGAGTAGCCAATCAGTATTATTTGTCCGATTAAATAGCCAAATAATCGAATCAATATTATCTGACCATCGAGTATAAGCCCAACCATGTTTAAATACATCATTTGATTGATTGTTAACAAGTTGAAAATATTTAAGAAGAAATTCAATAACGCGATTATCATTTGAATATTCGTAGTACGATCGTAATACATTTATCAATATCATAGCCGGCCACAAATCAGGTTTACCTTCAAGTGAGTGTCGGAGAATATCTGGACCAAACCAACCATCCGGTTGTTGACTATTTAGAATACCATCGATCCAGTGTTGTACTAATTTCAAAGCATCACTATCACCTGTTACAAAAGCAAGATCAGCAAAACCACGCAACCAATAGGGCATTTCTTCCCAACCTAACTTTTTTGAATCTATCCAACCACATTGATCATAGATTAAATAATCCGATATATCAGTTAATCGCCCGTTGAGGCCAGTCAATTGTGTATTTAATTGAATTTTTAGCCAACCGTCCGGACGAATCGAGCCGGGTGGTAATTTTTGAAATGGACATGGCTGCAGTGGCAATCGATTAGGATAATAATGACCCGGATTTATCGATGTCGTTGGATGAACTCGATCGAGAACACAAATATTCATCTAAAAGTGAAAAAAAACGTCTTTTTGTTAATATACAAAGAGTTAATTTTGATGCCGAATAATATAACTTCTGAGAAATAAACTTCAACCTTTCTAAACGAAAATTTTGAACAGATAAACTGTTGCTTGATCGACCGATGGTGCTAGAGTAGTTGACCATCGCACTACTCTATGGTTGGAAAATATGATAGATTGCTCATAAAGCTAATGCTGTTTGTAGTGCATCTTTTTATGAACATACTTCAGTTAAAGGATTGATAAGTATATGAGTAAGTTTTGATAGCATGAATTCAAAAACGAATGAATTCAGCTAAACATGGAGATAATAATATTGACGAAGAACGAATTCTCTTTATCTCACTGTTTTTATTTTATCTCATACTTCTTTTTTTCCTTTGTTTTTTAGGCCGTTATACTTTTTGAAAAATGCCTGAGCAAGTGATGATCGCTGTTTATTTGACTCTTATATCAACAGATTTTATGAACATGAATCTTTATTGTTTAACGTCATTTTTCATACAAAATCGAAAGAAATTTTGGTCGTGGGTGTGGTGATAAAGATGAGGCATGTGCTAACAACACACTAAAAAGATGTTGATTCGAGTAATAAAAGAGAAGAAGCTATATTCGTGAGTATTTTTAAGAATTTAGAGCTAAGAACGACCAGAAAAAAGCAAAACTGATATTTATCATCTACTAGATAGAAGAGCCATAGAAGAAAAAATTAGGTGTGGTTTGAATTAAGATGCAACGCCCATACCCTTAGGCTAAAAACTGTGGAGCGCATATTTTTATGCACTCACAACAAAATTTTCATTCTTATTATATTCACAGGTAGAAAACCATATAGAAGGAAAATTTGGTGCGACTTCAAATAAATATGCCTCCTTTTTTTACTGAGTAAATATTGCTTCTATTATGTTTTATAGTAGCTTTTTCCTAGTGGGCAAAAGAAAGAATCGAATAAGTTATCTTTCAGCTATTAAAGAGTCGGCAGACAACATCAATTTTTTTATTATACTATAGAAAAAGTTTGGTTAAACCTGTTTTAGCATGAAAATTGATATTGATTTCATGAAAGCTCCATATGTTTCATCAAATGTAAGTTTTAAGCTATTATTATAAGAATAAATACTTTCAAAGGAGCTTTAGTCTTTTCATGATGAGTAGTTAGGTAGATTTTTTTCAATTTCAACTTCAAATTATGTGAATGAGTTGAAAGTTTTCAGCTTTCAACAGAGAAATTCTGTTGATATTTCTAAAACCAATTATAAAAAGAGTCTATGACTAAAAACTTATCCTGTTGACAGTCACTTGTTTCTTTCCATTTTATTCCTTAATTGTAGATTTTTAAATTCAGTGAATTTAAACCTGAAAATTTTCAAATATGAATGCTCTTTGGTCGTGGGTGTCTGGTAGTAAGGTAGTCATATCTGAAACTGCCAGTCTTTGTGGACGTGTATTTGATTCAGACGCTGGTGGAATGGCATTTTTCGATTCAGTTTTTATATATTTACTTCAATTCGATGAGTTCAACCAGACACATTATAAAAAGTTTCCTAATGATGTGAATCATATGTTACAATGTACAATCACTGATCTAACACATAAGAACCATCATGATCGATCACTAAAACGATTAGACGCCTATCTATACATGTACAGGCGAATTCAAGAGTATAACAAATGGGCAGTTATCGATAACAAATTACTGCAAGGCATGAAAAAGAGCATGCTTCAGTTATTAGTCTTAGCATTTATAACAACACGAGGCCAACAACCGAACCTTCTTGTAAAAGATAAAGACCAATTATTGACAATGAATATTCCTCAACATCTGTCATCAATTGTTACCATCGATAAGTTGAGTATACATCATTTTTTTGCTCTTAGTAAACTATCGATGCAAGCTGTACGATTCATCAACGATAACTATTATCGTCTTCAATGGATTGACATATTATCCAATGTGAAAACAATTGATATCACTTTAAAGCAATTTATTGAAGTGTATCTGAATTATCAGGAAGCATTTAAAGATTTTCCATTCGATACATCAGTACTCATTCATCTTATTCAACGAATGCATCCTTCAAAGCAAGTGCAAGAATCACCATTTAGAACCTTTCTACAATTGAATAAATCGCTAAATCTTGACGGAATACTATTTCTGAAGCGATTTCACTCGATATTTAGTGTTCATATTAAGAATAATTGGTATAGAATGGAAGATATTGCTGAATTATTCACGTGTTTTCAATCAGACGATCAGCTGTTTGATCAGTATTTTTCTCATTATTCATCAACTGCAAGCACAGATGATATTTGGAATATGTTTTTATATTTATATAAAACTGGTGCTATCAATAATGTTATTCTGAAGCATCTAATTCCAATATTGAACGAAAGAATTTTATCAACTAGTATCGTAAACTTTCAACGATACGCAAGATTAGCCAAAAATTGTTTAGGAGAAATTAAACTTGCATTTCAAACACATTTTATCAATTTATTCGAGAATATCTTTGATGTTTATATTATCAAACAGATTGATAATTCTAACTGTTGGTATCAACTCTCTAAAACCGAATGGACAGATTTCTTACAAGTTGGTCTCGAAATATCATCCACAGATCTTTCTGGAAGACGTTCATGCTTACTTCTTCTTCGCAAGATTGTCTTTGAAGTTGAAAGTCTTAAGAAGCTCAACGCACAAAGACTGAAGGATCTATTTCGAAACTTGAAAGTTTTCGATGAGACCATATGTCGAAAATATGATCCAGAAAAAATCATAGATGATGATTGGCTAAAAGATTTTCTCATCACTAATTTACAAATTTGGTTAAAATTAGACCAAGAAACTTATAAATATATATGTGAGAATCACCAGAATAACTCTTGGGCAGTCTATATTTGGTCGCGAATTGTGCATTTAAGTCTTTCAAAAATGTTAAACAACAATCATATTGATATTCTTACTACAATTGATGATTGGATGAAAACAGTAAAATGTGATATTTATAATCCAACAGATATTTTCACAATTATTTTAATGAATCAATTATTTCAACTTATAATTGTAAAGTATTCTAAATCAATTTTATTCCTACCAAATGTTGTTACAATTATGAATTTCATCATATCTATGCGTGAAAATACGTCTGAAAGAATAGCCACTATTGAAATTAACAAATTCATCAGCAATTGTTTAGAGACTATTCATGAAATTTTTCAACTAAAAAGTAAGTTCACTTGAAATATGAAAATCTTCTTAAATTTCTTATCATTCATTACCTGTGAAAATTTTTTCTTCTAGGTAAATGTTCACTATATCGTGACTTGTTGACGGATTCAATTATTCGTTGTTTTATTCCATTGGCCGATCTGCACAGTGTATTTCGTACAGTTGACCGTCAACAATACAGATTTCCATTGACACGAGCAAATATTGATGATATTGTTGCTTTACAGAAACCTAACGACATTGATATTACTAACATTGCATCTAAAGAAGAATTTTTCTCAAGATTTATTCGACAAATAAATGAATGGTCTGTTTGGTTTGATCGATTCGTTGATATTTTTCAACATATTATCGACTGGTTAAAAGATCATAATGTTAATCGTTCGAGTCAATTATTGGTTGATATGTTAAAAATTCGTGATGATCCTAAAATGACTTTCATAGAAATGAGAATGATTATTGATGGGGCTTTAAAACTTTTACATCCATTTAAAGATCTTCGACGCCTTTGCCATTTATTTAATTGTTTAATTTCATTTCAAATCCTCAATCCAGGAAGCTTAAGTATTCAAAACAATACGCTTGGATTTTTAACAGAATTAAAACGTTTCCAACCCAACAATACATTTACTGTAGAAGCTAGAATGTCTAATGAAAAAATTGTCTCTATTAGTGATCGGCAACAAACTCAATGGTCATTGGCAAGTGAAAATTATCCATGTGATATAACTGTTGAATATAGAATTCATGGAGCAAATCATCAATGTGAAATATTATATCAAAAAAAAATGTTCCTATCCATAAAAATGTTCTTCATGGTCAATTTGAAAGTCAACGCAATGGTCAATTATTAATCATAGTTGACAATCAACATACTACGACTCCTCGTGTTATTTGGTATCGAATTAAATCAATTGGCTTATCTACTTGTCATTTATTTCATGGTATATTCAATATGCATTTTAATAAATATTACAAAGAAAATTCACAAAACATTTCTGAAATTGATTTTAGTAAACTACTTGACACGGTATTTATTTTTATAAATAAACTTCTAACTGGCGATATAAGTTTACGAGATATGACAGAATTACAAACTATTTTCAAAGATAAAAATATTAATATCCGAGAAGAAGTTAAAAAATTATTTATCAATCGTTCGAATGAGCAAAACAATATGCCGACTACTGTTACACAAGATCCAAATATTCAACCAAATGAAAAAGGTATTGAGCAAGTTTGCGACTGGTTACAAATCTATCAATATTATAGTCATCTTAATGTTATTATGGAATGTATTGAAAAATTCGATCTTCTACCATTAGATAATGAAGAAGCAAAAATTGGCCATTTGAAACGTTTGAGTGGCAATGAAAATTGTTCATTACGAGAAATAACTCAAGCTTATAGCATTTTACAAGAATGTTTTCAAAATTTAACTCATCAACATTTACAATTAATTAAAACAGCAGTCGAGTGTTTTAATGTTATTGAAATGATGAAGAAATCTGATCTTTATTCTACTAATGGGCAACGTCGTTTTCAAGAATTACGAGATAATTTAACAACACAATTTCAATTACAAGACTTTAATAATATGATACTTAACTCATGGATTATGACGTATTCGTTGATCGAACCATTTACTTTTAAAGCTAAAAGTTTCGATGATTTTATACTTCGCATTGGCCAAATATCGAATTTAGAAGAAAGTTCATTGAATCATATCAAAGGTAAGTCTCTTATGATGTAAATTCCCATTGAGATACGCACCAGTATCATGATACTGAAGCATATATTTCGATTAACTTAACTTCATGAATTTGAAAAACATCAATTAAATTATTCTACTTTCTAGTAATTAATGATAATATCCAAATTGTGACAATGTGGTTATCGGCCGAAGAAACAACCGTATTAGACAATGCTTTGATTACTATGGAGCATTTGTATAAAAGTGGAAGTTTTCGTGTTTATCTACGGCATTTAACAAGAAAGCCATCACATTATGAAGTTGGTTATGTGATTGAGCGTATTCAAAGTAGAGTAAAAAAAGCTCCAGGCAACGATGATCAACAAGAAGTGAACGATGAAATAATTCAAGCAAAGCAAATTCAATTTTTATTATCAATGCCAGATATTGATGATCATAAACGACAATTAACATTTTGTAATGTTGATGTTCAACAAAATTTAATCTATAAGAAAGCTTTAATTAATGGACAACTGAAATTATTACAAACAGTTGACAATATCTATCATATATTATCTAAATTAGAATTAGCTGGCCATCCTGATTATCAATTACGAGATGAATCCTATGATATACGTCTTCAACAAAGTAAGAAAATACCTTTTGTTTTTCTCCATCAAACGTGAAATACTTTTTTGATCTTTTTTTTACAGTTCAAACTGGTTCAATGTTAAACGATTTACGAAGTCATCAAAATGCTCGATTAGATAATGCCATTCAAGTTCGAATTCAAAATTTAGATTCCATATACAATACTTTGAAAGCTACACACGATAGATGGATACAAAATTTGGAAAAATATCGTCAAGATTGTCCACTATTGAAATTATTTTCGAATCGTGAAATAATGATACTAATTATTCTACTACAAACATCGAATTCGCCGAATTCTACACGAAATCGTCTATTGAAAAATTTATTTTCATTTAAAGATTTAAATAATCAAAATGACGAAGAAGACAAACTAGCTGTTCATTGTCTTCAACACTATCTTTATTCATTAAGAATTTCAGAAGAAAATTTAGCAATGAATTGTCTTACTCAATTTTATCAAACATATCGTATTGAAGCTCGTTCGAACAGTGATATATGTTTAAAAAAATGATCAGAATTTCTTCGAAATATATTTGAACATGACGGGAAAATATTTCAACAGCAACAAATACCTGAAGAAAATCGACAATATCTTGTTAGTATGAGTCGTACTACATCAAATTCAAATCAAGCATGTGTTTCAAATGATTTTGATTTGAATACTTGTTGCATTCTGTTAAATATTTTTCAAAATCAACTACCATCTGCCTATCAAATTCTTTGGTGTCCGAATGCAACACAAGATGATATTCATTTATTTTTTTCTCGCATAAGAACATTTCCTTCGCGCACTTTTGCTATTATGGATATTGATAAAATGCATCATCGTCTACGTGAAATACTTTTAAACGAACAAGATCAATTAACACAAGAACAAGAGATCCATGGAAAGGTGTTTTATTTTTCACGTGAAATAACTACTGCTCGAAAAGGTCTACGACTATATCCAATACCAGACAACTATCAAGATTCTACTCAAAGTTATCAACATTTACTGAATCTATTTAAACAATATCAAATTGTACCATCAAAAATTCAAATTATCAATGGTGCAGCGGGTATTGGTAAGTAAATCATTTTATAGTTGTTTGTTTTTTTTTCGTATTGAGAAAATATTTTATGATGATATTTAAGGTAAAACTCATCGTATCAACAATGAATACAAATCTGATAATACATCATGCTTTAGTATCAATGATAAATTAAATCTCTCATTATTAATCAGTTCATTTCTTCTATTTGATTCACAAACAGTTAACAATAGTCCATCAATTTTTTTCAATATATCTATACATGCACCATTCGAAATTTTAAATCGAACATTATTTTCTCTGTTTATTTGCGGGTGTCTAAATGATCCAGCTAGTGGTCTAATATTTTCTTTACCACATACACAATTATGGAAATTTATAATTGAAGTTCCCTATACAAATATTTCCGGTTTAGATGTTCGAGAAAATTTCTATCAAATTCTACCTATTCTTTCGGTTGTTTCTCCTTCGACATTAGAAGAAGTCACCGATGATAATTATAAATTATCAATTAATACAGAAGAAGAAGTTGTCGCTCGATTTTTGAAAGCATTAGAAAACCGAACTATCGACCGTATGGCAGAAGCAAAACGTGATGGCAATGATATAGCTGTTAGTTTCGATCAATTAACCGATGTTGATGAATGTCGCACATATATATATAATTGTATACGAAAATATGCTCCAGATTTACCGAGAAATAAAATCTATGAACTATCATTTACGAAATTTCTATATCGCCGTGTACGTTTCTTCGTAGGACCTTACTATTGTTGGAATCAAAACATTCAACGGCTAGGTAGTATTGCTATGGAACAGATGATAAACGAAGCAAACTCTTTAACACAGATCAATTTTCGTAATAGTTATTATCCTCGTGTTTATCTAGTTTATGATCCTGGATTTTCACTACATTTATTACATGGTGATTGGAATCATGTTTCACCAGATTTAAAGAGTCTTTTTAATAATAAAGATCCATTACAATCTATTGAATATAAAAATAAAGATTATTATGCTGAATGTTTAGCATGGTTAATTGATATTAAATATGAAACATTTATGAAAGTTATAAATGAAACAAAGTTTATTCTAACAGAAAATTTTGCTTATAAACTTTTTCATGTTCATGAACGCAAATTAACAAAGTTAGCTCTAATTATTGAAGGTGATACTGGTGTTGGGAAAACTTTTCTTTTGAAATTCTATTCATTATTATTGAATTCAAAAACAACGCGTGATCCTCTGCAAAAAAATATCATTCCAAAAGTTAGTGAAAATTCGCATGAATTTCTTTTCAAAATTATTGAAACTATGATAGAAAAAGAAGCAAACATTTTAAATGGATTCCTACAAAGTATTAGACCAAAAATTTTAGGCTTAGAAAATGATGAGGAAAATGAAGTTGAACTTCTCAATCAACGAACAATGCAAATACAAAATCTACCGGTAACAACACAAAACGATGGACCCGTTGATAATGTTCTCTTAGCAGACATCAAAAAATCTTTAAAAAATTATCAATTAAAAAAACCTATTTTATATCATATTTGGAAAACAATTCTAACTGCTTCAACTAGAAGTGGTACTGCTTCAATAGCAAATTTAATTGAAAGTTTACATGATTTTGTTACAAATGAATTAGTGAGTTATCCATTAATTGGAAGTAGTACTCGATTGAAAGAATTACTTCAACAAGTTGAATCACCAAGTACTGAAAGTTCCATTGAAATATTCAAAGAATATTTATTTAATAGTCAAATAAAACCGTTATTCTATCGTCTTCTTTTACATCCCGGTATTACTGAAGAACAATTAGTCGACTTTATGGCACCAATTTCTCAGCTAGCTCGAGAATTACCAGAAATAGAAATCGTCGTTTTCTTTGATGAAGTCAATACAGCTTCATGTCTTGGTCTATTCAAAGAAATGTTCATGGACGGAACACTACATGGTACGAGTTTACCGAAAAATATTTTCTTTACTGCTGCTATTAATCCAGCGATGAAAATCGACGAGAATACAAAACAAATTCATCGCAGTGATTATATCGTTCATGATTTACCTCAATCATTAAAAGATTTAAAAGTTTCCTATGGAGCTTTAGAATCGAGAACATTAGCTGATTATATTATTCGAAAAATCTCCATGTTTCAAGTAACTTCATCAGCAACCGTAAATAAAAAAATGCCATTGGAAAGTTATGTTCAAGATACGTTAGCTGATTCAATTTTGAAAGCACAGGAGTTTTGTGAAAAATATCTTGGTAATTTCTTATGAAACTCATAATAATGAGATTAAATTGCTCTTTGTCTTTTTTCTCTCTAGGACATAATTCTGTTTCACAACGAGAAATTCAACGATGTTTTAGTTTAATCGATTTCTTTTGGGCTTTACGATACGATGATGAACTTAAGCAGAATCAAAAAGATTATTCACCTAATCCTATTCGATGTATTGCTTTATCAATTGCGTTGATCTATTATTTTCGTCTTCCAACAAAGGAAGATAATTTACAACGTAAAGATGAAAAAACACCATCACGAGAACAATTAGCTGATCTTCTTTGTCAAGTTATACCAGCTTTTGATCAAGTAGTTCAAAATGAACTCGAACTATTTGTCAATACTGATAATTTTGTTATTCCACAAGGAGTAGCAATTAATCAAGCTGTATGTATATCACAGTTGTTGTTGTTTTATTTAAATTAATAATTAATTCTCTTTTAGGTTCGTGAACATATTTTTGCTATTGTGGTCAGTATTGTTACACGAACACCTTTGTGTATTATTGGTGTTCCAGGTAAATAACTATTATTAATCTAATCTTTCAAAAACAGATTGAAATATATGTTTTTTTGTTTGTTTAAAAAAAGGACAATCTAAAACATTATCCTTTCAAATTGTTCTTCAAAACCTTCAAGGTCCACAACTATCAACGAAACCATTTTGTAAACGTCTTCCTGCTCTCGATCCATTCTTTTGTCTTGGCTCGAAATATAGTCGTTCAGAAGATATTGCTTTTATTTTTGACCGTGCCATTAAACGTGAACAACAATATGAACAAAATCGAATGAATACGCGATGTGTAAATTTGAGAAAAACAAAACATTTATTGATTTTATTCTATTTAAATTTTTATTTTAGGTTGTTTTCTTGGACGAAGCTTCATTGCCCGACGAGAAAAAAATGGTTTTAAAAGTTTTACATCCCTATTTAGACGAGTGTAAAGTTGCATTTGTTGCCGTTGCTAATAAAGCATTTGATGCCGCCAATGCTAATCGAATGATTTGTATTTATCGTTCATTACCATCGCAATATGATCAAAGAATTTTAGCTTATGGTTGTTTGGGTTTGCAATCGGAATTACAAGAATCGACGATTGATGATCGTCTCGAAATAATTATCTCTGGTTTATGTCAAGGTTATCGACGAATGCTTCAATCACCAGATATTCCTCATATATTTCATGATCGTGATTTTATTTATATGTTAAGAGAATTACGATTTGAATTGATGAATTCAAATGAAATTGAAAAAACAAGTATTGGTGAAATCACACCACGAAGTTTACTACGAGCGTTAGAAGATAATTTTCATGGAGTTCGACCAGACGAATTCAATAGGTTAGTCGATATATTTGCTACAGCTGTTGGAGAACAATGTCCTGATTTTCTGAGATTGATCACTGAAAAACAACAAATTCAACGCAATATTCCAGCAATTTTACGCAGCTCAATGAAATTAGATCCTACACGTCGTCGTCTATATGGTCGATATAAATTAATTATTGATGAATCCGAAGATGAAAGTGCTATTCATCTTCTCTTTCAATTGAGAATTCTAGATTCCGATCCAAATCGAACAACTGTTTTTCGTATGCCTGATTTCCCCGATGATGTCGATAATGAATTACGAAATGTTGAAATCTTATCGAATATTAAATTATGCATGGAAACCGGTAAAACTATTCTAATGATTAATACCGGTCGAATTCATGGTTCATTATATGATGTTTTTAATCAAAATTTTTCTATTATGTCAACTGAAGAAAGCCGAAAAATCTTTTCGAAAGTCGCCATCGGTCCGAAAACCATTGATGTCGTTGTACATGAAGAATTTCAATGTATTGTTCATATAAAACGAAGTGAATTTAAAGATATTCCGGCACCATTTTTAAGTCGTTTTCAAAAATATTCTTTCAGTATAGCTGATTTATATTCGATTCAATTGAAAGAACTTCCTGATGACGATCAGAAAGATATGAATGACATTCAAATAAAAGCTCGATCATTTGTTAATCATTTTGGACGAGAATATTTCTACGGATATAATGACGGAACGTTATATTCATGTCTTTTATCATTTATTAAAAGAAACGACCAAGGTACCAGTTATTTATCAAATATTCATGAAAATTATAATCAATTAACATTAAAATCAAAAGAATTTATCGAATTAGACTTAACTAATAAAAGACAATGTTATCTTTATTTTGTACTTTCGAAACTTTTACAATTAGCTTCACCTGAATCCATAATCTTTAAATTACCAACATTCGATAGCAGCATTGATCGATCATTGTGTCGAAATTATTTTTATCAACAAGAGCATTTTAATATTGAAAATTTTCTTGATCGATTTATTTCTAGTGCACATTTACCTACTGATGATAATGAATTATTCACAATGAATGAAACTACAGAGAAAAAAAATAATATTATGATTACAAGAAAACTAATGGTCTTTACTCGAACATCATCATTTGTTATAGGTTTAAATAATCAATCAAAAGGTAATTTATTTGGTAGAAACGATGAACTTGATATGGGAATGAGCATCAGCGAAAAAATCGATATAATAAATCTAGTAAGTTTCGCTTTCAAATCTCAGCCACATTCATTTTATTTTCACGAAACAAATGAATGCAAAAATTAAATGTAACATTTTCTTTTCTTGTGAATATTTTATTGATCATGATTGTGAACAGCATTAGAATATCTGCCTAAGTTTATTTTTCGATAACAAAATATTGATTGGTTTTCTTTATAGGCAATCATAGAAAACTCCAATACGTTAAATGAACACTTTCAAAATTTTAAAGATGACGGTCAAAAATCGATTCTGATCATAATTATTGATGGGCGTATTAGTCAACAACGTATACATATTCCATTTGTTCGGCAATTAATTGACAAAATCGATCTTTCACATAATCAATCTTCAGAAAATAAAGCAAAGTTTTTTATTATTCTAATGCATTCATCAGAACAAGAACTTAATTATAAATCATGTTTTCCTTCGATATTTTTACATGATTGGGATTATTGGTTTCTGGATACTTCAACGCCCGGTAGTGCATTTCATTTACAAAAAATGTTACAAATTTTTACTTCAAAAATTGGCATAACTCATCAAAAAGAAACATTAGACAATGCTCTTTATGATTTGAATATGCTTTTTGACGAATGTCTTTGGGAGTTTTGTTCTCGCTTACAAATTAATCTTCATAAAGTATCCGACGATATGTTTAATAATCCAGATGCTTGTGAATTCTATCAACGTCAAACAACAACACGTCGACGTGTGGAATGTTTGAAAAATATTTTTCAACAAGTGAATGGATTAAAAAAATATATTATAATAACTTATCATGAAAATGTTTCGATGAAAGAAGACTCGTTGCGAAAAAATTGTAATTCAATGTATGATCTTGCAAAAGATACGCTGTGTGGAAAACATACTAGTCTTGTCGATGCTTTACAATCTCATATACGTCTTACGTTTACAAATTTTGTTTCGTATATTTTAAAATATATTATTGACGACTATGGATTAGAATCTTTAACTAAATTATCAAGTAATGATAATAATTATAGTAAATTACTTGAACTACTTGATTATTCATCATTTACTGTTAATTATGAAAATAAAACAGGTCCAAACATTCAAGGAATATTAACATTGAATGATCATTATTCTTGTATTCCTCAAACACCATTGTTTCATCTATGCCAGCAACGTATCAAAATCTTGGTAGATAATAATAAGATTAAATTGGCTCAACAACAAGATCAATCGAACGGTTTGAATTTTTTTATCTATTTTCTGAGACAAAATCTAAAGTGAAAAAAGAATCTTTAAACTATTCGATTTCTTACAATAAGAGTGAAAACACAGATTGTAGAATATCAACATCATCTTTGAGAAAATAGCTGATGTACCTGTCGAATTGTTGTTAGTACATATGTTCTCTATTCATGAAATAGTTTCCAATAAAATTTACTTTGTAAATTTTTTGATTGATTGATTTCATATTTTAGACACAGACGATATTTTTCGTTTTGATTACTATGATCCACAACAGGTACGTGCAGCAGCAACAACAACAACAACAACGGCATTCAATAATTTCTATGATGATAACACAGAAACCGATAACAAACGCAACCAATTTCGTACACAACTAATTCGATCGATTACAAATGATAAAATTTTAAATAGAATAATTTCATCATCGATTCTTGAATCATACACTAGAGATTCAATTCGCATTCTTTGTACGATCATTGAAAAAAATTTTCATGACAAACAAATGGAATGTGAACAAGCAATTAATTTTATTTCTCGTTGGTTAATATTAACTGATGATGATGAAAATGTTTCATATAATTCTTCATCGAATCGTGATGTTTGGCGACTTGCTCACGTTTATACAATACTTGAATACGAACAAGATGATCTTCTTTCGTTATATTCTGCTTGTCGAATTACAGAAAATCTTGATACAAACCAAACATTCTACGACGATCTTTTAGTCGATCAAAAAATAACACGTTCAAATGTTCGAGAAAATTTATTTCAATTAATGTTTCATCATTTATGGACAAATCTTTGTCGTTTATGTCAAGATAATTTAGATGCTAAAAAATGGATTTATAGTTATACATTAATATCGAAATATTATCCATCAGAAAGAGTTCTTCAACGATTAGAATCTGTTCAGATGAAAATTAAAATTGAATTTATGAATTTAGCTTATTTAATTTTACTCAATGAAAAAACACCACAACCAACTAAACTTATTCAACAATTATTACACGATACATCTCTTGCAGAAGATGATATTGATGGTCGTCATATTCCTTTCGAAGGATCAAGTTGTTTGCAACTATTATCTACGATTATTTCCGTAATCGATCGATATTTTGAAGAGAATAATGGTAACAATGGTACACTGATGATGGATATTCAACAATGGATTATTTCAACAATAAAAACATCGAAAGGATCGTCCCAACAAGAAATTATTTCTCTATTGAATTTTTTAAATCAACCATCATGTCATTTATCATTATCAATGAAACAACTTCTTTTCGATGATTTAGTTATTATTTTAATTGAAAATAGTCGACAAAATCGTATGAATACTAATCGACAGTTTACTGATTTTTGGGATCGTATTTCTCTTTTATCAGTCATTATGGAGTGTTTAACAAATGAAAATCTAGAAAATTATCAAATACCTTATCATCCATCTGTTATTACCGATGTAAATCAAAATCACATGATAATTGATTTGTTCTTTTTTCATCTTCGACGATTAGTTAACGATGAAAAAATTCAAACAGAATTAATCAATAAAATTCTTCTCTCAAGTTTACCGAAAATTAATAATACACAAAGAATTTCTATTGCAGAAAAAGTATACAAACAATTAAAAGAGTATTTTCTGCTACAAACTACAGCTTTATTACTATGTCAACCCGATTTAAATACTCAAGATCAACAAAGAATTAATAGTATTCTTATGACTGTTATAAATCAATATTTAACCTTTGTAACGCCAGTCGTTCAATTGAGCCGTTGTATTGAACATTTTTTTTCGATTATAATTACCAAACGATCATGGCATTTTCTTCTTGATATACTTAAATCGGATCGTATTCAGCGTTTAAATTCGGAATGGGCTAATACATTGCATGATCTACTTGAATTGAAACACAATACTCAACGTAATAAATATCTTCATTACAGTGATCAATTACAGTTTACATTAACAACTGACACTACTTCATCGATTTTCCCAACATTACATCAGCCATATGACGAACTAAATATTTTAGTCAACCAATGCGTCACAGATAACAATGTTGAACAACGTTGGATACCTCTAACTAATTGGATACAATTAAAATTAAATTCCAATCCACCAATTGTCAGTGCTATTGAAATAAAAGTAATGTTACTATTAAATATTTACTATAATTATTATTGTAATGCTCAATTGAACTTGCTTGGCAATTTATTGACTATTATTGAACATATACTACAACCATCGGATGAAGAAAAACTAGTATTTCGTGTTTTTCTAAACCCTGAAGAAAATATGATTGGGTATCCAAGAGAAGATAATGCTCAACATAGAAATTATCTTAATGATTTATTTAAAATTGATTGTCAAGATGAAGAGCAATTGCCTATTCGTCACACACTTGTTAATCTTTTAGCAATGATTTTACTCGGTGGAAAACAAAATACTCTCTGGACATTTACGTTCGAACCGTTGAAACTTGAAACTACATACGGTGAGCTTTGCTTAATAGAATTTTCATATATTTCATCCCGTATTCTACTATGATAGGTTTTGCATCGACATCAGATAAGTCCATTTCGCGTAGTTATATTCATTATGATTGTGGATGTGTGCTATCTGAAACAGGAGAATTAGTACAACGTCATGGAACTAACGAATTCAGTATACCATCAGTATATATAGCTTTTTTTGCTACCTTTGGTGCTATGGTAAGTCTACTGAATGATAATATCCTTTTTTAAATGTTGAATCTTATTTCCCCTGATAATCTAGGCTTGGCATTTATTATTATTTGAATCATCGGTAGCTAATCTAAATGGTCCTATTCTTTCTCCAGGTAAAATTAATGAGACGGCAGCAGCGGAACATATAGCTAATGACAATGTCCGAGGAAAAGTGTGTTTCTTTGTTTGTACTCGATTGTTATCGACCAATTTTTTTCTTAAATTACTATCGAATCAAGATGACGCTTGTCTCTTATTTAATCGTTGCTTCGAATCATTTGCTCAATATAGTCGTCGACCTGATGAAAATCCATGGATTAAACCAGTTTATCAGACAAATATTGAGAAGCTTGATGCTGAAGAAAAATTTCGAAGCAAAATTTTTAGCCCTACAAATGACAAATTATTCGATTATAAAAAAATAATTAATAATGTACAATCACAATCTGAAATACAAGCTAAATTGCAGGATTACATAGCTCAAATGCCTGTTATTATTCAATTTATTCATTTTAAAACTGAATTCTGCAAGTCAGAATCGAGTCGATTACCAATTAAAATTTTACGTCGATTACTAGACTCATTTGAGATTCTGAAAATAACTCATTATATTTATGCTTTAAGTCAGTTTCATATTCTTTTACATCGAACTTTTACTCAATTGATTGAACGAGACGAATTTCATAATATTACACTTCAACAACTATATGAACGAGCTGATCAATCCTCAAGTAATTTAGGTCAAGCAAATCAAAAAGATAAATATCAAACAATCATTGAAAATGGAATCAGAGCTGTTAATGATTATCATACATTTGCTGATGGTCTCATTCAACCTGGTGCATGTAATACGACTCAACGTTTTGAAAGCATTTCTCAGGCAACACCAGTTAGTTATCTCGTCGAAACAGACAATGCTGATGAAGGAGATATCATTATGCGTATATTAAGGTAATATTAAAAACCTTAAAAAGAAACCTTAGTAACTGATATTTGATTTTTTTCAATTCTTATGAAACGATTATAACTCGAGAAGAAAATGAGCTCAAAGAGATAGAATACATTTGATGACCTTTTCTTTGTAAGACGTGTTTGTATCATTTTTAGTGTTCTTGTCAATTGTCATAATCATCTTCTGCAAATGCTCGAAGCAGAAATAAACGAACATGGCGATGCGCTTGGTTTAGGTTCATTGAAAGATATTATCAATGAATTTCTACAGAGAGAAATATCTATTCTACAGATAAGTACAGAAAATATGGGCGTAATTACATTGAATAAAATAACTTGCCAATGGATTGAACAACTATCTCGTGCGAGTCTCGAAAATGAAAATGATTATTTCCTAAAAATGAATTCACCATTAAAATTTAATTATCTTTATGTTCAATCGTATCTTATTCATACATATCTTCTCTATTGTCGTATTAATTATCAGCACATCAAAGGAAAATATCAGTGTTATATTAAACGAAAAACTTCGATCGTCGACGACGACAATGATAATACTGATGTTGAAAGACTATCAATTGATGAATGGAATCATTTAGATGAAAAAAATTTCGATCAGCTTCAGAGTGAACTAAATTTTCTTCAACGAATCATCGATGTTATTAAAAATTCCGAAGAAAGTCACTCATCAATGAAACTCTCAGAGTTTGTCCGAAATACAAATTATGACGATCGATTTGCTCAACAATTTGAACAATATCGCATCAAAGATTTTTCTTTGTCACAAATCAAAAATGTTTATCAATTGTATGAGAAATCGATCAATCAATTTCAACATGCATATATAAATATATCTCATTTACTTCGCGTTTTCTTAGATAAGAAACTAAGCGATGAACTCAATGAAAAATTCACTGAATCATTTATTCCTTCTGATAATCAGAATAACAAAGATGAACTTCAAAATAATATACAAACAATAACAGAATTTTTAACTGATCTAAAAGCTACAGAAGATATGCTTGCTAGTCAATGGACTCAATCTTTTGTAGAAACATGTGAATATTTAAGTATTGAAAATTCAATCACAAAATTAATACCTAAAGAAATAAAATGCGAAAACTATGTTCCATTATGTATGCAATTAATTGAAATACGAACTCTACTACAAGAGCGAACTATTGATATTGAAGAAAAAACTGTTGAACTCTGGAATTGCCGCTTTGATATTCCAGTTACAGATCGATTAAATAATAATAATTTTCAATTATTTCGAAATAGAAACGATGATCTTCCATCTAGTGACCCGGATCCGTCAGTGGTCTCACAGATAACTCCACTCAATTTGTTCGATATGCTCGATGACGACGGATTTGTTGCACCTGGAGAACCCAAACTACCGATCGAACCTTCACCATATATCCCTAAGTCAATATTCAACTCTTCAGCTCTATTTAAGTTTGAGATAAAACCAATTTCATTATCTCCATCAGTTCTGTTTGAAAATAGTCGAACACACGCAAATGAATTAGCATCAAAAGAGTCCAGCAAAGATTTTGATCTTATATTGAAAGATGGTAAAACAGAAAAATATCGTTATAGACCAGAAAAACTTTATGGAAACTTGCAAAAAATCTTCAAAACAAAAAAATATGATTTTAACACAACTGCAATTATCGCTCCCGATCACGTATTAGTTAATTTTACGGAAACAAATGAAACTGAAGCATTACCTATTATAGAAGCGAAATACCGTGTCGTAGACAAAAATTTATTAATACCTGTTGTATTAGAATATGAAAATAAGGATTTTAAATATTTTGCCTCAGCAGAAGCAACGATCATTACAATTCTTAGCCATTTTATTGTTGATCAACAATTACAATTCACATCGTCAGAAAATTATTTTAGTGTTTTTGATTCCATTGGCCGATACATGGCTGAAGATAGTCAAATTGATAAAATTTATCGATTTGAAAAACAAACAGAAACTCATATTCGAGTTCTTCGATGTAATCAGAATATTAACATATGCTGTGAAGTAATTGTAACTGAAAACCAAGGTAACTTTTTATTTTATTGTGATAAACGATTGAAATTCTCATGTTTTGGTTTCTCTATTTTCAGATAAGACACTTAGTCAATATTTTGATTCAGTAACAACATGGAAACAGATCGATTTATGGACACAAATCATCGGTATCAACGTCATAAAACATCCAATGCAAAATTACATTTATTGGCATACGGAACAACAAAATATCATTGATGATAATCAAACAATATCATCTACACTTGGTCAAGCTGAATCTGTCACTATTGATGTTCTCAGCAGAGAAAATTTTATAGATGTCATTCTATCCTATGATAAACTGAGTATAACGATTCGTATTCTTAAATCTACTCCAGTGTGTAATCTTTTAAACACTCCAACATATACAAATCAATTAGGTCTAAAAATATCGCCTCAAAATTGTTCACTGGTTTTGATATTAAACGAAAATGAAAAGAAAATTCTTAATAATTTAGACATAGAAAACTCAATCAGTTACTTTGCTTCGGAGACTATTCAAACGATTCATTTTGAAATATCTATTCTTATTGAAATTACTCAATATGATAATGAAACCGAAACAAAAGAAATACCTATTTCTCATCGAAATATAACAATCAAACAATTACTAGAAATGATTGAAATCAATGATAATCAAACATATTTAGCATCGAATGAAACTAAAATTATCCTATTGGAACATGCAAATTTATCTACAATAAATGAAACGAAATTTGTTCTCATAAAAGAACATCAAACATGTCTCGTATCTATTGAACAATCAAGTGATACATTGGTAGCAATTGATGATGATACCATGAGAAATCAACGATATATTATTAATGCTGTTGTAGATGATGTTTATAAACAAAATAAAACTATCGATCAAAATCAATATCTTGTTTATGATAATGATATTGTTCCATCACGTGAAACATTATTGAGTTTACTTCTTGATATCAAAACTTCGTCTATTGAGTTTAACTTAAGCAGTGAGAAACGACCAGCAAATGTGACGGTGAAAAGTGATGAACACAATATTCGAATTCAATTTCAATGTGAATCATCGATGTCTATGGGTCGTATTCATCAAATTGTTTGTCAACTATGGAAATTAAAAAGTCAACTGTTTAGTTTAACTCTAGCTGATGATGCAAATGTTGACGTTGATGATGAACTAAAAGACATCGATGAATCTACCAATAACTTTGAATTCAAATTGATTTCGATTGCTGATGTCAAATGTAAGATAACTTATCAGAATGAAGTCATTATGCTTTCAACCACAGACGACACAATTCTATCGACAATTATGAAAGAAGTTTTAGAAAAATTATTGATTCCATTAGATGATATAGATTTATACGAATTGCAATGCATTTATGATTTAGATCAATCAGTTAATATTGATCTTGATGATACCATCGCTTACATTCGTTCATCTTTACCAGATGACTTGAATATTATACCAATGCAGTTACAAAAGAACTGATATAATAATTTGATTTTCAGTGATTGTTTTTCTTTGATTTTTCTAATAAAAAGATATACGTGCGATTAGAGATGTGCAAAACTAATCGCGGTCATCAGGACCGGGACCAAAAACAAATGACGGATATTCATTTTTCAACAAGTATATATATATATATATATTAACATAAAAATCAATGAAAATGCTGCTAACTATACATGAGTGGCTGGGGTTAGGGGTGACCCTTTATCTTTATTTTCCTTTATACTAAAGGATAAAGATAAATGAATCCGTTATCTTTAGAAAACAAACGTAGATGATTGAAAAAGCATCTATAATTTAGTTTTTTAAAGATAGATGGATCATTTACGTTTAGAAGATAATAGAAAATGATTGAAACAAAATTTATCATTTATTTTCTAAAGATAAATGAATCATTTATCTTTAGAAAATAAAGGAAAACTAAAGGAATAAATGCTTTTTATTTTCAAGTGATAATCGAGTCGAAAGTATTCTAGAATTGCAGAATTCGTGTCTTTGGAATATTCTTATCATTGGACCGATGTCTTTTGACTGAAAACAGAAACCTCTGAAGTGAAATCAACTGATACTGCTTTACTAGTATTTTGGGGATTTTAGTTAGAAAAATATAGATTAAATTAAAACTGATACCATATTCTGAATCAGCACTACAAACTGAAGAAACCGATGTGGCTTTCGAATATATTTTAGATAGTTAGGTTTTTAAAAAATTCATCCCTAGTCCCCCTCAGGGTTTCTCGACCAAAAATCCTAGCCGTCTAAAATATATTCGAAAGCCACATCGGTTTCTTCAGTTTGTAGTGCTGATTCAGAATATGGTATCAGTTTTAATTTAATCTATATTTTTCTAACTAAAATCCCCAAAATACTAGTAAAGCAGTATCAGTTGATTTCACTTCAGAGGTTTCTGTTTTCAGTCAAAAGACATCGGTCCAATGATAAGAATATTCCAAAGACACGAATTCTGCAATTCTAGAATACTTTCGACTCGATTATCACTTGAAAATAAAAAGCATTTATTCCTTTAGTTTTCCTTTATTTTCTAACGATAAATGAATCATTTATCTGTATTTAGTAAAGTAACACTAAATGACCACCCCAGGCTGGGGTTAGCTTTATTAGCAAGACGTGACGATGAAAATTCTTTTGATTCATGAACGAAAAATAATTTAGGCAGAAAATAGAAAGACAATTGTAGTGGACATTTGCCATAATTCTTCATAAGATATTCATTCTCACGATAGAATTCGTAAAAATATAGCAAAACTCACTTATACGCCAGAAATACTAATAGAACATTTAACAATAGTAAAGTCATAGTATTTATCAATCACTAATATTTTTTATTTCTATTTAAGATAAGAGCATGTTGTTTATTTTCTTAGTAATCAAATAACACATCTTATAGTCGAAGTTTCTTCGAAGGTAATAGACAAACGTATAATTGAACTGCAAATGTTTGACTTGTTTTGAACGACTCTCAGAAAGATATATTTAAAAACTTCGCCATACAATATATTATACACAGGCTGTTTTAATGATTGTCTTTATGTTCTCAATCGATGTCTTCCATTTTTATCAACGTTGATAATTCGTATCTATGAAACTTTTAATTTAACACGAAAGATAGAAAGTACAGCAACTCTTGTTGGTTATTAAATTAATTTTGCTTTAAAAATCTAATGGGATGCACATATTATTCCACTACTTGATGGAATGTTAAATCTTCAAGAAAACATTTATCTTCAATATACAAACTTTTATTATCATTTATCGTATTGGAATTAATCTTTCATTAAATGTTGACATTCAGAATAGTTTCGTGAAGCGAGGAATTCAATTATTTCACTAATGATACAAGATGTCCCAATAAAACGTCTGGTTGCATGCAAATCATTTGTTCTCCTAGAAAACTTTATTTCATATTTTTCTTCTCTATAAATGATGTTTTTTTTATTAAGTATTTCAATCAAAATAAATACGATGAGAAAGTTAAGATGAATTTTAATTGATGCGCACACTAAGATTCAACAAAGCAATATATGAAAATAGAAGAAATGAGATTTAAATAATTATAATATATTGTGATGTATGAAGAGAATATAAAACCTACAATAATATAATTGAAACAACTTTTAAAGTAAATATTAAAATATTTGACAAACACATTGAACAATGATTCTTGATTCCACTAGATGATATAAATTTACATGAATTATAATGAATTGAAGATTCAGGTGATCTAAGTGATATCGATCTTGATTTTACCATCGATTCTTTTTATTGAATTTTTCTTTAAAACAGGCACACACGATAGAACGACTAGAATCACTGGAACAGAAACCAAAATAAGTTTACCACGACAGTGATGGAACAAATATGGTCCCACACATCTGTAATATCTTTTTTTAAAGAAAGAAGAAAACAACATGAAATTTCAAAGAAACAAAATATAACTAAGATGATTGCTATTCCTAAGAGTTTCCATCATCATTTCAAGATTGTAAATGTTTTCTTCTTCTAAAGTCTTCAAGGATGAATTATACTTTTTAATAACTTCTGCATGCATTTTGAAGCATTCATTCGTGAAGTTATTTATTTTTATCAGAACGTAATAATGCTATAGAGAGCTTAAAAAGATATTCATACGGTAAATTTCCAGAGATAAAATACTTGATTATTGGTTATAATATCATTATGTGTTTTACTCTAATCCATCTTTAATAGTTGAAACTTCAACGAAGAAAGCTTCACATAGTTCTATTTTGAAATCGACACTTTTGCCAAAGTTTTTTTTTCCTATGCTATACAAATCTACTGCATCTATTTGTGTTATATTGACAACAACAAAAAAGTTAAAATTAAATCGAATTTATTTTTCAAATGAAGATTGTTTTGCTAGTAGATCTCGAATTTCACATAATATTTTAACTTCATCACTTGTTTCAAGTTGTGTAGTTTCTTCTTTCTGTTTTTTTCTTATTGCTAGTTGATGCAATTTATTAACACCTTTGATAAGAAAGAATAATGCCAATGCCATAATAAATAAAGATATTAGCGTTTGAATAAATTTTCCATAGCGAATCACGACGGGTGGTTGATCTTTGTAGACGAAATTTTTCATTTTAGCTGTTAGATTAACAAAATCAACACCACCCAATATAAGGCCAAACGGCGGTGTAATTATATCATCGACAAATGACTGAACTACTGTAGTAAAGGCGGTACCAATAATAATACCAATTGCTAAATCAATTACACTTCCTCGAAGAGCAAATCTATGAATTTCAATAGAACAAAGTTATAGGTGAGCGATATGAAGTTTTAATGAAATACGCGCTGATACTAATAAGTTACCGCCTGCTTATCTTATGCAGCAATGTTTAAATTAGATATCGGTTTATACAACTCATCGCCATGTAATCATTTTTGTGATCTTTTTCTCAGTTAGTTATTCTAACTTTCGTCAAATTCTAACGCAGTGAAGGTAAAAAACATGGTAAAATTGACTACGATATAATATTTGTCGAATTTTCTTAGTATTTTATTTTATCTTATCGAACAACAAATTCGAGAATGTTTTCCTAATTTAATTCAGCTGAATGTTAAACATAATTAGTGTTATGATAAAGTATAAGTACATACTGTTTGAATTCTTTACAAAAGTTGCCACAGCATCGACCAACACCAGCCATATTTGTTTGAAATTTAAGTTTGTATGCTCAAAGAATATGTTATTTGATAAGGAAAGAAAAAAGATACAGAGCGAAGAATAAAATTCATTGTATGCAAAATTATGCAACAAAAGAAAGAAAAATTCAAATGAGTGAAGCAAGAAAAAAATTATATACTTTTCAAAAATTACGAATTCTGTCGTTGAGTATAAAAGTATTTAAAAAAAGATAATTAAAATAATGGATTGTACGAGTAGTTCAAGTTTGTGCTCGATATTAACTCAATATAATGCTTATGAATTCAAAGAAATGTGTAGAGAAAAAAGAACACTGGACTTCTATTGTTCTAGATCAGACTGCCTCAGTGTGACTGTTATTCACCCTATGGCATTTATTCATTTGAATAGTAGAATCAGTTTGATTTACATATTGAATGTGTCATATTTCAAGTTAGTTACTGACAGGCATTTCCATACAGGATGAATAAATCATTGTTCACTCTGCAACAGCCGGAAATTAAATATTCCGCAAGAAAAAGCTTGACATGTTTCTTTTTATTACGAAAACAATCCTGTAAATTATGGATCTAAGTTAATTTTAAAAAAAGACAAATCAATATTATGATTATTATCTGGTGAATCATTGTTTTGCCAATAGATCTCGAATTTCACGTAACACTTTAAGTTCGTCAGTTACATTATTATCGGAATTGCTTTCTTTTGTTACTTTACTTCTAAGAGTAATCTTATGCAACTGATTGATTGCTTTAATAACAAAAAACAGTTACAAAGCCACCATGAATAGAGAAAGAATCGTTTGAATAAATTTTCCATAGAGAATCACTACAGACGGCTGCCCTTTGTAAACGAAATTTTTCATTTTGAGTGTTAAATTAACAAAATCAACGCCACCCATTATAAGACCCAACGGGGGTGTAATTATATCATCGACAAGTGATTGAGTTACACTAGTAAATGTGGCGTCAATTATAATGCCTATTGCTAAATCTAATATATTTCCATGAAGAGCAAATTTATTTGATGGAAACAAATTTTAAAAATAAAGTTAAGAAAGAAATAACAATAAGTACATACGCTTTGAATTCTTCACAAAAATTCACACAACATCGACCTACACACGCCATGTTTATCTAAACAATATACTAGTAATATCTTTACATGTCATGAGATTTTTCTACTGTGGGAGCCCGATCGAAAAATGTCTTAGGTATTCAAATGAAGAAAAAATAAATCATTAGCGAACGGAAGCATCTTTCTTCTGAAAAATAATTATAATAAATTACTAAATAATAGAAAAAGTTGTCTCAATATTTTCTATCAAAAAATATACAACCGAGATTTGGTATACGAACATTATGCTCTTGCTTTTGTAGGGCAAATATTAATTTATTCGATTTCCAAAATGAAAAAAGGTTTCCATAACCAATCATATTACGAAAATTCCTCTAACGTTACGTGTTGACGTGCACCGATAGATTCTATAAGTCTTACATCTGATTTTCAACTTGAACAAGTTATTAAAAATGTTTTCTTTAACAGAAAACATTATACTATCTATGCTACAAAAAAAAACGGTTAGAGACAAAATGAAAAACGATACTCATTACTTGTTCTTGTGAAGAAATCAATCGAATGTTGATGCTATTTTATGTTAACCATGCATGTCATGTCAGAATGGCAATAGATAGCAATTACAGTCATTTGTGTCAAAATCATGATGTTAATGTTTTTTGCAACGACATAAAAACCTTAGTCGGTATGTTAAAAGGTAGCATGGCATTAAATGTAAATATCACGAGCTTGTTTATCGAACAGAAAGAAACAAATTATTTAAATATTCAAGAAAGATATTTGTGGTCTATTTTTTCAGATAAACAAATTGTAATTATCATGAGCCATTTAATATTTCCTTTGATTTTAGTTAAAATGCAAGTGGAGATTAAAAGGAAAAAAGAAATAAAATGGCTGTATACAGAGAGTATACTCCATATGAAAACTTATTCTTAATTTCGATATATGCAAAATGTTGACCACTCATACGGTAAGTAGCATTTCTTGACATTTCTTATTGTTCTCTCTTTCAGTTAAAAATGGACAGTTTACGATTGTTATTGATCACTGCATTTTCTCTGTTTATTGTAGCTGCTTTTACTATTGAAACATGTGATGCGCAAAATGGATTTTGTGCTGTCCGATGCACTTTCGACGTTGCTTTTTGTATGGATAGCAGTTGTTCAACGAAGTACAGTGTATGCATGATGAAGTGCCTAAGAAAATGATTAAAGTAGGGTGCATGTAATATTTAATCAAGAGAGAAAATGATCAATACTCTTGTACTTATTAAATATGATTAATAAAAAGAATATTTTAATCTTTCAAAATAAACAAGCAACGTATAAGACTAATAAATTTGAAACGAACACATGTTTAAAAATCTCTACAAACGTATGTGGCGAATGCAAACGAGTACTTACGATAGGAACTGTGACCACGATCATTGCCTTTTCCCGCCGAATTGAATCCTATCTGTACGCTTATTTGCGTTACAATCACAGAAAAAACTATATTCTTTTGCTAGAAGTCAATAAAAATCAGAGAAACTATTTTTTATTTTCAAATTTTTCATTTGAAAACTATACGAGAACGAATCGAGTACATGAATACATCGTTTCCTTGCAAACAAACCCTATATAATCTTTCACAAAACAATGGATTGTGCAGAATTAAAGGCACCTCAACATTTTGGAAATATCTCCCTCGAATCTCATTGTTTAGTGCCCCATTTTGTTTTTGAAAGATTCGCCTCAAAAAGCTCTACAAAGCAGCATTTTTTTATTAATGAAGGTAGCAACCATTATTTGTTTGAGAGATGATACAATCAAGAGGTCCAAGATGAACAACTTCCAAATACAACTTCTGTTCGAGTTTTTTTTGATAGACTTTTTAATTCAGTTCTGCGATCAAAGCCTTCTTAGATGATAAATTTTCCCATTCGATTGCGTAAACGAATTCGTCCCATATGGAATAGTTCAACGGATTTAAATGGGGACTGTTCAAAGACTAATGATCCTTGTCGGTGAATAATGGAAATTACCCCGGCGCCACTCTTGAGTTAGATGATGGATGTTGGATTTTTCACCATCTTGTTGGAATGTCCATTGATTTCCGAAGAGAGAGTTGCTGCATTCGAACGCCGCATGAATCACTTCTTGCACGTGCTGAGCATGCTCTACGGTACCGTCCTCAAAAATGACTAATGGTGAGGCACCCTTCGAGCAGACACTGAGCCAGGCCATCACCTTTTGCGGAAACTTCTATGCCTGCTTTATGTGACTTTTTTCATTGGTTTTACCACGATTTACATCCGATACTCTATCATTTCGGCTGTTATAGACAACATCAATGTCGAACAATTTCTCATCAGAAAAGATAGTTTTCATCGTCTCTTCCTTTCGGAAATTCGTTCGAATCTATCGCAAAGCAAGCTCTCCTAGAAACTTTGCTTGTATGAAAGATATGCACTAGAATGTCCTCTATCGAATGGTGAAAATCGCAGTTCTCTATCTCTCTCCGTTTTCAATTCATTCAAAAGACAGCCACGTGCACCGACTTTTTGGATTGGTAATACTTTTGGTATGCCCTAACTATATAATATTCACACCTTGAAAAGCAAAAGTTGAGATTAGCAGATTGATTTATGTTTTATTAAGAGGAAATATATCGAGAATAATAAGAGAAAGAAGCTAGCTAGTCGATAATGCCCGATTTTGTGTGTGGGCTTGTGTTTGTGCCATATTTCCTATAAAGAAAAAAATTGAGAATTAGTTCAATACCATAAAGTACTCGAAATGACAATCTCATAAAAGGATGTGCCAATTATAGAGTAAAGCATCAGCGACATTCTCTTCATGAGTTATCATCGAAACAATATATTGACGGAACATACCTGCCTTATTTTCCACAAGACTGTTCAAATATTCTTCTCACTTCGAAGACATGATGTGGGATCATCTATAAAGGTCGTCTAAGCAAAATGTCAGATGCTTTTGACTCTCTGTTCAGACGTGTAGATGTTCCTCTAATACTTTCCTTCTCAATGCTCAAACTCAAGATCTTCTCAACAAAAACATGCAAAAATATCCGAATGCTGCTGATTTATTTGGCATTTCCGGTAAAATAAAAATCACAAAGCTTACATCCGTGTGGTGGACGCCGAGAATTGAAATTTAGAGTTGCTCACAACTTTTGAGACACCGTGCATGTGTCTCTCATAAAGACCTTCTCTTCTGTTTCTGGATAAATTCTCATAGGAAAACTGCCTAAAGAGCGAGAAGAATGAAGCGTCACGGAAGAGTTACAGCTCGGGTTCTAACATGAGAACAACTAGAACGAATTATTGTTCTGTTCAATTGGCGATGGCAAGGGCCTCTGATTTGACGTAATTAATACTGCACCAGTCCTACTTTTGCATGGGAAGACATACGTATCAGGAATCTGAGAGAACTAATTCGATATTTTTTATCCAGTCTGCCTCGGCCTCAATCCAATTAGTCAGCAGCTCATGGTTTCGGATGAACATGATGCCTAAAATCTCACAATGGAAAGATCTCGATATTCGGTCTCAAACTAATGTTTTCTAAAATTCTTAATTCGTGGAGTGCTTATTGGCTTTGACCTGGATTGTAAAAAATCCTTGTATCTTTCATGCTCTACAGAACGAGATAGAAAGTAGCATTTCCTCTTGAGATAAATAATCAACTGAATTGACTAGGTCGTATTCGATTCAAGCCAGTTTTACTCTCTGTTTTGCACAACGAGCTTTGCTCGAGTCCCATCTAAGGCCCATTTCCAGAGATAAGTGGCCATGAGCAGTTTTTGAATAACTGCATAATAACAAGAGATAAAGGGCTGATATTTTCACACTATCTAGATTCCAGGTTATTCTATCTTCTCATAAAGTTCATGAAAAATTTCAGTCATTCCCCCCTGCACACGCTATGAAATTTGAAGATGCACTGAATCACCTATAAATACAACATGCTTTCTTTAATTGTAATATTGCGAGTAGATCGCTTATCTTCGTCTCTATCGATACACGTAAGTCCGAGATCGATAGCTGTTTTCGTTCCAAAAATGCAAAGATTTTACTGGAGACTAGTAGCCAGTTGCTCTTCAAAACTTGAGCGGAGGAAAAATATTTTCTTCTATAATGTTTAGTAGTCTTTGAATAATGAATCAATATCTTCAGTTACCTTTATTGACAACCTTTATTTTGAGCGTATTTATTTGATTAAGTACAATTAATGTGATTCTACTGCGCAAGTGGGGCAACTCGTCGAGTTTAAGCAATGTGAGGAAACATTTTAAAAAGTCGATATTTATGTTGACAAAATTGAAGAAGAATTAAATGAGCATTATAACGAAGATAATTATAACATCTATAGTACACATACAGATCATGAATAATCTGTATGCTGGTTTTGTATAAACATCTTGATATTTTTCTGGATTAATGGATTTGAAGCCAAAACATTTTTTTGATGAAAACATAAAAGCTCATTAATAAAAGTAACTGAAGATATTAGTTCATTATCATTAAAAATTATAGATTAAGTTTGTTTTGATGATATTTTAAGTAAAAGAAAGACTCTGAAGGTTTACAAATCATGTCATGAAATCAAAGACTGCTAAACATTATAGAAGAAAATATTTTTTATCCGCTCCAGTTTTGAATCAAATTCACGATCTTCTATCACGTTGCAGATATCACTGCACATTTACCCTATGCCCAGGAAGCAAAAACTAAGCTCTTTTCTTTCTTCTTCGTTGGAGACATAAATGGAAATAAAGAGTTCCATCTAGCCAAATAAACTTGAACCAAAGCGTGCTGATTCTTGCTCTTTTCAATTCATTCCCCCTCTGCTTCGAGATCACTATGATAACCATCGGAAACGAAGGAGCACTAACTTTCTAAGCAACTCTGTCTCTAATTTTGTGTCACGAAATCTGTCTAAAATCAGAAAACAACATTAACCACAACAACGATAGAAGAACATATCTGCTTATATATATATAGGGATAACAGCTTTATGTATTATAAAATACGCAAAAGAAATATTACTACGCAATAAGAATAGAAACACCAAGGACAATATCACATGATTGTTTGATCTTGGGGGATAGAAACGAAAGAACGAATAGTTTCCAATCATAAAGAAGAACGAAGATGGATAAACACATATATGTATTCATAAGAACGAATACATCATCTATAACCATAGCAACGTTTGACATGTTTAAGCAGATGAAATCGCAAGATCTTTGAAAAGATGTCATGCTAACGATTGACCGTGGAATGTTACCGCAGAAAGCTTCCAAACAACTGGAAAATGTGGTCAGCGAACGTACCATTCGACCATGCTCAATCCTATACAAAATGTCGAACAAACTTCAGCATTATGTCTCACTGAATGATGAAATGCAAAAGGGTATCATTAAAGCCCCCCCCCNCCCCCCCTAACCAAAGTCGAATTTTTCGAAAAGATTAAAGTTTGAGTTTTTATCATGGGTAAATGCCTCAAAATCTCCTCTTTCAGAATATATATAGGTTTTTTAAAATGTTCGATTTTAAGGGATTTATCGAAAAAATACTAAAGTGTACTATCTTGTTTTCCGAGAAAAGACAAGTGGCGGGAAGATCATATTTTGACCGAACTATTTGCTGCAAAAAATTAGTTACATGGTTGTAATCAGTATAAAATTCTGAACAAAATAGTGTTTTTTTTTGGAAAAAAAACGTGGGTGTGAATTTCGATATGGGCGCATATAACATTGAATCCATGCTCAGAAGGACACCTACACCTACACCCTAGTTTATTTTAAATTTAACTTGATAGAATTTAATCTAAAATTGAATACACTTTTCAAGAAGTTAAATTTAAATTAAATAAATTGTAAATTGGCGCCCCTAACATTAAGCCAACACTAGAGGGTAGTTCGAGTCGATCGTTGGATCTGTCACAATCCGTCAGTAGGATCCGATGATTATCCAATGCTATTCCGACACTAGGGATCCGAATGTCATTTCACAACTCGGAATCCGATAGGGATTCGTCGGTTTATTGGAAATTCATATAAAATCCGATCGGATTCCTATAGGATCTTATTGGATCCTATTGTCGAAATGATTCTCCTGGTTATGTATAAAATAAATATCTTTATTTTATAAGCATACAGAAAAGTTGCTTTATCTTTATTTAATAACGAAAAAATAAAGAATAAAGAAAAATATTTTTTCCTAAAAACCTAAAATTTGATCTACTTCGGATAGCTCGAAGATAATTAAGAAGTCACAGACTAAAAAAATGTTGAACATCAGATTTTTTTTCCATAAATCATTTATGCTTCGCCATCATCTACTAGTATTATTTCATATTATAATGTCACTGATGATAAGCAAGAACTGCAATCAATGTTTCCTGTTGCTATATAAATTATTTATCTATTTACCGATGACTGAAGAAAATCTTTCTTTATTCTTTCTTTTTACTTTCTTTTTACAAAAAAAAATTATCTTTATTCTTTATTATAACGAAATATAAAAATAAAGTAACATCCCTAGTTCAAAGTTGAATAAACAGTTCTCCACGTATAGTTTAAAGAAACCTTTCCAAAAACTATTTTCTAAACTTGCAAAAATAATTTAGCAATTATATTCAGGATTTTACTCAGTGTGAATGTTGAGGACTAGTTTGAATCTTCTCTTTTAGTTTGAAAACAAAAAGCGACTGCCTTGAGTTCTATTGGCTCATAAAACAGCCGTAGGTAATCGATGCAAATATTTGTGTGTGTGTCGTGTCTAAAACCTTGTCTGTTCTGTTCGAAGCAATGTGTTATTTTCGCAATAGAGCAAATTGAGTATCTTACGCAAGATTTTATAAAAGAAGGCAATTTATGATCGAAATTCGTTCATCTTGTTAACAATGAATAAAGCATCCGAAATTCCAACGAAGTTTGAATCGCTACCCAATGAAATCCTGCTAGAATACTTCATGTATTTCAATGCTTGCCAATTATTCTATTCATTCGATCGGTTGAACTATCGTTTATCTCACCTTATTCGAAACTCAACATTACATGTCGATTTTTCTCATGTTCGAAAGTCAATTTTCGATCGTTTTTGTAAGATTATTTTAAAAGATCCACAAACAAAAGATCGAATTTATTCTCTGCATTTATCAAACGAAAATTCGCATGGGCTAATACAAAAATTTTTCTCATCATTCTCGACCACCGAATTTCCTCATCTTCAATCGTTAAAATTAACTATCGTTGACGTTGACGATAAAACTATTCAAAATTTAAACTCGATCATTTCATCGATGAAGGAACTCTCTTCGCTTCATTTGAACTGTACAGGAGCTTCAACTCATGATATATTATCTTCTCTAACAACATCGAAACTAAAAACGCTATCAGCAACGTCATTGAATCGATTTCCACTACATATCGATGCACGTTTCTCAATAACTAATCTAACAATATGCTGCTATGATTTGCATCATGTATGTCATTTGTTGGCCAATTTGCCTCAGCTAAATTATTTGAATGTTAAAAGATCCTCTGGAAGCCAGGAATCTACCCATTACATGGGTCTCAATGAAAATTTTTGTGCTGTGAATCTAATAGCCATGGTTATAGATGATTTTCAGTATGGCTTTAACGAAATCGAAGACCTTTTTAATGGACTACCAAATCTAAAGTCTTTAACAATATGTAGCGCTGACCGTCCGACTATGATCAATGCTCGTCAATGGGAACGTTTGATTACATCGTCATTGCCTCATCTAGAAACCTTTAGATTCCGATTCATTTGTGATCTTTGGAGTACTGATGATGAAATTCTGGAATTATTTCAACAATTTCAAAGTGACTTTTGGCTAAAAACTCACCATTGGTATACAGAATACCTTTCAACGGGAAGTGACAAATGGATTTGTACGATACCATGTCCATCTTATCGATGTGACTTAACCGCTTATTGTGATGCACATAACTGTACGATGTTCTCGAGGGCAGCCAATCAAAGTCTAGATTCGATGTCAAGTGAAAGAGTATTGCAAAAGAAACGTGAATTTCACTTTTGCGATATTGTATCACTCGATATCATGAATGCAGAAACCACGACGAAACATTCTTTGGGTATCAACCATATAAAAATCATAAAAGATACGGTTAATTTATCTGAATTGTGTCATCTATTTATTTTATCAGATTGTAAATTAGCAAGTGCGTCAGTGCTGTTACGAATCTTAAAAGCAACACCTAAATTATCATCAATACAGATCGATTCGAGTGCATTATTACCGTTGCTAGTGGACGATCAATTATGTAAATATTTAAATAGAATGATCAAGAGATTAGACTTATATATGAGCGGCTATAGTCCAACACAAATATTTCGTGATCCAACTGAGTTAAAAAGGTTCTCAAAGGCATTTTCCAATATCGAAGTTCTTCACTGTAATACTAATCAAAAGACGGAGTTTAAATATCTGTTGGATAATCTACAAAAACTAATCAGTCTGACAACTTTAATAAAAACAATCGAGACACGTCAGACTATTTCAGAATGGCTTGAAAAAGAATTAGCAAAGCAAAATGCAAATTATGATATTAAATATGAAGAAAGAAATCGAACGTGTTTAGTGACGGTTAAGGTTTGGATGGGTTAACAAAGTTTGATATAAACTTACTCCGTACATACAAGTTCCAGAAGAATAAATCAAAATCGAATATTGACACTTTTGGTATTCTAAAAATTAAATAAGAAAAAAGAATTTTGAAATATATGATACCTACAGAAGACAGGAAAAATGTGTGATTTGAGTACCTTAACCTATATTCTGAGTGGTCGCTTCTAATCGGTTAACAATTGAAGTTAATATTTGACTAAAACTGAAGGTTCAAGTAGACTATTCAATATGGCCACAATAAGACGATGAACCTTTGCATAATAGTCATTTACGCTGATTTTACGACGATGCTCAGTTGTCAAACAGATTGAATCGTTCAATTTAGCAGTACTGACCAGTTATCGATACTGACAAGAACTGACTGACGAGACTATTATTAATGCCATCTTTCAGACGGTCTGAATGATGAACCAGGGTGGCGAAGGGTACTCAGATACGGGCAGTCGCTTGCTAGAACACTTGCTTAATAGACTTCGATACAAATATGAACACATTCTTCAAAAGATTTAATAGGGTTCCATGAGAGACGCCAGTGGAAAAAAATTAACTCACATATAACGAAAATCACAACCTTCATGAAAAAAGGCAAACGTCCTATAGATATATAACTGATAAACAGAAAATGATGGTGGATCATTTAATGATGATACTTCAAATAAAAATGGGTGTGGGTGTGAGCACAAATAGAAACACGCCAACGCCTACACCCACACCCTTCACTAATGGAGGTTTTAGTATATATATATATATATATACTAGGAAGATCCCGTGCATACTGCACGCCTGTTTTTCCTGTAGCACATGATGTTGGACGTTTAACTTTGCATCCGGTAACGGACATACAGACGCTCGATATTATGTATACACATAGGTAGCCATATGGTCTCATACTCTTGCATCACACATATTGTACAGTCCATTAGCGTGCGGCGTTATACCCCTGGTAGCTGTTATGGGGTGTTGGTGCAGCTGTAATTGTATAGTGGATATTTAAATGTACCAACCTCCACACCCACACCCTAATACTAAGGAGCTGTTAGATGCACGATCTTATCCATTGCCGTCCTTTAATGTTCTAATTGAATTCACTATCGAATTGATAAAAAAAAAATGAGAAAGAGTAATATCGCGTATGATTTAAAAAAACATCAGCTCAAACATTTGCTCTTCAATCCCATTGAAATATCACGAATGCTCTTTGTTAATCCACTTAAAAGAGTATGCTTATGTGTTTATCATGAGTTGATGAAATATAAAATCAGAGAGTAGAAGTAAATACTTGCAATCGGTTAGAGTATAAGAGATCATACATCAAATTTGGTGTCGTGTGAGTCTCTAAACTTGATCTGTCCGCTATGAACGACAACCCTCTCAACTTTTGAAAAAAGTGACCAGCAATATTTTCCTTTCTTCTCCATCTATTTGGTATTTCTTTATTTTTTCCATTGAGACTCTCATTTTCTCTTGAACTATGAACAGATATTCGTTGACGTGAGAAGACACAACTTTTAAGATTTTCGAAAAACTTTTCCGCAGCATGAAATATCTAAAAAAAGCGCACACTTTAAGGTATGCAGCAACTTGACATTTATCTTTCACGAGATACAAGCGTACCTTTCATCGATTTTCACTGTTTGACTTATTTATTACGTATGATTATTCTGTAGTTTTTGGTTTTTGCTTAGATTAAAAGTAATGATACTAATTATTGAAATGAAACTGTGCTTACTATTAATTTTGAAATTGATATTATGTTCATCGACAGGAACAAAAACAAAACTAACATTGAACGAATATTTCGATTTTACAAACTATCCATCACTGAGTATTTCTCCTAGTGGTCAACATTTGCTCATTCAATCCAAACGTCCATCATGGAACTCGAACTCTTATGAAAACAGTTTATGGTTATACAACATTGAAACGAAAAGAAAACAACTGATTACAAGAGCACTTTCGGAATCGTTGAAACCACAATGGTCACCAAGTGGAAATTGGATCGCTTTTTTACTAAATCAAAATTCAATTCCATCATCCGATAAATATCCAAAAGTAAATGAGTATATTTACTTATATTCAGTCATATCAAATGAATGGCTGCCTATTTATATTGGTAAAGAAGCACCATTAGCTTTAACATGGTCCAACGATGATTTCTCTCTTTACTTTGTTACATTTGCATCAATATCTCCAAAAGAAGATGCAAATTTGCAAAAGGTCGAATGGAAAGACGTTATTCAATATCGATTATCTAAATCTAATGAGGGTAGCTCGATTCATCGTATTGACATCGAAAAGAATAATCAGACATCATCCACGAGAACATCTTTTATTAAGAATGTTCCATTTCTGATTACAGAATTATTATTTGTTCCATTTGAAGAAAAACTTGTGCTAATGTCTTTTTCCACACTTTTTGCAAAAATGGACAATATTGAGATATATTCACTTAGTCTAAAACATTTATCGACATTATCCAGACTAACGAACAATGATCTATGGGAACGTGAATTACGATTATCAAATGACAATAGGCATGTGCTGTTCTTAGCGTTCGGTAGAGAGTCAAGTCAAGGAAAATTAAATTCTATCCAACAGCGATTATATTCGTTGGATTTAACCAATGGGTTTGTTGAAAGGCTGGCAAAAGATTTTGATGGTAACATTGCAGGTTATATGACAAAACCTGATGGTGGTGTTTACATACTAGGACAGCTTGGCACAGAAACTCAAATTTATACACAACAATCGCCGATACACAAATTGATTTATCATCAAGGATGGAATGGAACATACGAGCGAATTTCATTATCGTCAAAACGAAATGGTCCTATTGCATTTATTTATTCGTCATTCGAACGACCAAAAGAAGTTTATCTTATGGATAATATTGATCAAATTCAGTCAGCACAGATATTAACAAGTGAAAATAAACTATTTACACAGCGAGATTTACCAAGAGTAAAAGTTTATCAATGGAAAAACAATGAAGATCAACGAACGATCGAAGGCATTTTGCATTATCCACCAGGAAAATTTCAATCAAAAAATTTACCCTTGGTTGTTCTGATTCATGGCGGTCCAGGTCCGGCAAGTACTAATTCATTCACTGCAGACTGGTACACTTGGGCACCATTTGCAGCCTCGGAAGGTTGGCTTGTTTTAGAACCCAACTATCGAGGTTCATTTGGATATGGCGATCAGTTTCATAACGAAGTTTTTCTTCAACCTCTATCTCGACCGGGTAGAGATATTCTTTTAGGAGTTGATCAGCTAGTTACTGACGGTATAGCTGATCCAAATAGACTCGCCATTGGTGGTTACAGTTATGGTGGTTTTCTAACAAATTGGCTGATTACCCAAACTACACGTTTCAACGCTGCTCTGTCCGGTGCTGGTGCAGTGGAGTACGTCTCCGCTTGGGGCACGGTGGATACATCCACGTTTATCCCTTCTCTGTTCGGAGGATATCCATGGGACGTACCACAGAACTACCAAAACGAATCGCCTATTTATCATTTATCTCAAGTACGGACACCTACGCATATTATAACGGGCGAAAAAGACGTACAGGTTGACAGCAGTCAAAGTTTTATATTGGAACGTGGGCTTCATTATCTCGGAATACCCGTACAACTATTAGTTTTTCCAAATGAAGGACATGAATTAAACAAGAATCCTTGGTATGGAAAAATAAAAGTTCGCGAAGAGCTGAAATGGCTACACAAATATGCCAATCGATCATTGACCATAATGAAAGACTAGAATTATTGAATGATAATTACTTTGTAGCTATTCACATTTTCGAGAATATGAATTAAGAGAAAAGAATAGTCCTATGTAATATCTCGTGAAGAACATAGGTGAAGGGTATTCAGATGCAGAGAGTTGCTTACTAGAACACTTGCTTAATAAACCTCAGTACAAATATGAACGCATTCTTCGAAAGATTCAATAGAGCTCCATGAGAGAAAAGAGAAAAAAAAAAGATAAACTCACGTAAAACGAAAATTACGAAGTCTTCTTGAAAAAAGGCAAAAGTCCGATAGATATTTAATTGATAAACAGAAAATGATGATACTTAAAAATAAAAATGGGTGTGGGTGTGAGCACAAATAGAAACACACCAATGCCTACATCTACACCCACACCCCCTGGTTACGCCGGTGCCCTCAAACATAAAATTTGGATATAAAATTACCATTAACATTACGAATCCATTGAGAGATGGTGTCATGAATGAATGGATACATGACTGATTTTGACAGCAGCAACGTCTTAAATAGAACTATAAAAGTGATATTGCTTGATTTTGATCGTAATGGTCCATCATTTTAGAAAAGTTGACAGGAACCCGGCCAGGTAGATCAACTTGACTTGCACACGGCCATAATACGGTGCACGCGACAACATCAAATTACGGCGATTTACGGTTGGCAACGTTATAAAACGGTAGTATACGTTGCCTCATGCGGCCGTCTACGATGGTATAAGATCGCCGTAATGTTCGTCCTGGGATGTATTGAATCGAATTAGAGACGTTGATGCCATCTGATGAGATCATTAAGTAAGATTGAAACGCGTCATGGCTGCTTATCTCACACCCACACCCTCATTCAAGATGTTTAATAAAAGTGTTTATTTGACTAATGCTTTCTCAAAAATGTTATCAATAGTTGGCATGAAAACAAGAAATGTCTATAATTCGTTTTTGTTCACCCATTGAAGTAGTCGTATATCACCTGCTTCTGATAATTCACGATATTTCGCTTTATACATCTTTTCCAGTTTCACTCGATCACAATGCGGTGAGTTAATGATGTCACAGCATTCATCCACGTTGTCGTCCTGACAAAAATATCCACCCGCGCCTAATGATAATTCTTGATAATACTTTCCAATTTCATATGTGCATTCATCACAATAAGCGTACACTCGCGGTAATGGTTGATTACGCTCTTTTAGTTTTAACATTAATTCATCAAATCCTGTCGGCCCATGAAATAATCCCGTAGACATATTATCTTCACCGTCTGTAACTATAATTATTTCACAATCAGCACAGTCGTTGTTTTTCATGGAATCCCATATAAACTCCCATTGAAAGGTCGAGCCATCTTGTGCGGTCCATACATCAAGAACATGGGAATCCAGATTATCTTCGTTGATTCGATTATGATGTGTTAGAATTTGACGCGATTTATCTTCACTACCAATAAAATATATATCTGTGTTCGATTGATATGTATAATCGAGTAGAAATGCTTTTTAAATAATTTTTAGCTTTATCTAATCGATTACCTGCCATTGATCCTGAATTATCAAGAAATACATGCAATGTTTCCATTCCTTTCTCAAATTCTCGATTTGGAAATGGTATAACTGGTACAGCTTGTCCTTGTGTTATAACTCGATTATTTAAGTCTTCAACCAAATTACGGCATAATCTATCCTCATATTGTCGGTTTTCACAACTCTGTAAACAAAACTGCAACTCTGCTAAATAATATTTTCGTATGTTTGGGTTAATTAGCTTCTCTGCACAAATATTAAGAAAATTAAATACTTCTTCATGTAACACATTTGCTTTGTCGGGATGGTAACGTTTTGATGCAGCACGCCGTTTCGTTCTTATATCTTGTTCATCAATTGTAGGCATTCCTGGTTTAAGATCTTTTATTTCATATAACATTTCAATGCATGAACATCTTTGAATTGGATCTTCAAGACAAATTTCACCTTTATAACCATATTTATATATCTTTCTTTTTGCAAATGTTAAACCGTTATTCAATTCATTGTAAATATCTTGAAGAGCTCGTCTACTCATTATAGTAGACGCAGATTCTTTTGGTAAAAGTAATATTATTACGGTTATCACGAAACTAGCAAACACTAATGATTTCATTATAAAACGAATGTCGGAATATAAGTGTGATATATGCTTATATATTTTGGCAAAAACGCATAATAGATAAGAATTTTTTGTGTCGGTGGAAAAAAAACCTCTCTTACTGACGAACTATGAAAATAATGCCTCATTCTGTTATTGTCATAGTTTATCAGTAAGAGAATGAGATGAATGTGATAACAAGTTGAAAACAGCCAACTTCATGACCCAAATAAATTACTGAATTATTCGAAATTTACATATTATATGAATGTGTAAAAAGATATACAGTAAAATCTCTCTATATTGAACACGAAGGGGACTGTCTAAAGTGTTCACTATACGGAGGTTTTTCATTAACTGATCTTTTATACATATACATGTATAGTGCACGCATAATGTAATTTATTGATGAATACTTACATTTCGTTCGAAAAGTCACTCCAATTCGCACAAAAAATATTTATTTTGTCCACCACACGTCCTTATTCAAGTTTTATTAAACGAAGTACTACAAAGAAAATGTTTCTAATTAACACATATTAGACATATTCATTTTTTAAGAAACAGAAACCATCGGTCGTTGTTTGTTTGCCCCTTCTAGTAAATGAAAAATTGAGGGAGTTACGAGTCAAACTGAGAAATGAGAAAATGTAGTTGTGGTTGTTGAGTGACAGATAGAATGGAAGGCATAATCATCTAACCATTTCCATTGCCTCAGTGATCTTCGGTAGTTTTGCAGTATGAATATTGTCATCTTACAATGATAAATATAAATGTGAGATATTTTTTCACGTGTGACTAGTCAATGAGTTGATCTATCAACACTTCAAAATGAAAGCTGCGTTTACTTTTGTTTCTCTTTTGTTCCATATATACGCACACGCACACACACACACACATACTTTGTTGCGTGTGTGTTCACTATATAGTTTTTATTTGCTAAAGGGACTGAAAAATAGTATTCGTGTTCAGAGGTGTGGACGTGAATGCAGCTTTGACTGTATAGCAGATATTCAAATGCACCCACCCACACACACCCTCGTAAGCTTCTAATAAACTTTATTTTGAATTTAAACATAGAAAACCTTGACTATTATTGCAGATGGCGATACAAATTCACGTCGACAACAAACAAATTCATCACGTCCGAAAGTTGATAAATTTGCGGAAGTGCAATTGTTAGTTATTTACTTTAAAAAATAATTTATTCCACATACATCAACCGAAAGATCGAAAGAGGACAGTAAACATCTATTCCATGGAGATCCTACGCCGGAACCACCGCCTATTACAACTACTGATTCACCAACAAGGGCACTGTAAGACCATTGAAAGTCTTCACTTGAAAATAAGTGAATATATTATACCTCCCTTGGTTTTTTGCATAGATCTTCTGAATTCACGACAACTAATTGCTCCTATAAAAGAACCAGTAACAGGAAACTCAGAGAGTAACAAAAACTCAGAGAGCAGTGAAAGCTCGGCTGAAAGTTACTCGAGCGAAAGAGATAGTAATGAGAGCTCAGTTAAATACACATCCAGTGAAGACAAATAAACTATTGTGAAACCTGTTGCTGACAACCGCATTGTTGAAAAGTAATTTTTCAACATCAGTGTATCTTTTTTCAATGAGCTGCAATTTCATCGCTTTATTTCAAACTTGAATTGATGAATAAAAACGTTTGAAAAAAAATTCATAGTTTAAATCAAGCATAAAGAACGTTTATTTAATGTGAAAAGATATTTGCATCAACGTTTTTAGATTTTTTTTTCTTTAGAATTCAATCATAAAAGGTGGAGAATTTTACAAACAATCTGTTTAAGCTCTGTAATTGCTGTCAAAATTTTAAATTGAATGACCAATCCGCACCCTCACCTCTAATTTAATATGAACCTGATACATATCTATTTCTATAGCAATAGTAGGATCCAGATGAATACAAAAAAGAAAGTAGCTATTTATACAAACAAAAACTTCGAACCGATAAAAAAACAAAATAAACTTACACAAAAAACTAAAGTAGAATCGGTTTGGAAACGAAAGACCACGACCTCTGGCTCGCCTCTCCTCGTGCAATGTTTTGAAACGAATTGGCCGATAGACACCGAAGCTTTCTGGCCACCAATTATTTGTTCTTCGCAATGGAAGCCTCATGTCGTGCAAGTAGATTTCGATTTGTTCAAGCCAAAAAGATCGAACATGCGGAGCCGTTGTACCGAATCGATTATGTATCAACTCACGTATTGTTGCAATCTATTTTTGCACTTCTTCTCAATTCAGAAGTAATTGAATTCCTTTAACATAATCTGATACCCAATGAAAAATTACTTCATCAATCATTCAAGCTCCATTCGGGGACACATAACCCAAAAAAATAGGAACAGACCAACGCCTACACCCACACGCACGCTCTTCAGTCGTGGCGAACTTGAGTAATCGTTCAACGATACTCTCGAAACACTATTTATAGAAACGATATTGAAATTTAATAGAATATCGTTTTTTTCAACAAATAAGAAAAGCAAATTAAACTGTTTTAGATTTTGTGCGTAGAAATAAAGAAACTAACAGTACTATTACACATCCAATAATAGAAGAAAAACAAAAGTAAAGAAAGTATGACAGTACAGAACCACTGTAAATCATTTTTATTTCGTTGAACGCCTTTTTTGCTTGTTCGGGTGTTGCATTATTGACTTTTAGTTTTTCCTCGGTCATGAACATCATATTTTGAAATAAACTGGGATTCATAAAATGCTGATAAACAGCAAGCCATACAGCTGTTATCATTCCATATATAGTTACCATTATTGTCCCTGTTTTCATTCCTTGTGCAAATGATAGATGCCCGTTAGTTGATTGCTTTTGTTTCCAAATACAAATAATAATAAACAGATAAAACACAAACGCTGAGGCAAGTCTTGTTATTTCTCCCATTTTAATTTGGGTGGTATTAAAACCTAGTGCATGTTCAATGAGTACCCAAATAATAAATGACAGCGATGCTGTTATACCATATTTAATTGAAATTGTATTCATTGTAGAAAAATGAATGCTTTACTTGTTACCAATCACAAAAAATTAACACTTGTCCAAAAGTTTATTTTTAAAAAGCACAACAATTAAGAGTTTCTGAAAGCATAATATAATTGAAGGTTTTATTCTTGTACAAATGTGTTCGAGGGTGCGGGGCGCGAGTGGCAGTATGTTCATAGTCATAACCCACACTTCTATTGTTATGAGCAGTCATTCTATTCCGCAATGTTCAACATCGCGAAATAGAATGTATTCTCGTTGTTATTTAGTTACTGTTTTGTCTCTGTTAACTAAAATTTATTAGCAACTACATATATCAATAAACTTTATTCGTACATCACCATCTTGAGAGTGTGTGAGTGTGGATAGGTATGCACGTGCTACTGAATGTCTTGCATTTTATGCACACCTACACCCAACATACCCATAGACCAGTATTAGTTTGACAACATGTTTCTTTTTCAAAACATGCTACTGTGAATAAATTCAGTGGATTTTTTTTCTTGAACTGAATAAACTTACATTATTTGGACATCCATAAGAATCTCCATTAATTCCAACGATTAGTGATAGAAGAAATAAAAGCAAAATCGCTGATACTAACTAAAATAAAATCAAAGATACTGAAGAATAAGATGGTTTCAAAAGACACCTCGAATAGATAAGAAAAACAATGAAGAAAGAGAGATAAGTTATTCTCTATTTCGTGATATAATATACAGATGAAATGATCTGATAAAAATACTTGAAATATTCTCATGTAACAGAAGGAATATATTTTCAACGAATCGTTTCATTAAGAAACTGTGAATAATTCTATGTCATTCAATAAGATCGCATTCATATGTCAAATTCAATCAAGATAGCTTAACCAACATCGTCCTTTTGGAATATGATCATCATATTTTCCTCGATTTTTCTAAGTTTAAAAACGAAGAAAGATTTGAATGACTATTGGATATATAACCAATAGATAAATAAGAGATCGTATGTTGAGAAAGCAAGTCTTGCATTTGTATCTGTAGAACAATTGTTAACTTTTGGTTTCTTATTTTTTATTGATGGAAAATTTTTTTCATCTACAAAGAACTCGTCAACAAACGATATATTACAATCAGAACAAAAAAATCATCGAACAATTGTCAGAGGAACTCAATGATGAAATTAAGAAGAGGGACAAGAGGAGTTTCGATTATGATCATCCTTGATCAAAAGACAGAATAAAACAAATTGTCGATATTACTCAATGAGTTTTACAAAATCATCAAGGGGAATATTGCTCTTTTCGTTTCGATCATGTGAATATTTAAATGTCTTCTTTTATCAAATTATTTCGTAAGAAAATATTTTATTTGATATTATTACTATTTGAATAAGCACAATCTTATCAAAAAATACTTTTATATAGAAATATGTGTTGTTTTCAATGAAGACAATATATGTTGTATATCAATATCAATTGAGGCTTAGCCAAAATGCTCCAGAGTTTGCAGAATGTTGTAAACTTGATCATAATCTGCATACATAACTCAGGTGAGTGAATCCGACAACAAATCTTATCGATTCCTCGATCCGACTTTCAACAGAATCCGATAGGATTCCTGGACACGCACCTATTGTCGGTTCCGACGGAAAAAAATCATTTTCTTATTCACGCCCAAGTCGAACAGTCCGGCCTGGAAACGGGTGGTTCCGGGTAGCTTCGTTGATTTTGTGGAAGTAGTATTCCGGTTGGAAATTTTTCGCATGTTTTCCGGTGATTTCCGATCAATTCCTGCCGGAAAACACCGGAACTTGGTAGGAATTCTCTGGAAAAGTCCGACCGTATTTTTGACCGGAATACTACTTCCATGTTCCAGCGATTTCCCGTGTCTTCCTGCAGGATATGGTGATTTTCCAACATATTCCCTGGAGTATCCTACGGGATCTGGTGACCGGAATGTTCAACCTGGGCGATCAAATAAGCATTTGAGCCACCAGAGCGCAAGGGTGATTCGATAGAGTTGGATTCCGTTAAAATCCGACATCGGATCTGATTGGATTCAATACCAAGGATCCGACTATAGGTCCGTGTTCAGGAATCCCATAAGATTTCATCGGTTTTATTGAAACACATATGGCATTCGGTATATTCACTGTCTGACCCTTGCTGGAATCCGATAGGATCCTACTGTCGAAAAGATTCTTCGGGGAATATCAAATTTTATGGAGAACTAAAATATAACAGCAAAATTTAATTTAGAATTTCAATCGGATAACAGAATTCCATACCAACACGGATCATTCGTCCTGTGCATACATTAACATAGAATTCTATTCAAGATTTAAACAAAACACATAAATCCACGAATTCCAATTTCTGCTTAGTAAGCATTCTACAACTGGTGAAGAGAAGAAAATCTCTAAATGATCTTGAACAGATATCATGCTAAAAATTCGATTTAACCCAAGAGGGAAGACATTTGATTGGTTGAATGATTTTGATCAATCAATCAAGTCATTCTTTCCTACGCTATTGTTCAGGTCTTTTCTTCACTTTCATTGTGTCTGCCTTCAACATTTTTTTTCATCATGAACATTAAATGAGATCGTTAGATTCATCTTTGACATTTCGAGTTTTTTTAATTACTTAATGTTAAAGAGGCCTATTCAGCATCGATCGTGTCTATTATTTTGATCAATATTGTCAACAGGTAGAAAGACCAGATTAGAATGCAAGTGAGAATTTGTATTTTGCGATCTCTTCAATGAATATCGATGTGAAATGATTTTAACTCTTCATCTAGAATTTTTGTTTTGTTTTGTTCGGCAAAAATTAGAAGCTTTCTCACCTGCCGCCAGTTGGCTGGCTAAATCGATGGTATTCAAGCATTTGTTTATGATTTGGTAAGAGAGTTCAGTTAAAGGTTGCCTCTAGTTTTCTTTCATAGTGGTACAATGGTGTAAACATCAACGTTGAGAGAGAAGATGATTAGAAGAAATGAGACCATTCCTTCATTATTTCAAAATTAGCGATATTTGTCAGCGAACGACAATATGACATTATCATTTAGCTACAAACTACTCGACATCGATCCGACTTAATATTTGCTTTAACGTCGTTTTACCAATAGAAAACTGCGGTCGATGAATTTCTTTGACAATTTTGAAGAATACCTCGATTGTATTGTCTTTTGTTTCAATTAAGGCTTTCTCCATGATAATCAACACTACTAATCAATGATGTTCATAATCGATTACCTGAAGTTCTGGACGATTTCAATCAACAATCAATGGCATTTCAAGTCAATCATCTATGGAATACCTTTTTGGCTGGCGAAGACTTAAGGGCAACAACATCAAGTGACACACTCAGCATTAAGATCAACATCGTGGCATTGAGTTGCTTAATTATGGCTGACTATTCTACTGTCATCAATGGTCTTGAGTGAGTGATCATTGCGAATACTGAGAAACAGAAATATATCGAAAGATGAATTGTTCGTTATAAAAGAAAGAAATTAAGAATCTATATTGTGAGAGAAAGATAGAAAAACAATGCTCATTCTCATTCTTATTTACTTTCAATAGAGATCTCGATGTCAATCTCTACGAATAGTTAAATCATCGAATTATTTGTACTGAAATAATACAATAAAATTTGGATTTCCTAAAATTATTGAAAGATCACAAAATGCAAACATCTTTCTCTCAATTAATGTGGCTTTACACATCGTTCTACAAGAATCAGTGCCGACAGTAGAAAACGCAAGTGTATTAGAGTGTTTGTATACACAATTGATGTGCCCTTCTCATTCTCATCTATCAAACAATGTGAATATATTCCTACGATTGTCCAAATCTGTCAAGAATTTGAAAAAAATCTAGCTCTCGGTTTGCTTGATCTATTAAAGAATGCAGTGGAAGAAATTAATGGTTTCGATCGTAATCACAATCGTTACACAGATGCAGCATTGAATTCAGTAAGTATTTGTTTGTTCATCACTTATAAAATGACATTTCCCGATCTATTTTGTCTTCTCTCATCAAGGCGTGGTTGGAAATTCAACATCTTCCTGGAACAATCATTCTGACCGCCCGAACGATCATCTTAACAGGCCTGAAACGGCTATAAAATGTCATAATAAGGAGTTAATTTTCACCGTATGTCGCCTCAATCCGTCAGCTCGTTTTACGGACCGTTTTATTCCGCTAGAAAACGGCCATTGTTTTTAACAGTAGATTCGTCGTTTTCAGATTTGACGGAAACGGCGTTGTTTTTCAATGCTTTATACCGTTTTTACGCCTTTTACGGCCATTTACGCACCGTTTTTTTTGGACTTGGGTTATTGACAATTTATAAGTATCAATCAAGAATAAGCGATCTTCATCAGAGTATCTTGTGATTTTCCCGTAAAAAAACAATCTTTCAATTTATATTCAGATATTCGTCAGATATTCTCATTAGAGTTTCTTTTCTGCTTTTCCTTGATTAATTATTTGAATTAAATCTGCTGAAAAAGAAATATTCTGTCTTTTTTTTTCTAGATGACTGATTGTTCAATCGAAGTTCCAGATCTTTGTTGGTTGAATATTTGTCAATATTTATCAATAAGGGATATCGCTCAATTGTCATCAACATGTCGAATCTTACACCATATGTTATGGTCACGCCAATAAGCATTGTAGATTTATTTAATTCATCTGAAATTTCATTCATCTATTCTTTGTCAACCCATGAGAGCTTTATTTGATCAAGATGAAGATGAAGAAGCAATCATTGTTGAGAATAACCGATTTTCTCAACGACTTTTATTTGATATCGAAGCATATGAAGTTCTACACGAAAATTTTCTCAATCCGGAACAGTGTCGAACTTGGCATGTTGGTTTTACTTTAGCAGAAAAAGAGAAGCGTGGCTTTTTTGCCTGGAGACGATTTATATTTCCAAGTTCTATTCCCTTCTTGAATTGTCCTGTTCCATTATCATCTAAATTATTTCGTTTGTACTATTATCGGTAAGCAATGTTTTCTTTCTTTTAAGATTAAACAAGAAAAGTATCTCAGCACCGATTGGTACAATTATCTATGGTTATCTAATAGATTCTCGTCGTTGTTTATCCTTTGGTGATATGTCCTATCGAAATAATACAATGTCCAAAGATGAACAAAGATCAATGAAGATTGACAATGATGATGGTATTTCTATTACAAGATCTTATGAATCATCGATTCCTCCTCTTACCACATATCTTTTTTTCGATAAAATTCCTCTGTGGGCCGATTTGCTTCCAGGTCGCTACAATTTAATATGCCAAATGCGATTACGACGTCATGTAAGAGAAATTTTTGTCATTGATTTTTTAAATGTTCATTTTCTATCAGAATTGAAGAAAAAAGAAAAATTATTGAAAAAAATTTATTCTTTTAGCTTGTCGATAGTTGTCCTAACGATGGTTATTTGCTTGGTAGGGCTCCTTTTGCGATTTTTTTGTTAGGCGACCGAGCTGACCGTGGTGGTCGATGGAATACTCTTCGATATCCTTGGTTGAAAAAACAGCCTCAAAAATATGGTGACGATCGCTGGTTTAATGTTTCTTTTAGAAAACTTTTTTCTTAATGACATTTCCAATGTTTATTTTGGTATTCGTGTTAAAAATAATTATCCGATTCTCTTTGATGTTTGGATCAATACTATTCAATTGAATTTAATCGCAATTAATTAAATATTTTTTTTCATTCATCATTGACTCGATCAAAACAAAACTCTTCCGAAAAACTTTTGTTTGGTCTGAAATAATCTTGTACCGTTGTAAATAAAACGTTGAATAAAGGGCGAAATCGATTTTGAAACTATGTTTATTTCATGTAATATGATTGAAATGAATTTCTATATCTGATTGAAAGAAAATCTAAAGAAGAAAGATATCATTTAAACCGAAAACGTCGTTCATGTGGAATTTTTTTCTATTGAATTGTGTGTGTGAGCGTGCGTGTGATTGATGATACAATCATTCTCTACATCCTACCCCGCACCCTTTAGTAACCACACAGTCTATGCATCTAACAGTTTTTCATATGCGGTAATTACCGTCTCAATCTTATTGTAATCCATTTCGATAGTAAGAGCATCGATATCCTTTTAGGAAGTTGGATTACAATTCTTTCATTGGCAATCTACAAATTGAACCGAAAAAATTATCCTAAAGAAAAGAATTTAAAAAAATAGACTACTGTCTATTGTAGCAAGGCATAGCTTGTGCATACATACTGCCATTAAAAAATCTAATTGACTGCGTTTTATTTCTCTTCAGTCAAAAATACTGTTCGACTAATCAGCTTTCTCTTTGGTTCATAGTTTGCATGATAATCTATCGATTTGAGCATATGTGTTAATGTGATTGACAATGGATTGTTAGGAATGGAAATATTAGCATACAGTCAACAGTTATTGTGTAGTCTTTTGCCTGTTCATGGGCAGTTTCACCAGCCGATACCGAGATCCACAAGATCATTCGTACACAAATGAATAGTACGTATCCATGTTTTATCTTTCAATAAAGTAAGGAAAATTATGGAAATGAATTTCGTCCCTAGTAATTGAACTGAAATTCTTCAAAAGATAAGTTGTTTATGTAAAAAAAAACATAATGAACGAGTGTGGCAAAATCAATGATTCTCGAATTTTTCACATAAAGCTTCAAGGTAAAAAGATAGAAAAATCATTTTTGAGACGTTTTAACACACTTGATCGTATATCATGAATGAAATATAATATTTTATTAATATGAACAATATGGGAGAGCGAAAATTGGTCGAACGAAAAACGGTCGCCGATACTTGATCGATACGAAAATTGGTCGAAAATTTTGTAATAGAAGAACAAAAGCTTCTCTTTTTAAAGCAACCCGAACTTTGTAGTGTAAAGGTGAAACTAGCACTAATTACATTATCATGTTAATATTAGAGGGAAATAGTGATTCGGACAAATAAATTAGGCATACACAATAAACGAAAATAGTTTAGAACTTAGGAAGAAGACCTTCTAACTATTTTAGTAACGTTGCCTGTTTTGAGAACACGGTGACCACCTCATCCTCATCTTCACCCACACCCTCACCCCCAAGATACACTTCGGACTTAGAGTTTCCGTTTAAGAAAAAGCTTTTGTTCTTCTATTACAAAATTTTCGACCAACTATCGGCGACCAATTTTCGTTCGACCATTTTTCATTCGATTAATTTTCGTAGACCCGAAAAATACTAACGGTTTAGTTTTAGTTATCCCTGAAAAAGTCATATTAAAATGCATCGTCATTCAGAGAATGTCCGATGTCATAAACGATTGGCAATTTTCATACAAATTTCAATAGATTAGTGTTTTAAATTTTTATTTCATTTTTCATAACAAAAAGGAAATTTGCATAGTCTTATATTCACCGGAGTTTATAGTTAGTTTTGGTTTATTCATATCTGACAAATAGAAATCAAGCAGAGAATAGAAAAATAAGTAACTAATAATCTATCGCCGAAGTTGCTGATGAATACTGAGCATTTGTGATGAAACTAAAGGTTTCTAGAAAATAAAAATTAAAAATTAAAAATACAATAAAAAGATATTCAATATACTTGAGCATAGAAAGAGGGTGGTTCTTGTGTTTTAAGCCTTTTTGCAAGAGGTTCATGATTTTCTTGCATAGCCTAATAAGAAGAAAAATAATTGTCTAAGATATAGTTCAGTATTTAATCTTACAAGAAGATGTACATGTGGATGTTGTTCTGGTATGAGAATCATTTTATGAACAGGAGCATGACAATTTTCTTGTGTTACTTGAATTGATGATTCTTCCATGGGAGGAGGTGCTTGTTGAGCAGCTGTTTGTTGTTGCTGCTGCTGTTGATCTTCTTCTTCAACAATAAATTCACGCTTTCCGTATGGAATGTCCATACCATAGAAAGCACTGATAAAAAATTTTTTTAAATGCATACTTATTTTATCGAAATATAAATAATTACTCGTGATGAGGTAAAGGTAGCTGTTTAAAAAATGGATCAGTGAGAGCATATTCAGCTGTAATACGCTTGTTGGGATCAAACGTTAGAAAACGTTTCATTAAATCTAATGAAAAACTTGGATGCCCATTAGGGAAAACTTTTTTCATCCATTGTTCTATACTACAATGACCATAACTAAAGGAAACAAACAGCAATCAAAATAAATCAATGATGTTCATGAAATAATTACTGAATAGCTCGAAAACCTTCTTTACTCAATCGTGGATGATCAGGCAATTGTTTGATACCGGGCCAATCATTATCTAAAATATAAGTTAGCAATTATAAAAGTTACGATATAATATCAATATTGAACTCGTATCAATTTTTGCTAAGAGTTGCAAAAACACTGCGTTCAACTTTTCACGCTCATAACTCATACCTGATGGATAACCAAGAACTTGGAACATTTTTTCAAGTGCATCACGATTAAAAGGTGATGATGCTTTGATATCATCTTGTTTACAATGAAATAACGGTTCAAGTGTTAATAATTCATATAAAATACATCCAATAGCCCATAGATCTATTTAAAAAACATGAAAGCTGAAGAATATTTGATAATACGATTCTTTACCTATGGCTTTTGTATGATGATGACTCCCAAGCAGAAGTTCAGGCGATCGATACCACAGTGTAACAACGACTGGATCAATTTTACTTAATGGTACAAGTGGCGCATTGAATAAACGTGCAAAGCCCATATCAGCTATTTTCACTCGACCACGTTCAGGACCATCGCCCATTAATAAAATATTAGCTGGTTTCTAAACATTGAATAAAGATTAGAATAAATTTCATTTTATTTCAGTATTTACTAAATCTCTATGTAAAACCCAATTTGAATGTAGATAATGAATGCCAGCAAGAATTTGATAGAGAATCGATTTGATCATTCCAGGTGCACATGGAACTGTTTTTTTAGCAGCTTTCGCCGCTCGATGATATTTAATTATATGCTAAATAAAATGAATTCTATTTGATGAATCATAAAAATTTAATGTGAAAAGAGTTCGAGCAATATTCTCAAATGAAGAAGAATCAATACTTCGAAATTCACTCAATATTTTAATTTCATTTTATGTTTTCTTAACGATAAATAACGTATGATTAATTGCTTCATAACTAAAAATGACTCATTCTTCAGGTTTCGAAATAAGTACTTTCAAACAATCGAACACTAGTGTAGAATGCACCAATCAAATCTCCTGTAGTTTAAATACCGAACAGAGTATCTCTACCTGAACATACCCAAAGATCGTGTTCAGCAAAGTCAAACAGTAATGAAACTCGTCGATCTTCATGTGATAAAAAAACACGTTGCAAATTAATAAGATTTATATGATTAAGTTCTCGTAGTAACTAGAATACAAGAAATTTGAATTAATATTCAAAAATTAAAACATCAAAAAAGTGAAATTTACAGCGATTTCTCGTATGGCACTATTTGACATCGATTGTCCAGTTGCTAAAACAAAAATCTGAATAAACAAAAAAAAACATTTTATTTCATTTTTACCATCGATTTGTTTCAATGCGTAATCGGTTGTATCAGTTCTATTAATAATCGTATTAGAAAATAAATATATATATATATATATATATTTTTTTTTTTTTGCAATCAGTAATCAAACCTGTCTTTTCGTTTTGCTTTAAAAACTTTCCCATAAGTTCCACGACCAATCATTCGGCCTTGAAATTCGAAAAGATCTTCGACTGATCGTCGATCTTGATCTCGTTGAGCTCGAAATTCAAAATCCATTGGTTTGTTTTATCACATTAAACCCTCATGATAATATTTTTCTTGTCTAAAATCAAGTTCATTTCTATTTATAATTGATTCGAAGTTTAAAAGAAGAAAAAAAACTCCTTCAATTCTACACACTATGCTATTTTCTTCATCGTATAATTATATCGAAAGAATTGATTTCGATTTAAAAAAAATAAAAATAAAAATAAATTTCAAGCTTCATAGTTTTTGCAAACTCAATTACATCAACACAAATAAAACAATCGAGCTAGGCATAATCCAATGAAAAATTTTCAACAAATTTTATCCATTGGATCATTTTTCCAACAATAGAAATAAGTGAAACATATTTTTTCTTAGTCATTCTCTAGATTTAGATTTAGTGAAAAGCTACTCAACATTATTACATTTAAAACAATGGGTGGACGAAATATTAGTACAACAAAAAGTGGAAAATTTATGAATCCAACAGATCAAGCTCGTAAATTTTCTTATTTTTTTCAAAATTCAAGCATTTTACTGTTTTATTACTTTCTAGGAAAAGAAGCTCGAAAAAAAGAATTAAAGAAAAATAAGAAACAGCGTCTATTAGTTCGACAAAATGTTCTCAAAGGAAAAAATCCAAAGAGTCTTGTTTCCGAAATGGAACACCTTGATCGAATGGAATATGATCCAGTTAATCCTGCACCTTACAATATTAAAGTTTTACAAGAAAAACGTAAAAAAGTCAAAGAAACATGGGATCGAGTTTATCGACTTTATGTAAGTGAAAATGAAAAATGATTTACTTATCATTTTGTTTTCTGTTACAGTCAAAAGATCAACCTGAATCAATGGCACAAATGGATTCATTGTTGGCTGAATATGAAAGAGGTCGCGCTCAACTTATTACTTGGTTCGGTAAGAACTCTGTTATTGAGAATTTCTCGATCAATGTTTGTCTTATTTTAATTTTCATGATAGAATCAGTCAAAGAAACACAACGGGTAACTCTTGATGAGATTCCCATGCCAGAATTACCAAGTGGATCAATAACAACAGCAACAACTGAAATTAATACCGTGCCAACAGGTTTCCATGATGCACCGCCGCGAAGTATTCTCAAACAAAAAGAGTAAATGAAAAATAAATTCGCTATTTTTTTTCACTAGTTCATATTTTTCTTTTAAGTTCCAATGAACCAACACAACGTATTTTAATTTCAAGAAAGCCACCAGGTCCTCCACCTGGTCGACCACCAATATTGAGTGATAATGAAGATATTAGCGATGATGAAGAAGGTAATTATTAATTGCAACTTTACAGTTCTAGAGAGTCATTTTTAAATTTTAGAAACACCGACAGCGACAAAACCGCCTCTGCCAAATGGTAAATTTTTATTGAATCAATTTTTTTCTTGAAAGTTTATTTTCTAATTTCAAAGAACGACGACGTATCCGTTTTGCTGATCCATCATCATCAGCTCCAACAACGGGAAGCGTTAGTCGATGGAGTGATAATATTCCTAATGAAGAAGCAGAATTCGGTACACCAGTTGCTGCTTCTGAACCACCACAATATAATACAGTTAGTTTACAATGAAACTTAATTTGTTTTGTTTTCAAAACACAATCTGTTTTTTATTATAGGAACGACCTTTAATTGTACCACCACCATTTCCACCACCTCCTCGTGGTTAGTTTATAAAGAAAAAGATTCTGAACTTTGAATAATTTCATCCTTTGTTTCCTTTTCAGGAATAAGATTACCTCCACCACCACCTCCTGCAGCATTCTTCGCTGCAAATCCAGGTAAAACTATATCTATCAATTTTTGTTTTCCATCTGAATCTAAATTTACTTTAGGTGTTCGAATGCCTCCCAATATTCGATCATCGTTTCCTCCACAATCCAAATCAGCTCATCAACAGCCACCCAATGTATTCAGTGCACCACCAAGTCTGATTGCTAAACCATCACAACCATCGTCAACAATGAATCCACCTCCTCCACTATCTAAACCCAGTATGACATTTGAAGCTAAACCTCAAATAAGGTATTCAAATATTTTTTGCATTGTCGTATTTTTTTCTATCGATCTGCTTTTTCTGTTAACAGAGCACGTCAAGATGTGACAAAATTCGTTCCCACGGTACTAAAAGTTAAACGTGGTGGTACAGCAAGCAGTACTGGCGTTAAAACTACAGATAAAATGGGTGGAATGCAATCATTATCATCATCATCATCATCTCGTTTTGACGATCCACTCTCAATGAAAGGAAGAATGGGAAATACAGGTGGAATGATAAATCCGCATTTGATGATGGCTGGACCTTCTACTGATGATGCCTACGATACATTTATGAAGGAAATTAATCAATTGATTTAATGACTTGGCGTTTTCTTGCTATTTACCTTTGTTTTTCATTGTTTCTTCGTTCATTTATATTTGTATATAAATCGTATGTTCACTATGTTTAAAGCTTTGCTGTAAGTACAGCACGAAGAGTGAGTATACTCGTAAAATCTAATAATCATTTATCTCAGAATTCAGGCACAAATATCACTTGAACAGGATGTGGATGTGTCAAATCAGACGCACCCTCAAGATCAAACAATTCATAAAATATCTTCCAACTTTTAGTCGAAAATAATGTTTTTTGGAGATACTGAAATTTCTACTAAACTAGAGTCCTTAATAAAGTCACTAATTTAGTAAAGCATACTATACTCACCACTCGTTACTTGATTGAAATCGTATTTTATACTTTTAACGATTTAATTTCCCTGTAGTAGTACGCTTTCTTCTCCCATTTCTACTCGTCGAAAATATGCATAAAACAATCATGTTATAGATAAATCAAAAGAATCGACTGAAATGTTAAAATAATAATCACCAATGATGAAATAATTGAAACCTAAACGGATTACAAGAAAAAAGAATGGTCAAAATAAATAAAATTCTGAGTATCATCTTTATTTTGATAGAAAATATTCAATAAATATTTCCATGAAATTTTTAAGAAACATTGATTTGAACAAAATGACGTATGTATAGTTTTTATCTTGGAAAATCAGCGATAGAAAACTTTTCAGTGGCATTCTATTAGCTAAACATATTTTAGAAGATATAAATTTCAGTAAGGATTTCTAATATTACCGTATGCCGGGTGATACAAAAGTTTTGCAACAGTTTGTCTTTTACGTGTATCTCAGTTCAGACAACACAACAGATCAAATTTCAACTTTAATTTTAAAAGAAGCGCGATTCACTTCTCTACAGACTTGTATCCACCTTAATTTAAAATAATAGAACTGAACGTTTTCATGGATAGAATAGTGTGGCTACATAAATTGCATCTACTTCCCGTACAGTAGTTTTAATAAGTTATTTTTTCTATCGAAACGAATATATCGTTTTAAAAAATAAGACATTGCTAGATAACTCTTGAAACGATATGTGGATTTAGCATTCATACTTTCGATTAGACACAATTTTTCGGAAAGCAATATTTTGAAAATGATGAAATCTTCTCTCTTGATTCTTGCTTTTCAGAAAAAGACTTGTGAAAGTCATTTATGGTCAAACCGAGCTCATTTTCCCAATATTTTATAGAAAACCGATTTATCATTCTGCTTAGAGCTTAAACAACAGATGTTGAAACGAATCAGTTCGAAGAAACACCTGAACATTTCCAAGAATGTTGTTTTTGCGATAATATTTCAGATAGACAGTTTTTATTAGGCATATGTGGATTTAAATCAAACGCAGATAAATAACTCTAAAACAGCACTGATACATGATCGTACTACAAGCATTTTATTTTTAGGTGCCTGCTTACAACCTGGGAAAATTAGAAAAAGTATAGTTAGAACATTGTGTGGGAAATCGATGCAATTTATGTAGTCACACTATTTGACCCCATAGAGACGTTCAGTTCTATTATTTTAAATTAACGTGAATACAAGTTTATAGAGAATTGAATCGCATTTCCTTTAAGGCTAAAGTTGAAATTTGATCTATTATCTGAACCGAGATACATGTAAAAACAAAAATGTTGCAAAACTTTTAGATCTCCCGGTACTTGAAAAAATAGTCTCGTTCAATAATGAATGATAAATGTTAAGTATGATATAACTGATTAAGAGGATATATGCATGAGAAGATTTTACTCAAGGTAAGGTAGATAACATCGAGACACAGAAAAGATAACTATTTTAATATTAAACAAGCAATCTGACCTTCATCTAACTGTATCGTTATACAACTAACGAGGGAAGGTCTCCAAGTGATACCAGCCATTTGGGTTCATATTGTGCTCATAAGTAGAACCCAGTGAGACTATAAAAAGCCTAAAAGATTTCGTGTCATTAGGCCTTTCTTTCAAAGTTAGAACCGTTTTACTAAATTTTCGAGCTTGGACAAGGAATTTATAGAAAAATTGAATGAAGGAATTTCGAACTGAAATTTTCCTAACAATAGGTCTCATCGATGTTAGAAGGTCCCAAAAGTTTCAATGAAAACGGATACATCATTTTCGAGATATTGCAAATTGAAAAGAAGTCAATTTTACGACATTTTTTGGAAAATGGCCGTTTTCATCAATAGGCAATATCTCGAGAATGATGTTTCCGTTTTCACTGAAACTTTTGGAACCTTCTAACATCGGTGAGACCTATTGTTAGGAAAATTTTCAGTTCGAAATTCCTTCATTCAATTCTTCTATAAACTCCTTGTGCAAGCTCGAAAATTTAGTAAAACGGTTCTAACTTTGAAAGAAAGGTCTAATGACACGAAATCTTTTAGGCTTTTTATAGTCTCACTCGGTTCTACTTATGAGCGCAATATGAACCCAAATGGGTGGTATCATTTGGAGACCTTCCCTCGTAAGGAAGAGGTCATGATGCACCGAATATAATAGGAAGGAGTTGGTTCGATCTCACTCTTTCGCTAAAACTCAACAAAAGTTTCCAGGATTAGGTATTCGAGTTGTTTTACCTTACTACCAAAAACATCGAATAATGGATGAATTGAATAATTTAAATTGTTTTAGAATAACTCCAAACTGTGTTTTTACTTCAAGCAACACATATATAGACACACACACACACACACACACACACACACGAAAAAGACACAAGAGAAATTTATTTTTCAAAATTAAGACGAGGACGAAATATTATTTCGTTGTATTTGTTCAATCACATTCCATAATTTAAGTGCTTTACCAATTTTAAGTGTTGATAAATGAAAAACTTGTTCACGCTTTAATTCATATAATTTATTTCCATTAATATGATGTTGATTAAGAACAATCGAAGCATATTCATATCCTTGCTGATGAAAAAAGTTAATTAAATCATTTGTTGTCCAATTATGAACATCAGGTATATCACCACGTAATCCAAGTAATTGTTCAATTGTTACCGGTGGTAAATTATTATTCGTAACTAACGGCTTACGTACTATATGTTCAACCGGATTGGATATACTTTCTATTCGAGACTTTTTAGTTTTATTTGTTGCTGAACATGTTTGACTTCGATTTCGTCTTTTATTTGACATGAGATTATTTTCTTTGGTCATTTGACATTTTTCAGGGATAGATTCTAAAAGTAGATTTTCAAAATTAAATATACACATATAATCACTTGCAAAGTAGATTAGAGAGATTATATTTTGATTGTTCTCATTATTATTGCGTTATCTTTATAAAAAAAAAGCAATGCAGAGCCCGACAATAAAATTACTCTTGTTCCACTATATATGAGATATTATTTTGGGCAAGGTTCGAAGCGATTGCATACACTTGTTGACAAAAGCAGCAAGCATATCTAACATGAAAATGTTTTGTTCTTTATTATATAGTAGATATCGTCATGTGATAATAAATTCTACTTAAAAGTATTTAGCAATCTTCCATTGACCCATATGCACCTATGCTGTGACTTTACACATCTTGTTTCTGGGTTAAAAAACTTTGAAGAGGACCGTTTCTTTTGTGCGCTAAAGAGAATCTGCCATGCCAACTTTATTATCAGTAAATTTCGTGATATAAAGTCAAGATTTCAGTAATTATCACGATCGGAAATAGTAAAGTCATGTACTCGAATGACTGCACTCACAGCTGGAACTGTCAGAAATATTTAACATAAAATTATTATCTCATTACAAGTTTCTATTCAAATTTTCAATTGAATTCTTTGAAATTAATGCTCTTCAATAGACAAAAAATAGTCATAAGAAAATGATAACATTTTTATTGTAAATCGGATGCTCGGTAACCGATAGAGGGCAGTTAGGTACTTTATGGCCGACGTTAATTGTTAGGTCGTTTCTTTTCTTTTTTATCCAGGAAAGTATATATTTTGGAAAATTTTCTATTTACCAGGTTTATATACGGCAAATTCGGGTGATGGTGTTTCACGTTTATGATGTACAATTTCATTTGCATTCGACATAGATGGTTTCACAAATGACCATGATTGATCAACAAGTTCACTAGTTATAGATTCATCAGAAGTAACGGACGTAGTTGCTGAGGACTTTTGATTACAACATAGATTTAAATTTTCAATTAATTTCGCATATTTTTCATCTTTAATACGTATTGTAAAACCACCTTTGTGAAATACTTTTGTTATAAGTCCATATTTAAGTAATTCCTCAAGTATCGAGAGGATTTCGTTACGTTGTTCTGTTAGATTTTTTGTTGTCGAACGTTTCGAAACATATTTAAGTATACGTTCAAGATCGGGACGACATTTACGTCGTTTTATTTCATCGATAGCTTGGAATACAGGATGAAAACGTACATCAGTTAAAATATTTAATAAATCACACGATGTTACTGTATTATTATCACTCGGATTTAATGTCGTCGAATAGGAAGATGATGAAGTCGATGAACAGGATGACGAATCATTTATATCGGAAACAGAAGGAGGAGGTGTTGGCAAATTTCGTTTACGTGCAAACGATGGCGACAATGACGTCCGATGATTTACTTTTGTCATTGGAGAGAAGATCATCTAAAAACAAAACAAAAAGAACTTTTCGACTACGATATTTGTTAGAAAAGAGACAGAGAGAGAGAGAGAGAGAACGCAGACGCATGCGTCTGTTGTTGCTTTTTCTCTTTTGTGTCGCCGACGTGTTGCTAGAGGAGAGACACAATCATTACAGTTCTCTTCTCCCTGTATGCAATGCGATGATGGATGATCACATTGCGTTATGTGCACGCCGAAGAGAAAGAGGGAGCTGGAGAACATACACTTTTTTCTTTTTTTTAGGATAGAACGCTTCGTGCACACTTGCACTTAACTTACTCGAGAAAGAAGAGAGAAAAGAGAATAACTATACGACGACGAATGTTCAATCGAGGTCACAAAGAGAGGGAAAAGTCTTCTCACATCCTTTTTTTTCGAATATACATATCTCATTGTCTCAACGAAAACGAGCGAACGAGCGAGAGAAAACGTATTGATGTACACAAAACAGAGAAAGAACAAAAAACAACCACAACAACAACAACAACAACAACAAAGAATACGCAATCTCTCTTTTGAAAATAAACAAAGATAGAAAGAAAGAACATAAGACTAAGCTAGCGCCATCCCATCCATACTGAATCTTTGACTATATTTCTCTATGCATATAATATATAAAGAATAGGACGAACATATTCGCGCTTACGCTTACGCTCAGAGGATAGAGAAAGAAAGAGAAAGAAAGAAAGATAAGTATAATGTCCAGGCAAATGCATTACTACTATTTTTTTCTCTATCAGTTTAATAAGTAAAAAAAATAGTTCTAATATTAAAATCATGAAACTATATGTAAATTATTTATTATTGTTTATATAAAAATATTGTTAAAAGCATGGATAACAACGACAATAAGAAGACGACTCAACATAGAGTAGTAATAATAGTCTAGCAATAGTGGGTGGAGAGAGAGAGAAGTAGCAAAGGCGTACGAGCGAGCAACTCAGCAATGCTTATTCTCTGTCTCTGTCTCCTTTCTTGCAGGAGAAAATAAAAGAAAGGACACACACACACACACACGCTGAGGCAAACGAGCGAGCAAAAGGGAGGGAGAGAATAGGAGAGACGCGACGAAAAAGCAAAAAGGTTTTTTTTTCGGTTGTTAATAAATAGGAATCATAAGAAAGCACAACACGATACACGTGTACAAACTTTCCTTTTTTTAGTCGTCTCGATCTTAACATGAATACCTGAAAAGGATTTTAATAGCATGGGAATGCTAGTCTCGGATGATGATTATTCATTGATTTGAATGAAATAAGAAAAAAAAGAACGGCGGTCACATCTTTTATTTCGATTTTTATTTATATACTTTCAACGATGCGCACATTTGCGCTTTTCTATTTCAAGAACAACTAAAAACAAAATATAATAACTATGAAGATGAATCTTGCTGTTACTGGTTTCTTGTTGTTGTTGTTGTTGTTGTTGTTTTCAATATTGAAGAACCAATTGTAATTGCAAAATGTAAATTTCTTCAATGTTTTTTGTCAATTTTATACTAAATAAAATGATCAATCTGAAAGAAACGATTCTCTAGAGACGAACTATTGTACTCGTACAGTTCACTATTTGTCATAATAATCTCTCTGTTGAAGATATATTCTATTCATTGTATCCAACTTTGATATAAACCCTATTCGTTATAATAGAAATCTTGATCTTAATTTGATCACGAATGCAAAGCGAAATAAAAGATTCAATTTTATTTGACATAATTTTTCGATCAAGATCTATCTCAATGTCGCGCTCATTTTGCCTCTTTAAACCCAAAGAAAAATGAAAAAAAAGTAAATGGTTATACGAGAAGTGACGCACTCTCTTTCACACACACACACACATTGACACACGGGATATAGTAAGAATAAGAATCGGGTAGCGAAGGCAAAAGGAACAAGAAATAAGAAAGCTATTCATGTGCTATGTACTACGAACATTGATAGTAGTTTCCGCTTATTGCAATGTGCAAAACGTACTAAGGAGGCGATATGTATTTGATGCCTGGATTGAGTTCATCTTCTTTAAATAGCGAACAAATAGCAATTAGACGATAATTTGTTTCTTATTTCTTTCTTTAAAATATCATTGACATTTTTATTCATGAAAGACTAGCCGTTAACAAACTAAGCCGTGCAACAGTGCAGCATAGTTTTGAGTGGGGTACTATGAGATGTCTTCATGTCATTTCCGATCAGTATGTCTTATATTTTGACTTCCTCTTGCTGTATTCCAAGTTATAAAAGAAAAAAAGAGGAAGAACGAACAAAAAAAAAGAGAGAAAAGCGAACACATAAAGCAATGCGAGTTAGATAATGCATCTTTAATATACTTATTCCTCGGTTTCTCACGTTTTACCTATACTTAAAAACGAATATCTAGTGTATGCCAAGGAATTTTTGGCGAAAGTGTTGTCAATGCTTCGCTCTTTTTTCTTCGAAATCGAAATAACTAGATAAAGAAATAAGTCTCATCCTATAGCTTGCTTTACGTGACGGCTGCTACTCTTTGTTGTCTTTACGTCAGTGTTGCTGCTATTCGAACGCTACCAGAAGCAGTGAGCGCACTGAGTAAGCAAGGACGAGAACAGCGGTAAAAGCAGAATATGAGAATGAGACAAGCAAAAGAGAAGAGAACAAGCGAAATCCTCGAACCAACCAGAGAGCTGTGCATTGTCTTACGAAGCAATTTGGCCAACATTGTCGTTTAAAACAATGTTTTAAGATCTTGCTTGTTCGCTTTCATTATCGAAAAATTTAACACTAATTTTATTTGAATATATTTAGAAGGATATCTTGCGTATTTTTTTTTGAAGAAACATTGAAATGATTCTTAAGAAGATACGCACCATCCGGCATACTATTCCGATTTCATATATATATATATATATCTGCATATATATTGCAATCACATTGTCTTTTTCTTTTGCATAAAAAATAAGCAATTATTTTTCACAACTGTTACCAGAAAGTATGCAATTTAATTGTCGTTAAAAAAATGAAATCAATGAACTATGGCTTACTAAGTTGGTACATATTCCCAACAAGAGAAGAGAATCGGGTAACTCAAGAAAAGAATATTTTATTTTATCGGGTAGCAATATCTATCATATGATGCTCTCGATGGTTTAACAGATGGTTAAGATCGATTGGTAGATAAGAGCAGTTTATTTTAAATTTTGAATCCTTTTTTCTTCTTCTTCTTATAGTAAAAGCAGAAGTTTTTCTCTTTTCTTTTGATAAAATATTTCAATGGTATATTATTCATCGTCTGAAGGCCTTGCTGAAACCCCTACACAACATTGACGGGTGCAATATGTTTATATAATTGTCATCGTGATTACTTGAATGTAGTCGTCGAAACATTGATAAGGATACATTTTCGAATGTAAGATACTATTATAATTTATATTAAGGTTACGAATGCAATTCGGTAAGGCTAAATAGAATTTTAAATAGTCTGCCTCTGTAGACTAGTGACACAAAGAACTATAAGAGTTTCGACTTGAAATTTTCACTCGTAACAAATGTTTTAGTAGTCGTTATTCAATATCCAAGTTAGCCTCGATTATTGTGTTCTCATATATGGTTCATCTTTGATATTTTCTATATAATAAATATAATTACATGTATTCATTGTGAAAATCCTTACGGCAAGAGAAATAAATTATGGTTAGTATTTCAATTGTTATTTATTGCCGATGTAAAAATGAGTTTTAATTTTTTTCATATCAATAGATGTTATCATGCATAGGTTCATTTCTTGATGAAGCTCATTTAGGCATATACAATGTAAATTTCCGAGATTTATCTTCCAGCCATGTAGAATAAAGCACCATCTTTTTACAGCTCATAGTCTCTTTTATTGTATTTAATATTGAAATAAATTATAGTAAAATTTTAGGCATTTAAACTTCACAAATTGCTGCAATACAGAAACTTATTCATTCTGCTAGTTAGATTATTGTTATAATAAAACACATCGTTTTTCCCTTGAAACATCGTTAAATAGTGAAACTTTTAATGTCAACATGTTCATATGTTGATCTTATCCAATGCACATAGAATACAGCTAAATGGCAAAAATATCGATTCATTTCCATTATCAATTTCTTTACTGTTACACTCTTGGCTGCGACATGGATCTATCAATATGTTGAGAACGTTTAGGAAATCTGTGAAAATGAAATGAAAAATTATATCAACATTTTTGTGAATTTTAAGAGGTCAGAAAATATTTTGTTTCTAATTATTTGTAATTAATGCGGTGCGAAGCACAGCATTTATGTAGTCCGTCGCGAGTTTTTAATGCGATGCGAAGCAGAAGCATTTATGTAGTCCGTCGCGAGTTTTTTTTATTAATACGATGCGAAGCAGAAGCATTTATGTAGTCCGTCGCGAGTTTTTTTATTAATGCGATGCGAAGCAGAAGCATTTATGTAGTCCGTCGCGAGTTTTTAATGCGATGCGAAGCTCGAATCGGATCTCGAGAACGGAAAATCGTAGAAAACTCGTTGAAACGTGAGATCGAAGTATCAAGATCGAACTGAGAACATCTGTTTTCGAATCTTTAAACTGAAGTTCCGTTCACTCATAAATGTGCTTCCAAAATGACGAAAATGAAAGAAATTTGTTGCAAGATAATTAAAGTGACGTCATGAACATGTGTTAGCCACTATAGTCTATTCATTTACAGCTGCTCTGTGATAATGAATCATGATGATAATTAATCGATCCATCGAAATCGATCCTAAAGAATATGTCGTTAAGTAAGAATAGAGTTTTCTCAGTAATCAATTTCATCATGTCGACATAAAAAATATTCAAGATTTCTCGAAATTGCAGATTTTCCGTGAAGACCTGATTCAACCTTCGCATCGCATTTCGTATTCGAGTAAAACTTGAATACCATCTAGTTTCATATAAATTTGCTTATGATAGACACAAATACATATGATTTCCATATTGGACTAATCGGTTGCATTAATACGAAAAGTATAAACAATATTAGCATTGATGCGTTACTTTTTATTCTCAATTGTTGATAATAACTGAAACTCATTTTTGTTTCATAAACGGAGTTCTTGAAACGTCTAATAGTTAGCAGTCTCCTATTTGTTGGAATCAATAGAATTCTTAGAAATAATAGATAAAAGAAACATTCCGATTTAGTTCATTAAAATGGCGCCGTAAAATCGATCGTCGAATGCAATATTGTAAGAACGATAAATTTTATCGTAGATTATTATACTATTCAATAGCTTAGATCTTTGTCTTTATTTCACTTAAATGATGACCTACGTAGAGAATGTAGAATAATAATCATTTAAAATGTTATGTTGATAAACGTGTAATGATCTAAACGGTACTTGGCCGATGAAACATTACAATAATAAATGTCAATAAGTTAACCATTGTCAAAAGGCTTACGTTTTGAATGAAAATAGTACTTGTATGGAATTACGGACAAATGGTAGTTGCTTAGTTTAATTGATAGAAATTAACTTTATATTCGCCTAAAAAAAGCCAAAGCAAACATGAAGGTAGATAATTCATTCACTAAATCGATCAAAGACTATCAGAACGAGCAAAACGCATTGAATTTCAGTAGAACTATGTTTTTTTTAAATCTATAGAATTAAAATTATTGATATTTCAAAAGAAGAAAGCTAAGTGAATTTAATAATCACCATGTGAACATATCTTTTCAAGTTATTACATTCCGAACAAATAACTTCGCTGAAAAAGTTCTTGACAAGTAAAGAATTCTGTATATGATCTAACACAATGAGAATCAGCTGATAGAGTTCCTCCGCAAAACTGCATCGTATATCCTCAAAAGCAAAATCTAAAACATCATTAAGAAGTAGAGAGAAATCGAAGTATAATTGAATCAGTTGTCATATCAAATTTAATCCGAATATTTTTATAAGATTTATTTCAGTAGAATAATATAATTACTCAAGATACTAATTTAATGAAAAGACAGGAAATACTGATGCTAACTATAAAACAAAACAATGATGCCACAACACGTAATATCAAACGATTTTTCATTGATATGATTCGATAAACGCAAAGCGTTACATAACCTATATAATGTGATAGAAATCAAGACGTAACTTTATTTTTGACTGCTGGTGACAAAAAGATAAAACTACTATCATATCATATTAAACAGGAAATGTACAGAAAAAAACAACAACTCAATGAATTGTAACCAGAACAATGCCAATGATTATATCAAAAACAAACAAAAGATTATCATTTGTTTTCTTACTTTCAGCAAAGATCTGCAAAAAACATTTTTACTAAGTCTTTCCAATAAAAAAAGTGAAGTGGTGATGTAATATCGAATATAAATCGGCTATAATGAATTTAAAATATTTTCAAAGGAATGGTAACATCTCTAACAATCATCCGATTCAAAAATTTTGCCATAAAATCTATAGCTAGAGAATTAATTAAGCATGATGTTTCAGAACACGATATTATTTTTTTTTCTTTAACAACTTCAGATGTTCACGCAATTTGACTTGACCTTATGACAGATAAATTGACGATTAGAATTTAATCCATTGGTATATATATATACTGAACTGTCAACAGAAATGCATACTTGGAAATTATCCATTTTTTTTTCTTTAGTTCTCAATCACGACAAAAACATTCATTTATTTTCAAACTACTGATCATCTGTAACTGAATATATTTGTAAGAATCGGGTGATTTTTAAATGAATCAACAACCAACTATTCAACAAATCGTTTTAAATTACTTTCAGTATATGAAAATATCCTTTGTCAAATGCAAAACAAACGGTGTGCAGAATTCATTTTTTTCACGTCATTTTAAATTGTTTATTTTGCATTTAATTTGTCTGATCCGTTAATCTGTACCTTACGAACAAACAAAAATACTAAAAACATAGACGAATTATCCAAAATACAATAAAAGACAGTTTGAAGTTTAATTCATTTTAGAAATCGATTGAACACAGACTAGATGATTGTATAATTAGTCATAACAAATATAAATTCCCATTGGAGTGATGATTTTTTTTCTATTACTTCAAAGAAAATTCCCATTGGACTTTTTTGAAAAAAACGACTCTCATATTCGTTCGCCTACTATTCTTACAATAGAAGATATCATGTGAATAAAAACGTTCAGTTTAAATTTACAGACCATCAATGTCACGTATTCATTATAATTCGTGTGCATGGGTACCAATGTTCAATATAAACACTGAACGACACATCAACACAAAAGGCATATTTGATAGAGGTAACATCTCAATGTCGGACCAAACGCGAATGCTAATGTAATTAATGTCTCAATAGTGCATTTGTTCGTGACTTGTTGCTTGTTCAATATTTACACCAACATTACTTATCCCTGCGTTTGAAGTGTCGGCACATGCAGACCAACCTCCTATAGATACATCTAATGAAATATCATCTCCTGTCTACATATATATTGATTTTTCATCGAGATTTTAAACTCATATATGCACATGATAAATAATCACAAAAGAAAACACCAAGTTATTGTTCAATTGCTTCCATGCATGGGGTAACCAGAGAGAAAAGTTGCACCTATCAATCATACGACATGAATATTAAGTAGAGGAGGCTGAAATTCTATATTTCTATTCATTAATGAATATATAAATCAAAGTAAATCATTTATCAGCTAGTGCTTATCAAATTTAATACTCAGCTTAATGATTTAATTAATTATTATTATTGATTGATTAAGCACGAGAGTAGATCAAAATAGCCCCTAAGACAAAAACACTGAATTAATCATTTGTATTTAATTATGCAAATCTTCAATTTGTTTTGAAAACAGGAGTAAATTGTATTATGCAAAAATCATGACAAAAAAACAGGACAGTGATTTAACAACGAGAAAAAATCCAATATCGATGATATTTTTTCAGTGATTATACCATAGTTACCTGATTGCATATTATTAGTATCTTTCACAACCTTTTCATTTTCAACGATGAGGCTTAACAAAGTAAACTAAGTGCTTAGATAAAACTGATGATAATTATATTTTCTGAGCCAATAATCGCATGGAGGATGACATTAAACATACATTTCGATTTTTAATTATTTCTCCTAATGTTACAAGCAATGCAATTAATTATTTGAGTGCTCAAATATTTTATTACTTTTCGTTGTTTTTGTCAGTCAATCAAATATTGAAAACTTCATAAAAACACATCGGCAAAAAGAAGAACAGGACAAGGCAAAAAGAAAACGTCAAGAAAAAAAAAGACAGTTTAGAAAAATAAAAATTTAATACAACCAATGATCATCAATTCTGCTGTGTACGTAGTTTTCATATTTGAAATACAACGATATAACTTATAAAAAAAATCTATCACTCATCGAGACAAATACACAAATATTGACAGTCCCTTTTCAAACAGTATAAAGGTAAACTGCTATAAAACGTAATCAATATTGAGAAAAAAAAAGCCCTGAGCAAATCTTTAATATTCCAATGCTTTTTGCTGTGTGATATCACCTTTCGATAAGTAATGAGCACGAAAAAGATTCATCTCATTTTTTTGTGTAATAAACCTTCGAGAATCACTAGTGGCAGTTACAATTCGTTTGCTAGTGGAATCAAATGTTTCAGTATCTTGAAGAACTGTTTGAAATTCTCTTGGAACTTCCCATTTAATATCATTTAATTCATTAACATTTGCAAACTTCATTTGAATGTTTGATGCTAACGGTAGATTGGGTTCTATGGGAGGTCTTTTCTCAGTTATACTTGCTGAATAAGTAATAGGTATAGATCGATGTGTAGTAAATTTAATTGAAACTTCCGGAGATTGTTCATGATTTGATAATGTTCGAGTAGGTTTTGTTTGTAAATATGGAGTTGAAAGAAAATCAATCGGCGGTGTTACACTTGTACTACTTTTAAGAATAGATTTTGGAACCACATTTTTATAGTTCATTCCATAAAATTCAGTTGATGTATCTATTCGTTGGACTTGTGGAACAATCACTTGAGGACGACGAAATGATTGAAATCGATAATTTTCTAATTGATCATTCTCATCATCATCATCATCATCGTCGTCGTCATAATCTTCACGATATTGACGAAAATCGATTAACGCTGGGCGAGGAAAGACAGAGTGTCTATAAGCATAATTATCAGTCGGATAGGAATGAATTTCATAATCAGCAGGGGGCAATTGTGCTGTTTTTATTATTGGTGATTGCAAATCAAGCCAATGTTGAGATGATGCTGAGGACGACGAGGACGAAAGCGATGAGGATAATACTGGTGGCATTCTTTTATCTTCATCATTAGAATAAAAAGCGTGATTTTGAATACCCCTATTATATGTTACGATAGGATATGGCGCACGAATAGTACCAACAAGTGCTAACTCATCAGCGTGTGGTGGACGAAGAATCGTTGATTGAAATTTTGCCTGTGAATTACTATTAATATCTGGTATATATTCATATTCTTCTCTCTAAATTGAAAATAACTTATCATATTAAATTTTATTTCTTATTTCTTTTTATTTACTTTAACATAGAACTTCTTTGGTCTAGCACGAGTAACATACCATCGACATAGACAGATGATAATCAAAACTTCGAATAGTATGATGGAAACTATCGCCCACAGTGTTAATTTTGTTTCCAGTTCGTTCATCGTCTATGGACGAGAAGAAAAATAAATAATCCCTAGAAGAAAATATCAATCTATAAGAATTTTATATCAGATTAATGATCTAACTAAGGTAACAAAAAAAAGTCAAAAGAACTGAGAGGCTCGTTCAAATGGAGAGCAGAAGTAGTTGATCATCAATGATGTAATGCTTTTGAATCATTAGAATTTGATGTTTGATTGATCGAATTTCTTCTACATAGTCACCATCAATATGACTAATCCTACTTATAGGGTTGTATTGTGTTCAATCTTTGGTCTGTGACGGTTTCGATCAAATTTCAATAGTATAAAAGAGGTGTGAACAAATTGCTTAAATACCTTTTTTTGTATACATATTTAAACGAATGAACATGACTAAAGTGACTCTATCGTCATTTTAGAAAGGTCTATTTTCCGTTTATTGTCCAAAGAATACAACAAAAATAAAAAAAAGACATTACTCTAATTGTCTTTCTTCTTAGTATACGACATGAACATATGGATCATTGTTCCATTTATACTGTTCATATTGAATGAGTATGACTGCAATCATTTTTCCTCCTCTCAGTTTTCAGGTACATTGTTGTTTTTTGACTGCATTAAGTGCATACGTAGATATTACTGTTTGATTACTTACTGAGAACGATTATTTTTATATATCTTCCTTTGTGGATGAAATACAACACAAACGGAGAAATCGTAGAAGTATTTAAATGAGAAAAAAGAAAAAAAACAGCGCCTGCTTTTACTTGCCTTCTTTATTCTTTTGTATGTTAATCTATGTTCTAACTGGCATTAAATCATCTTTCTCTTTACTCACCTAAGTACTATTGAGTATATAGGAAATAAGCTTGAATAGGGACTGCCGAAAGAAAGAGCCCGATTTTCTTTGCTCGGCGTGTTGATCGTTATACGAAAGAAAACTTATTTTGCGGTCGTTGGATACTTTAGAAATACTTACATAAAATAATTGTATTATCAAACGGTGCATTGATGAAAGTGATAAGAAATCAATTGAAAGAAGATAAATTTGTATATCATACTAAAGTAAACTGACATTTTTTATATTGTTTATTCACAGGCAAAGACTCTTTGCTTAGAGCCAATGTGAAGTGTTAACACATATCTAGCAGAAGTGCATCAGCTATGAGTATTAATAAAAGAGACGCACACCTACAGGTGAATATAAGAGTTGAGTGAAAGGAGAGAGAGAGAAAAAAAGAAGAAAAAGAAAGAGACTTGGGACTAAGCTCATGCAATTCGTTCGTTGCTCTCTTCGGACACACGCACACACGCATATATATATATATATATATATATATATATATACCTGAATAATAAAGTTCAGATTTTTAAATGATGAACGAATCAGTCAACTAGGCGTCTCACGACAGGATATTTATATCGATGGAATGAATCATATGTTCAATTATCAGCGTGAATACGACAGGCGATGTCAATAGAGAATCAAAAATATTGAGTTATAAGATGATGGCGAAGAATCTAATTTCTCTAGAAGTAAATTTGCACGAGCAACGATGTCTCGATTCGTACACATAAGTGCACTTAAATTATAGACACACCAGGTCGTAATATTTTCAGATGAAGTTAAATCATGAAATAAACTGCTAACTATGTTTTATTGACTGGAATTAATGCTGGTATGATTTTTATCTCCCTCATTTCTTTATGCTCACTATTAGGCAAGGTACTATTGAATGAAAAGAAGAAAAAGAAAAAGAAACGGAAGAAAGTTTCGCCCACATCAAGACTTGAAGGTCATTCATTGGTACCATTGATTTATGTACGTATTCTCAAGCAATACTAATTTTATTAGGTGTTACTCGATATGAATTTTATTCGAACTGTTTATTATAGAAATTCAATTGAACGGTTGATGTCTCTTATTGTTTCTGAAGTTGTCCATTTGTCTATGTCTACTAGTCACACTCTTGAAAATAAAACACGAAGAAGCAGATTTCATTGTTCTAATCCGCACCTCTCCGCCATCTCCACCAGAAGAAAAAAAGAAAGAGTTAACGCCTTGTCAATCGATTTCGTTCTATGTTGTCCGATACGTATAAATGTGTGTGTGTGCGTGTGTGTATGTATCATAATTTGAAGGAGACGCAAAGAATAAAAGTACATATGCGCTAAGTCAAATACTTCCTTCTACTTTCGATCGAATAAATTGATAGAAAAAAAAAGAAAAATAGCATTAACATTTCAGCAGACTTGATGATAATATGTTTCTTGTTTGCATACAAATTGTTATTCATGTAAAATATCGCTATGAGTATGTACAAGAATTGAGTTTATTTAGTTATTGGAAGACAATAAAAGAGAAAGGGATTGAATAAATAAGAGTCTATTAAATGATTTTTACTCTACTCGAAATTTTATTTGATTAAATGATCTTTGTCAAGAGAATATTGAACATGAGTGTTTAAGAATGTTAAATGTACAATTAATAAGAGCTTTACTTGTTTTATGCATATATCATGAATCCTTGAATTTTGATATTACATAATAATCGTTATTTTAGCAAGTAAAATACGTATGGTTCAAACACATTCAATCTCGGTTGTATGCTCTTTTTGTTTCAAACTTCATATTATATTTATCTTTGTACAGAATTACGAATAAGCATGATACATTGCTAGAATATCAAATGTAATATTAGCATTTTTACTTTCTTTTTTTTTGCAATATTCAACTGTTCAATCAAAAGTTTTTGTTTGAACAAGTTGACAATGACGATTATCATTATCATTTTTACTTGCTTTATACTTTGTATTATTTTAACACGTACGTAACATTGTTCATAAATCAATGTTAAACTTCTTGACTGATTTGCAACCGCTTGAATATGACTTTTTTTGTTTTTGAAGTGAAATAAATATTGGTATAAATTCACATTGAACACGATGCTTGTTTTTTACTCAAACAAATATGATTTCTTTCTGTAATAGAGTGTGTTTTTTGTCCTGGTGAAAACTTGAATTGAAATATCAATTTTGATAAGACTATTTATAATTGATATCGAAGTCGTAGTCTGAAAACGAAGGTAGAAAAGACTCTTTAGGAACAGTTTTTACGGTCGGCACATCTTCTTCGCTCAGTAGAACTCAATAGAGTTGATAAAAATTGCTCTGTTCTGTCGATGCTATTATAGAACACAAAAGAATGTGACATCGATACATGAGTAAGCTCGTTGTCGTCTGAATCGGTTTGAGCTTGCAAACTAAAGTAACTTATCATGATTGTTAACAATTCATAACATAATCATTTCTATGATTTTATAAGGTGATCAACAGTAGCGCTATATAACGATTGATTTTATAAATATTAATCACGAAAATGAATGCTGATGACGCGACTATTTATCCAAAATTTTTAACGGTTTCTTTCCCACAATAAGAAACAAAAAGGAGAACACGATTATTTTTGTTTTGCAGTATACAAGTTTTGGTCTTATTAATAAGCAATTTAGATTTTTGATTTACATTGAAGTGCTTCAATTATGTTTCTTATAACTTCAGTCTTGTTATTGTTTATCAGTCGTCCATTGATTTCATGTAAAAAACAATAACCTCTATGTGTTGAACCTTCGGATGGTGTTGCAGCTTATCCATGCGCAAGTCGTCCAAGTAGAGAACCACTCAGTTTACAACACAAAGTCAGATTTTGTTTTGCTTAATCTGATTGCTTAATAAAAAAAATTACAATCATACTGTATTTAATTAGCAAATCAGCACCATCATTCGAGAGTTTAGCCGTTATAAAAGAAGAATTTAAAGAAATTAGTTTGAATGATTCAAAGACAAATATCTTGTACTTCTTTTCTATCCATTAGATTTGTAAGTTTTATACATTAATGAAGAATGAATTGAAATTATTTCTTCTCATACCTATTTATTCAAGTACGTTTGTGTGTCCAAAAGAAATCATTGCTTTCTCTGATCGTATTCAAGAATTTTAAAATCTTAACACTGGAGGTACATTTGCTTACTTTTGATTCAAAATGAGAAATAAAAATATTGTTATTTGAAAATTGTTAGTTGTTGCAATTTCTGTTGACTCACAATTTACGTATCTAGCATGGATAAATACACCTCGGAAACAAGGTGGTTTAGGCAATATTCAAATTCCACTTCTATCTGGTTTAACACATCAAATTTCGAAAGACTATGGCGTTTATCTACAAGATGTAGGTCATGCAATAAGGTATGAACATGAAATATAAAAATAAAAACAATATTATTCTTAAATATAATTGTGTTTATTAAGAGGATTAGTTATTATTAATGGGCGTGGTATTCTTCGTCAAATTACAATGAACGATCTTCCTGTGGGTCGATCAACTGATGAAACAATTCGACTTCTTCAAGCTTTTCAATATACTGATAAACATGGCGAAGGTAAAATAAAGAAATTAATATTTGGAATATTTAATTAGTCCCATTTTAGTATGCCCTGCTGGTTGGCGTCCTGGTGCTGATACTATTATTCCAAATCCAGACGAAAAACTTAAATATTTCAGTAAAAATTACAAAACCAAAAAGAACTAAACGATTTCATCAACAATCTATGTTGTGATTGTGATTGTTATTTATTTATTTTTCCTTGCTCTCAATAGATATTCGAACTCTTGTAGAGATAGCAATGAAAACAATAATCTTTTATTTGTACTGCGTATATGTATTTCTAATGGATTCTTTCCCTTGAGGTAATTAGACTTTTCATGTGGCGACATATTTTTCTTTGTATGTTTGTGTCGCATTGAAGTCAAATAATCGAAATATTTGAAAAAAAATATTGATTTTTGTTTGATGAGAAACATTAAAAGAACAAAAACAAAGAAAGAATTGTTTTATTTTCTTTACGGCCATACTTGTCTAAATTAAATACATAGGGTTATCAAAAGATTGAAATCAGAAATAGATAAATCTCTTGCAGTCGGAATAATTGATTCATTTTCAATTTACAATAGAGAGAACAATGAAATGAATTAATATTGTCGATAGATTCTTCATAATCTTTTTTCTTGCTATTTGCTGTGTTCGATGGGGTTGAAAATTAAAAAAAAAACACTCTTGATAAGTATGTTAACGTGCGCGAATGCATCATAGAAAATAATGATACGAAAAACAAAATTCAGTTATCTTCTGAATAATGATGGTTGAAGTCATAGTGTAGATTCTAGAGTGTTTTCATTACTTCAATTGTTGCCATGGGTTTTTGTTTATTAAAAATAATGGAATTATACAAGAAAAAATCTACTCTCAAACCTTTTGATGGTTTTATTGATTCACTTTAATATTTATTTATATAATGAAATCGAAGGAAAGAATTTAAGCTGCTGTTTCGGAAAGAAGATGATTGGGAATGGGATTATTTCCAGTTTCAGTAACAAATGGACTTAATTTATTGAAACGTTGTGAAATCATTGTTTGATCTTGATTTGCAACTGGTTCAACAATTATTTGATAGCCAGGTTCTTTATCAGCGCGAACGGTTTTTGATGGTTCAACACGAGGTGAAATAACAGCACCAACTAAAAAAGCAGATTTTCATTTAGTTATAGATAGAAACGTATGCTTACATCGTTCCTCGTAGATACGAGTTACGTAATGTGGAACCGGTTGTTTCACGCGAAGCGATTGATAACGACGATTTTCAAGGGCTTTGTACGATACGATACGATGATCTACATCTTTGGGAGGATGATCCGATATAATGCCTTCATATCGATAGATTGGATCCTTATTAACGCGATATGATTCGAGTGATGGCGTCGATAAAATCAAGTCTCCTTTAAAATAAATAAAAAAATAGGGATTACTCTTGTCCAGTTCAATTCATATTCTGTTATCATTTTATGAATAATAGCTTTGAAAGACAAAGGCAATTCATCTTTTTTTAGCTACAATAGGGCCCAAAACAAAATCAATTAAAATATAAATAAATAAAATTTATTGCTTTTTATTACCACCCTTATTGAAGTGAAGGCCAGTATAGGGTTTTACATTGCTTGAATCAATACTTTTTGAATAGAGTACTGATCTAATAAACTCTAGATCGGACATTTTACAAGCACAGGCCGCTTTCCGTTTTTGTTCGAATAAATATTTTTGTGAGTGTGCACAGGCGCGTGTACTTTTTTTTGTTGATGAAATCAGATGCGGCTACTTATTATTGTGGTGTGTGTCGATAAGATTTACTTTTATTCTTCTATAGCTGAGACTGAAACAAGAGTAAGAGAAACGAAAAAAAAAGGCAATTTGGCAGTGACTGTTGCAAAAAATTGATCAACACCTGCATTTGATTGTGTGCATGTTCGTTGGTTGCTGAGCACCACATACAATTATTTTTGGGGAAAGAATGACAAAATAGAATGTTTTCATGTTAGTCTATTTCATAACTAAGTAATTAGATAGATTCAATACAAAATGTCTACCAAATAATTCTTGTCTTTTTTTTCCACAATAGTTCTCTTACAGATTTGAGAGACATGCATACATGAAAGTTTTCTATCAAGAGTACTTTTATTTTAAGTATTATGAAATATGACTTTAATGCAAACAGCAGTGTATTCAAGCAGCATTTAATTTAATTTTAGTTGCGCAGCTTAATTAGAAAGCTTTTATCTTATAGTCTACTAAAATTATAATAAAATGAAATTGAGCTATTGAAGAAGCAAAATTTGTCAAAGATCTCTGAATGGATACATAAAAAAAAGAGTGATATATGATAAATGTAAATATATATGAGCCTCAGAGGTATATCATTGTATTCCTATTAGTTATCTATTTCATCCATTGGAATATAACATATAGTTGTACCTCTATTATCATCGTAGTCTGCACATCTTTCAATTGAAAAAAAACAATATAATAGATAGAGGTTAGAAATTTATCACATAGCGTCTACTCGTCATGCCAACAGCATTATCTAGTCATGAATATGTAATTAGGAATCTCAATTTAATGTAACTACAGGTAAAACTGCATACGACAATGAAACTTACTACTTTATTGATTATTTTACAATCTCAACAATAAATTTAGACTTATCAACAGTTGCTCATAATCTTGCAATTAATGAAGTTAAGTAGTTGAAAGTCTTCATTGCTTGCTGTATTATATGAGGTGCAACGTTCCAGATGTATTTTGTTTTCTTTTACAAACTTTCATAAAATGAAATACCACTTATTCATACGAGAAACTGTCAACAAAGCGATCGTCTGTCACCATTTAGTTCGAAGAAAACGATATACATCGCGAAGTTCGATTTCGCAAATAATTACCAAAAGAATGCACGATTACCTGGAATCTCTTTAAAAATGACCCAAGGATTAATTAACTACTAAACATGATGCAAAACATAATAGCATATATATATATATATATTCCATCAAAGGAAAAGTTAAATCCCTGACACATGAATAGTGGTGTTTGATATATGATTCAAGTCATAGTTTTATAAAAATATATCTAAATAACCGATTCTGCCATACCGTCTATCCTACTAGCGATGATAAGATCATTTAACGTACAACACCAAAAGCAAATATAGCTTATTCGCACTCAAGCAAAATATGATTAATGAAGAAGTTAACTAAAAGGAATAAGGGATCATAAATACCCAGGACAATGATTCCTGAAGCAGTATTCCGGGAATTTCCGGCGAAAACCTGCAAGAAACTCGCTGTTTCCGACCGGAACCCACCGGGAATTGTCCGGAATTCGATGCAGGGATCCGGAAACCGTATCCGGCTATTAGTTTTAACAGGTTCCTGTTGATTCCGGCCGGAACCGGATAAATCCGGTCACCGGATCCTTTCACCGGAATACCACAGAACCGGTCGTTTTCGGAGCCGGAATGTTCGACCTGGGTAGTCATCAACACTATAAAATAACAACTATAATATTAAAGAAATGTTACACTCTTGTTTAAAACGAAGCACCCATACACGCGATGTCAAGAATTAAAGGAACTCCACACAACATAGATGCTATGTTTAGGTGGTCTGAGACGCAGTTACAGATGATCAGAATGATATATTTTTATGAAATAGCACCCACAATATATTGTTTATAATGTTAAAAAAAGAATTGATTTTCTTAAGCCAAATGGAAGTGTATACTTTAATGGTTTCAGGATTTGATGATTTGCTTTTATATTTTCCTGCTTGATTAAAGTTCCGATGCCATTTCGAGAAATGTTATATGACACAGCAGCCTGTCCAATTTAAAACTGGAAAAGTTAACTGAAATGGTGAAAGTCATAAGTTTACATTTTTCTACGATTTTAGCTGATTTCACACCGACTTTCAATTGCTAATTATTATAGATATTTGTGACTGATGATCAGTTGACATGATATTTCGCTTATCTATTTTTATAATTCGTTTATAAATCATCCTTAATATAGATATTATTATTTTTTGACTATTTTCGTTGTTTCAATAATGTGATTAGTGCTATTATTTAATGTAAAATCTCTCTGCATGTATCTCAAAGACATCTGTGGCATTGAAAGTTGCGAAAATATGAACTTCGATAAAAAGTTTCATCACTTGCGATTCAGCTATACAGATGATGTTATAATTATATACTTTGGCACTAAAAATACAAAACTGTATTACGAACTTCATCTTAACAACAAAGTTTTGCCTGCTTATCTTCCATGTTGAGGTCTGCATCGATTATTGTGGGATAACAGCACCTATTATCGAAATTTCAATCTGTTTCTAAGAAAAAAATCATGTAAAACCGTTATATATTTTTTGTACCGTGAACACTCGATAATAACAGATTTCTGTTGAAATCACAAAGGCTAGAGAGGCTGTTTTTTTTAATAAATAAATTTTTATCTGTTATAAAACTTTGCTTGAATAAAGTTGATAGTACTGCGTTTTTCAAGTGTTCTTCATCTGATTCATTATATCGTCCATGAGTTAGTTGAATCGTTATTATTACAGGATTTGCCTCTTTTTCTATTTCAGGGTGTGTTTGTGGGTTTCAGCGGCGTAACCAGAGGGTGGCAAATGGGCAATTGCCCATTGTAATTTTTGTTCGTAAACTTTTGCCCATTGAAATTTTATTTTTTCAGAATTGTTCATAGGTCCACGAAAAAATAATTTTTCCCATGGTGCTTTTATGCTTGAATATTTTGCTTATGTCTGATAATATTTAGTATACATAGCCCATTCCGATACCTTTATTTCCGTTAACTCCATTAGTTCTTTTAGCCAATTTAGCCGTTTCGTTAAAGGAACTAAAGGTATCTAATGAAAATAAAGGGATAACTTGGGACATCTGAAAGTAAAACGGGATGAATTTTATTTTCCGTGGAATCCTCATTCTAAGCCGTCAACAAACTAAATCGAGTAATAAGAAATATCAAGGGTTTGGATTTTATTGTTGTGCCCCTACATAATCAACAAGACAAAAGAGAAAATAGAAAAAAGAAGTAGTATACTTATCGAAATATACATAGTGAGAAGTGAGAGAAAAAAGCTCCCATGTGTTTCATTACGATGAAACTGTGGCGCAGTTACGGCGTAACTGCGATCGCACTGTGACCCGTAATTGCGGAAAATTGCGCCGTAACTACGCGTAACTACGATGAAAAATTCGCAATTACGGGTAGTTACGGTGAAAAAATCCCAGTTATGCATAACGGCGTCCACGTTTTTCGCAATTATGGGTTACAGTGTCGTCGCAATTGGTACAAAAGATGACATAGATTAGATTTTCACTTTATTTGTACTTTTATTGTGAATTTAAAATATTTTTGCACAAAATAAAAAATTTAAAACTAGAAAATTAAAATTTTTATAAAATATAGAAAAACAATTTTTAAATTAAAAATTTTCACAATAAAAAATAATTGAAAAATTAAAACCTAAAAAAATTTACAAATTTACAAAGTTAAAAGTTTAAAGAAATTTTAATTTTAAAAATTAAGGAAAATAAAAAATAACTATCTAGAAAAAATAAAATATTAACATCTAAAATAATTTTTAAAAATTTAATAAATAGAAGAAAAAAAATTTAATTACAAAAAGCTGAAAAACTAAAAAGATTTAAATCTAGAAAAATTTTAAAAAATAAAAAATGTATTCTACTGCTTATAGTAGAATGATTTATGAAAGAAAATGTGACGAGCACTGCTATTTATACTGATTTTCTGTGACTGTATTTTATTGTTAGAGTGTAGCCAATTACAAATAAGAAGGAATAATTTATAATTGGCCATTTATACCTACAAGGGATCGTAAGATGCGATCACTAAGACGCAGTTACGTTGATCTTCATCACAGTACGCGTCGTTTCTTATAGAATCTCCACTACGATCAATGCGCCATAGTTACGCGTAACTGCGACGCAAAATTGGCGCTGCGCGTAACTGCGGCACAGTTGATAAAAAAGAGACGACATGGGCTAGCACGGATAAGGATTGAAGCATTCTGCTTTTAATTTAATTCATTTCTTCTTTGCAACCAAAACCAAGAGGTTTTAGATACGAGTTTGGATACATATTTCATCAAAATCCACGCTGAAGTGTATCAAATTCGAACTACCCAGATCGATCGTGCCTGTCACCGGATACTGCAGAAAAGACGTAGGAGAATCGCCGTATCCTTCAGAAAAACACCGGGCCATAAATGCAGTGTTCCGGCCAGAAAAAAAACAGGAATTAGCTTGAATCGGCCAGAAAAGAGTACGAAAATTTCCCGATTGGAATACTGATTCCATGTTCCGGTAATTTCCGGCGCTTTTGTGTGGGGTCCGATCCGTACTTCTCGAGCTGAGTAATGAAAACTTCGTTGATACTACGGTCGTTACATTTTGAAAGGAAATACTTTTTGATTGACTAGTTGAAAAATAAGAACTGTGAACGCTGTTTTATTGCCCAAACCTAGAAATTCATAATGCAGATAGAAAATACGTCGTTGACTAATCTATGCCTACAAAACATGTCGATAAACGAACTTTCGACAAAAAGAGGTCGACGAAATAAATTTGACAAATTTTCTTGTCGACAACGTATCGGTAGACTAAGTGCATATCGCTGAACTCTCATGTCGAAGAATAATATGAAATTCATTGCAAGGTCCTTATTTCATATTTTTGTGTTTTTTTTACGTTAAGACTACTTTGTTGAACCAAAACGTTTGGCCCATCAATAAGAATCTTGCCTGTTTTGCCCATCGTTTTTTCTAACACAAGAGAGGTTTACTCATTGCTCTAAAAATCCTGGTTACGCCGCTGGTGGGTACGCATGATTTAATCTGAATATAGTGGAAAATCCCACCCATATTATATAAAGGAAAATGAATTTGTTCTGTTTTAACGACATTATATTTATTAACAGTTCCGAAAATCTCCCATAAAAATGCTTTTAGAAAAATCATATTGATTTTTTTAAAATTCTTTCTTTTTTTTCGGAGTGGCAAAATATCCTATGCGCCTGCGCTGTATAAATCACTGGATCCATTTCTATATCATTTATCCGATTTTTTTCTTGTTTTGGACATTAATTCCAAATGACCTGCATTCGAATGACAAAGAAGAAGAAAAAAGAATGACTTGTATGCGCAAATGTGTATGTATATTTTTTGCATGTCTCAATTACAAGTTCAATGACACTTTCTCCAGATATCGTATTATCGTACTATTAAAGCATCTATTTTTGATCAGATACATCGAAGCAAATGCTACGGTTGTTCTCTTCACCTTAAATATCTTGGTAGCCTATTGAAAAACAAACTAATTCGGTATGTCTATGAGCTGGAGATAAGACTTTCATTTGTTATTTATCAGGTAGACAGTATTCATCATCTATATTCTTTTTCAAACAAACATCGTATTACAAGCTACATGTGTATATAACTTGTATACGGATGAGATGGATTTAATACGATGTATGTAAATATAACGTACTTGTTTTTTCATCATTAATGTGATTATATTATGCATATTCAATGTTTTTTTACATCTTATACCTATATTGTTTCTAAATTTCATTATGAAGAGACCGAGAGAAAAACCTTGAACTTTTCGATTAGTGAATTTCTAAAAAAATGTCACATAGACTAAGCAACGAAAAAAATATGTCTTGTATGCGCCTATACTTATGCTCGTTCGTCATACGACGAACTTTAAATGTAGATCACCTACACGCATCCAAAGTGAGATGCGAAGGACAATGAATCAGAAGAGATAAAAGAAGTAAGGATTAGGAAAGGCAAATTGTATAGTTACTATCAAATAAAATTATCGAAAGAGGAAAACAGATCATTCGTTGATTATTTATCTCTCGAATGCTGCGAACAATTGAAACAATAGACAATACATCTTATATATGGACATCGAGAATTATCGGTTTCATTTGGGCATTTCTTACCGCTTGTTTTGCTATTCTTGATGTATTTATATTTGTACAACCACAATGGATTGGCGATACTTTAGTAAGTCCACGGGCAGGTCATTTTGGTTTATATTCCTATTGTGTAAGTACAATAGCAGACTATGAATTTAATTGTCAAGGAACATGGACAGATTTTGAAACAATTCTTAATGCACCTTTTGCTGTTGCTACATTTTTCGTTGGTTTCTCTATTCTATTAATCTTCATATGTCTCGGATTATTTATAGTTTTCTTATTTTTACGTGCTCGACTTGTCTATTTTATTTGTGCAATTATACAAATGATTTGTGCAATTTGTTTATTTATTGCTATTATAATTTATCCATCAGGTTTTGATGATGAGACAATTCGATTAGTATGCGGACAAAATGTAAATGATTTTAATATAGATACTTGTCAAATGCGATGGGCATATATATTAGCTATTATTGCATTTTGCAATATATTAATACTTTCAATGCTAGCATTTCTTCTTGGTCTTAAACAACCAAATGTTGAAACAACGCGAAAACAGATTCATCAAAAACATGTCGTATCGAAATATGGTGAACTCAATGAAGCATTTGATGAACGAACATATTCTCAACAAACAATACAACGACGTTGAAATTTCATTTTTCACATGGATTGACTTGTACTCTTTTTTTCCTCTACTTTTTGAATGTTTCTACATTTTAAAAATGAATAGCTACTGAATATCTTACAAATAAAAATCATGATATGACTCCAGATATAATTATATTTATGATCTTGAAATAGGCAAAAAACAAATGAAAGCAATATAGTACTCAAATGGTTTATTATCATGAAACCGAGCTTCTGTTCATCAAGAATGATAATGTCTTACCAAGGCTCTTGTATCTTGGTAATAAAGAGAGACAACTGAAGTCTACTTTGTTAATTATGTTTGTTTTGTTACTTCTTTTTTTTCGATAAGCGCGTCCGATCGCAATCGCAACAATTGAAATAGAACTTGTAGCAATATCTAATTGTGACGCTCAAAAGAGATATTGAATTCCAATTCTTTCATAGAAATGAACCGATTTGTTTCACATCGATTAGATAAATTGAGCACAAGAACATAAGATATCTGTCACTAATGAATAGTCGAAGATAAGATACTTATGTATACGTATATTGTCATGGTTGACAAGGACGACATATTTAATTGTTTTTTTCTTTCACTCTGTCATTCATTTACAATATGCATCTCTTGAATAAATTACGAACAAGTTTTCGACGAAAACCAAATGTATGTTTATCTTGCTTTCTTAGTAATTTGCTATTATCGACATTGTCCATTCAGGAAAGACAATTAACCTTGTCTGAACAAATTGAAACTCTCTTCAAGGAATCAAATAGATTTGTTGAAGATCATCGATTAAAATTACTTCTTCATGTTTATGAATATCGATTACGACAATTCAATTCATTGGATATTTCATTCGAAGATTTCAAACGTATTGAATTCGAACGATCAATCCTTAAAAGTCTCCGTGCAATTACATCAAATCTTCCGGCAAAGTCATCACATCTTTACAAAACAATGCCAACAGCGACATCTAGAAACATGTCATGATTAACAACCAGAATAATAAACAATTTTCGTGTGACAATAAGCATTTTTGTAGAAAAATCGTTGTTATACATTCGTGATAGTTGAAGTTATTTTTTTCAAATATACTGCCGTTTATTGATTGGTTCTTTACGTTCCACATCATATTGCTTCCATAAAAAATTGATAAATACTTCCTTCGTTTTCATTGAATTATAATGACCTAAGATTAATTCGCTTATCAATATGTTACAGAGTATGGTAATCCACCATAAACGGCCATTTTTTACGCGTCGTACTCAATTGTCAGCAGTCATTTTAATCCCATTATGTCGTAATAGTATGCATAGTATAAATGAACGTAAATTTATCACGTTAGTGACCTGATACTTCCGAATAAACATGATTCTATTAACACTTTGTGCTTCCGCAGAAACAAATTGTATTCATCGACGAACGTTAATCAAGAATTCATGAACATAGAATGTATATGAGTGGGAGATTTAGTTGTTGAGATAGTGTTCGATTATAATTCATACAGCTCAATTCTCATGTGATCATTTTTAGCAGAAGAACAAAAACAAAATTTTTTTTTACTCAGCGTCTATGGAACCACTTGAGAAAAAGAATATTTCTAGCAGCAAAATATAATTTCTCAAGTATGTCCTTTCCTTGGAGATAAATTTAATTAAATAGCCTATATTTATTTCTCCTATAGTTGAGAATTTTGAATTACTTGTTAAAAACTCAGTCACAAATGTGTCTAGTAATTACTATCAGTAATTTTTGTTCGGTTCGAATAACATAGAGAACTATTAGACTTTCAGAGCTTTATAGAATTTCCTATTAATTACTTAGACATATTAAACACTCAAAATATTCTCACTGAAAGCTTTTTTCTATATTAAATGAAGATAAATGTAGAATCTATTAGAATAATTTGCTATTTTTATTTTCTAGATTGTGCCAACGCTGAGAAAACAAATCGACACAATGGCATCAACACGTCAACAGCGTAAAATAGAGTCTAAAACAAACTCATCTAACATTGCGAAGTCAAAATCAAGTAGTAATACGAATATTTTGATATTGGCTATAGCTTTTGCTGCTCTTGTTTTCTATGTATTGTATCAATCGATTAATATTTATAGCAAAGATCAAACGTATAATGATTTCGAATGACTTTTTTTTGGCATCATGATTTCTTTAAATAAATTGAAACTCATCATAGATCTTAATTGTATTTATATTGCTTTTTGGTGATATACTCTCCTGTTGTTCAATGTGAATGAGATCAAAATTTCTTCTTTTTGTTGCTTTGATTTTTTTGTGAATGTTTTTCTTGCAATCTTATTCAAAAAAAATTATATAGTATATTACGATTTTTGTTTTTCTGCTTACAATGAAGAAAATATTCATTCATAATCGAATGATTTTCAATGGATGGGGAAAATCTTAATATTTAATATTATAGGCTGTCAGAGTATTATAAAAGCTTCGTTTTTCTACAGGTGGATCTCATTTATATAGGAATTTCGAAGAATGAATCGTTCAAGACTTAAAATATTTGTTTGTTTCAGATTGATGAATAGCACAATTTGAATACTTTCCTGAACCTTTTTTTTTATGTGGAGAAGAATAGCACGTATTATTGATCAAGTAGGCAGTAAAAATTATGCTTAAAATATATCAACCACCTTCTTTTCTCACAGGCAAATAATATCTATCACTGAAATATTTATTATCACATGTAGAAAATCTCATTCTGATTTTGTTAACATGTTCATAATAAGTATTTAATATGCACGATAAAAAATTTAGAGTACTACATATTATTCATCGCATAGTTCTCGGATCCAACGGACTTAAACTGCTATGTCACGAAGAATAAGGCATACAAAGCTCTGACATGAACAGAACACTCGTATACTGCACGTAAAATTTGCTAGGCGACACAGAGAGACAGTTGCCAATGGTTAAAACATAGTTGAAATCTTGTTATGTTTATACTCTCTGATAATTTTAATATATCGAAATGAGACGAAACTCATACATTCACGTTTTGAATTATTGATAAGACTCGAGCACGATTACAAGTACTGGTCGTCTCACGCTCTATGGAGTCATGAAAATTGTAGTTATTTCATGTTACTTGATGAGGTTCATGCCACACTTCGTATTTATTTTATCGGCTGCATCACGTACAGTATATCTTCTCCGTTCTTCACATTGAATTATTTACGTAATGGTAGCCTTGTTGTGAAAACGTGAGCGTCTCTATTTGCGTTTGAAAAAGAAAAGAATAAAAAGTAAAGTGAAACACATAGATGTAAAATTCAACGGGTGAGAATTTCGTATAAAAGTCGTCTACGTCTCAAACTCATTCTTTTCATCGCTTCATTTATTACTTTGACTAGTATATAGATATTTTACGATAGATAACATACGCTTTGAATTATGCAATGAAGCGTATCTAATGTGCAGTTAAAACAATAAGCAGTTTTTATCTTGATTACATTATATGTAATTACCTTTTTTTCTCTATGAGAAATAGCAAGTTTAATTTGAGCTAGTTCATTGTTTTTGAATATACCTGTCAGATGAGTTTTTTCTCTTTCTATAATGACTATATGACAATATAAAATGTTGATTCAATTAAACAAATAATCAAATTCAAAATTCTAGAATCGTTTGCTTGATACAATTTTTCTAAAGCACATTGGACAACTGTTGTTTTGCCACAAGCAAGTAAACAAGAGTGCAGATTAAAATTGTTTACTAGTTTTTCCATGTATTTCGATTGGTTAGTGTAGCAAGATCTTGAGTTTGTATTCCGAGAATTCTTTATCTATTTTCTTCCTCTTGATTCATAGGGTGACTTTGTTACAGTCAAGTTTTCTTTTCTTTTTCCAATAGTAATTAAATGAACATTTTGTTTTCATTTTTAGATAGAAATCTATATTTTTTTTTATCGTGTGGATTTATTTTTGCTATATGTTATTGAAGAACACCGGTATGTGCGAGAAAAAAGTAAATAACTTTATTGAAAACATTTTTCTATGCGAAAAAATTTTTTTTCTATGATTGCAGTTTTATTTTATAGCAAAGTAAATAAAATAGTAACCCATTTAATCGAATGGTGACAAGTCTAAAAAACACAAAAGGTTAAAAATGAAATTTCAATAAAACAAAAATGAATTTCGATTTTATTTATTAGGAATTACAGATGACTTATCGTCATCATCTGTTTTCGATACTCCTTGTTCAAGTGTATCATCAACATCGCCAGTAAGTTCGCATCGAAATTCAGAGCAGTATTTTATTTCAACTTTGATGTTCACCTAGGATAAACAAGATGTTGTAATAGTTCTTGATGATGATAATGCTGAAAATGATATTAAAATTGATAAACATTCCATTACAGATATAATAGAAAAATATGATAATTTAATTGTAAACAGTTTAATTGAAAAACTTGAAATTAATACAGAATTAATTATTGTCAAGCCAAATTTACCTATACGAATATGTGCAACAGCCAAAGCTTATTCCAATCTTCAAGATACGCACATAATTATGGTAAATTGAATGAAGATTTTGTTTTTTACAGTGCGAAAAAAACAGATATCTTTTCTCCTTGAGGTTCTCAATCCTCGTCTATCAACTTCTGAATGTGTAACTAAACGGCAAGCATATATTCATGAGCCTTGTCCATCTTTCGATGTGCCAATACGAACACGTGTATTTCATCGTTCATTATCATTACTTGGCTTTGTATTTGAAATGCCTTGTCCAATAAAAAATCAAAATCGATATCTTGTTTTATATGATAATTTCACTGCTAATTATCATTCACATTTAGAATTTCATCTTTGTTTATGTCAAGACTTCCGACGACATCTTTTAAATATAGACTATAAAGAATTACGAGCACATTATCAAGATGCTTTTCAAAATTCAAATAAAATAAAACAATCAAATTATATGATAGGTAATATAATTCGTGTACGAAAATTCGGTAATCAATATCACAATGTTCGTATTATTGATATCGATTGTTCAATAATAAAGATTTGTTTTTTCGAACGAAAATCAAAAAAAGAAATATGGATTCATACAAACTCATCAATTATTGAACCATCACAACAAATATCACAATCAGCAACACTATCGATTCCATCGTCGCCACAAACACCAACCGAGGAACTAAATAATTCGTATTCTGATCTATCACGACTACGAAAACGAAAAGATCAAAATAGCAATGCAAACAAAGGTATATTTTCATTAAATTAAAACTGGATTCTCTGCTAAATATATTTTTAAAAAAAGGCAATTTATGTAGAATCTTTAAAGCCCTCGCATTATTAAATATCTCTTTTGCTTTACTTTTACTATGAATATTCATACTTCCGTTCATGTCAAACTAAAAAGTTACTTTTAAAATTAAAACGTTACATGTATAAAGCTGTCGACAGAAATGATTTTTTGTAAATTTGATCAAAGCATTTAGTTACTCTTCCCCGTAGTTTATGAAAAACTGATTATTTTCTTCTTTACACGATTCTATATAAACTACTTAGATCAATCGGTATGAGTCCGTATTTCGCTAAGGCTACATTGTTTTCATGTCGTATGTTATCTCTATTAGACACAAAGTGGTATCATTGGTCTCAAATTCCCGAGAGAATATCACTTTGTTATTGTATCAGATTCTTCGGCCAGGATGTTGATACATTGCTCACTAAGATTATATTTTGGAAATTTTAGGTGCTAAAAAACTTCGAGATCGATCTAACACTAAACAACTATCAATGCAACATCAACAATCTTCTTCAACATCCAACGAGCAACTTTCAATAACAACATGTCGTACTAATATTCTAACACCTTATTATACTAATATTCTCTTACCGAAATTTCGAATGCTTAATGCTTTGCCTTCAATATCACATAAATGTAGTCGACAGTGTGTTCTATCAGCAGAAGAACATTTTTCTCCCAGAAAAATTCAAACAAATCCATTTTTACTTCCATTTGAATGTAATTGGTCCATTGTTGATAGCAAACCGCGTGGTTATCGAACTCCGTGCTGTCAAATACTTTACTCACTCGATGATATTGAACAATATCTCTATCGAACACAATCGAAATTGTCAATAAAATTTTTCATTGATGGCGTTTTAACTCGTTTTCAACCATCGATCGATGATTATGATAAAAAATTTCTTATATTAAATGATCTTTCAAATGGACACGAAAACGTTAAAATACCTGTATATAATGATATTGATAATGATAGACCGGATAATTTTAATTATATCACAAAAATTCGTCCGATTGACAATCGAATAGCTGCGGCACTTAATGATAACAATGCAACATCGTGTTGCGATTGTATTGATAAGTCAGTATTATTAATTAATCGATTTTTCATTTAAAATTTTCTCTTCTATTTAAGTTGTAATGATCGAATGAAATGTGCTTGCTTTCGAAAAACATTAAGTCAAGCTCAAATCAATCACGACCCATTAGTTATGGAAAAAGAAAAGAATCGTTATACGCTTGCATACATGTTAAAAACAACAGGTTATCAACGTAAACGTTTACTTAATCCAATATCAAGTGGTGTTTATGAATGTAATTCAAAATGTTCATGTCACCGTGAACATTGCTCAAATCGTCTTGTACAGCAAGGTTTATTCGTACATTTACAATTATTTAAAGATAAAGTAAAAGGTTGGGGTTTACGTGCACTGCACGATTTACCACGTGGAACATTTCTTTGTCAATATATTGGAGAATTGTTAACATCGGATCAAGGACATGAACGTGCGCAAAGTATGGATGATAAATATCAAACAAGTCTTGATTTAGTTAAACAAGTTCATTATGAAATTAATAATGAAGGTGGCGATGATATTGATGATGATGATGATGATGAACCGTATGTTGTTGATGGAAGTTTATTTAGTAATTTAGGAAAATATTTTAATCACGCTTGTGAACCAAATATGTTTATTCAAAATGTATTTATTGAATCCCATGACCTTCATTTTCCAAATCTAGCTTTATTTACTCGAACACATGTTAAAGCTGGTCAAGGTATAAATTAATTTCGTTTTTTTTCTTCAGACTTTTAACAATATCAACATTAGGGACTAAGTCTAAATTTTACTCTTGGTTTTGAAACATCGCTTTCAGATCAGTGTACTTCATTCTCCAATCATTTGTAGGAAAAAGTTTCGAGATATCAAATGATAATAGGTTAGGCGTAGTTTTGATTCCACTAAGTATTAACTAGCCCATTGGATGGGGGCCTAATTAATATGTAGAAATGAAATGTATTCAACAGCTGGAAATGTTCTCCTGCGAGAATAATCGGCATGAGCCTTCAACTTCGCGCCTAGTAATACAAACATTAGATAGAATATCTCTAGTATGGATAATTAGCACGTTCAATGTTTAGATGTTCTTGCTAAGTTTTGTAACATGATCACTGAGATCAAATGATCCGAACATAATATGTGCTATTATGTATTTCCTAATCTTATACAAATTTCCTACATTACAATAGATGATGATCTGCAATGTTCGTACATCAAGGATACACATAGAAACCGACTCAACTCTCGAATAGATAATCTCTTACAAAAAATGCACACAACTAAGAGTAGATTCGATATAGCTATGATCTTTTAGATTTACTTTTTACAATAATCGAAAAGTAAGAAAGTCGACTGAACATTTATTGCTCGATGCTAATAAAAAAAAAAGACATGATTTCATCGTTCTGTTCAATCACAGTATTGTATTACAGTTGTTATTTAACAAAGATAACATATCATACGTAATGTAATTCTTAAATTACCTATAAAACAATTGTTTCATTAAGATTATATTGATTGTATTTGTTTGTTATAGAACTTACATGGCATTATAACTGTGAACTCCTGCCCGATCGTGAAGTGAAATGTTTTTGTGGTTCGAAAAATTGTCGTGGTAGACTTTTGTGAACATAAACTTGTATGAGTCAGATTTACATATTCCTGTTGTCTTTTCGTGAAATATTTTTTCTTGCTTTTGTTTTTCTTTTCTTTTCAATTTTCGTGTTTGTACATGTATTTTTGATAAAAAAAACAAAACAATCAGTGCTATGATGACTTATGTTTGCTTTATCGGTCCGATTCGTTTGCTCACTGTTTGCGAGAGAGAGAACAATAGGAAGAAATGATGAGCTTTATTATATGGTCTATATCTTTTATGACCTTCAATATTGAATATATATATATGTACAGTTTGATGTTTGAGAAAGGGCACGTCGATAGAGTAGTTCCATACGCTAGTTGTTTTGTGTGAGTGTTAAAGAACAAGAAAAAAGAGAGTAATTGGTCTTGCTTCTTTATGCCAGTACTATTTGTTTGTTCTTCTTCTTCTATTCTCGAACGATTACGCAATTTATATGACTATATAAAAACGTTGATTATACAGACATACATATTTTTCCTCTTTATTGGATTTCCTAGAGTTTCATTAAATTTTACTTGTACGCTAGTCTCAAGAGATTATCATGGAAGAAAATACTTATAGATTATTGTTTTCTTTTACTAATAACGAGATAAGAACGTGCTGAAAATATGTTTAGTTGATAGGAAGTCTTCTAATTGATCAGCTTGTCTTTAGGAGAGATAAGCTATCTTAATAAAAATTACAAGACAAAAATCATTTACAGCTTGATAATCGTCGAACAGCATATTGAAGATTTATATGTCTTGTTCTATGTTCACTAGTCTTATTCTTTCTTTACTTTATATCATTGTAAGAGTAGAACGAAAAGGTCGATGAACATTTGAATCTTTTTTTCTTCTTCTCCTTTCTTCTGCACTTAATCATTTCCATCCCAAATATTGACTTGAGTTGAGTAAGACATTTACTTGACTGGATTATTTGTTATCTAATCATACTGATAGTTATAATTGAGTTCATTCTTCATTGTACAAGATTTTTTCTATTACTCGACAAAGAAAACAAATGAATCTTTTTTCTCTTTAAAACTGGCAAATCATCTCATCAAACAAGACGACAAAACTACGAGATTGAACCAGAAAAACTGTGCTCTTTCATCCGTAGCAATACCAATAATAAATGGATCTCTATCAACAACATCATCGTCGTCACAATCAACAGATGAATCAATATTATCAACATTAAATTTAACTAATATATCAAAAATTAAACGAAATTTATTTTCTCGTATGATATCATTTAGATATTTATCAAGTCATAAAACATCAATATATCGTTCTTATAATCTACGATCGTTTCAACTTGGACATGATCAATATTCTGTTGTTATACATTTTCTTGATGATACCGAACGAACATTTCATATTGACGTAAGTTGAAGAGATTTTTGAAATAAAAACAAACACAACTAAATTATGAATATTTTCATTTTCAAGCGTCGTTGTAAAGGCATTGATTTATTAAATGAAGTTTTTGATTATTTGGAATTATCAGACGAAAGAAAATATTTTGGTTTACTCATTGAAGATCTAACACAAGATTTTGCCTATCGATGGTTAGATTCAACGAAAACACTGAAAAAACAATTAAAAACAAATATATTATCGTATCATCTTTATTGTAAAATACGATTCTTTGTTAAAGATCCAGCGAAACAAATCGACGATGAATTTACTAAATATTTATGTGTTTTACAAATAAAAAAAGAATTATTAAGTGGTAAACTCTCATGCCAAAGATCAACAGCTGCTATTTTAGCTGGTTACATTATACAAAGTAAAGCGAATAGAATTAATTTTGCATAGTTTAACAACGATTATCTTCAGGTGAACTTGGTGATTATGATGTAAACAAACATCAAAAACGATATTTAAACGATTTTCATTTTATACCATTTCAAAATTCAGATTTTGAAAATGAAATTCAAAAATACCATAAACTAAATAGGTAAGACTATTGACACTATCATTTATCAAAGGAAAGATCCTTATCAACAGTAGCTGATGGATTCAATCTGTCGGACTTTGACGTTTACTATGACATTGACCAGTTCAATATTATATACAAATCTTTGATTTTGTAAGAATGATTTATTTGCTTGCTCTTTTTATTAGAGGTCAATCGCCAGCTGATGCTGAAAATAATTATCTTCGAGTAGCTAGTTCGTTGGCTATGTATGGCGTAGAACTACACAAAGCATCTGTTAAAGTAAGAACATCTTTTTTTTTAAATTCGAAATATTTATGTTCGAATGTGAAATTAAATTAGATATCAAATACAAATAATAGTTTACACAAGTCTATTATTGAATTACATGTGGGTGTTTGTGCTATTGGAATATCGATTTTTCAAAATTCAATTAAGATTAATACCTTTTCTTGGTAAGAAAAATTAAATGCCCATGATTTGACAAGAATTTTTTGTTGTTGTTCTATTGGAATATAGGGATCAAATAACAAAAATATCATTTAAAAGACGAACATTCTATGTTCAACTGATTAAAAATCCCGTAAGTATTTAGTTTCATATTACATATAGTGCGAGAATCAATTGCAAATAGAAAACAATTAGTTTTTGTCCACAAAGATTTTTCTACTCCGGATAGATTTTTAAAAAAACGATTCATTAGAAATAATGAATAAGTTCGATTGCATTTCTATGGCATTTATATTTGAATATTTTATTTTATTTTAGAATTCTTCCGATAACAATTCTATTGTATTTACATTACGTAATTATTGTTGTTGTAAATATTTATGGAAATCATGTGTTGATCATCATACATTTTTTCGTTTCACATCCTTGCCAAAAGTCAACATTGTACAATTTATTAATAAATTTCGATTTCGGTTAAAATTTTTCTTTCATTTTAAAAATAAAACTTTCGAAATTTTATTTCAGTACGGATATTGTACCAAATGAATTAATAGCAAAACCAAACGAACAGAAACGAAAAAGATTCGAACGGTTCGCTCAAGATTTTCTCATGTAAATTATTCTCGTCTACTAATTTAGAGTATCAAGCCGAAGAACAATGCGTACAATAGATGGTTCATCAACATTGCCGGCATCTTCCAATCATCATAAATTCTTCATAACTAAAGGCGGCAATTTAAAAACAAGTTTGTTTCGCTCATCATCGAATGCATCACTAGGAAAATCGGAACCAATCGTTAATAAAAAATCATCACTTCAATCAGAACCACCATCAAAGCCTCCACGAGATATTTCATCGATTAATACTATACTTACTGATGAGAATGAATTGAAACTCAAAACTCCAGTACTAACTCCAAGTGATGATCAAGATAGGTAATTTAAAAAAAAGCTAACGCCTAGCTATATTTCTATGTTGCTCGAAAACAGCTAGGTGAAAGACGAGAGAAATAATCTCTCGTTCACAATTGATGAAACAATAATCCTTTGATTTAGTAGAATTTAATTTGAAAAGAGCAATAGATGACCTCACTAAAGGCATTTATTGACAACGATAACTTTCTTTCTTTAATTTAGTCTACAAATGTCAACTCAAAATCTCCTATTAAACGATTCATCTATTTCTTATGAAACATCATCTTTTGATCAACATGTAATCTTAATAAAAATAAAGCCCGATATCGATGGTCGATATGGTTTTAATATTAAAGTATAATCGTTTTTCTAATTCTTATTTAGAACTGAAATCGATCAATTTGCTTCTTTTTTTAGGGAGGTACAGATAAACAAGCATCAATTATAGTTGCAAAAGTAGTAGCCAATACATCAGCAAGTCGAGCATTACTTCATGAAGGTGATACTATCTTAGCAATTAATAATATTGATATTCGAAATTATTCGCATAATGAAGTAAATAAAATAAAATAAAAAAATATAGATTTCGTTTTTTTTTTTGGAAATATATTTAGATTATAAATATGATTCAAAATTCTCGTGAAAGACATTTGGGCGAATTAGAACTTCTTATAAAACCTTCTGATGAAACAAACTTACTAAAAAACTCATTGGAAATAATACGCAATGATATTTCACTCAATCATTTGATTGAACAATATCAAGTAAGATATTATTTCTACCTAATCAATTCTTTTGATTTATTTCTAGACACTCGAACGTCAAAAAGATGGTTTTACTTTTGAAATTGCTCGTAGCCAAGATAATTATTATCGTAACCGTTATAAAGATGTATTACCTTATGATCAAACACGTGTTATACTGAAAACAAATTCAGAAAATGATTATATCAATGCAAGTTATATTAATGTAAGAAATTAGAATTTTCTTTTTGAGTTTCAAAATTTTATTCATATTTTCAGATGCCAATCAATTCAACCGATATCATTAATCGTTATATAGCTACTCAAGGACCATTGCCAATGACATGCGAACCCTTTTGGCGAATGATATGGGAACAAGAATGTACTTTAATTATAATGTTAACAACTTTATTTGAAAAGTAAGAAACGACTTATGAATGTTTATTTCGAATGAATATTTTCCTCTTGCTTTTTTTCTAAATTTAGTGGTCGAATTAAATGTCATCAATATTGGCCAAATCTATTAGAAACAATTGATTTTGGTTCGTTTACAATTCGATGTAGTCGTGAAACGAATGAAAATGAATTTATCTATCGCGAACTTATAATTTTAAATAAGAAACAAAATCTAGAAAGGATTATTTATCAAATACAATATGAAACGTGGCCGGATCATGATGTACCGAATAATTATGCTTCGTTTGTTGACTTCGTATTAGAAATTCGAGAATTAAGAAAAATGAATAAACAAATTCCAATTCTGGTTCATTGCAGGTAGAATTTCGATTGGAATTTCAATGAGAGTTTTATGTTATTTATTTAGTGCTGGTATTGGTAGAACAGGTGTGCTAATATTAATGGAAACTGTCCTATGTCTAATTGAAGCAAATCAAGCAATATCTCCGCTGAATATTGTTCGACAAATGCGGGAACAACGTTTAGGAATGATTCAAACAGCTGTAAAAAACAATTGAATTTATTGAAAGATTTATAAACAAAAAACTTTTTTTTTCAAATTTTAAATTTAGAGTCAATATCAATTTGCGTGTGAAGCAATACTCTATGCATACGATCATGGATTGATAGAAGTCAACAACAATTAATTGACGATTTCCTTGGTTCTTTTACTTTTGCCTGTCAGATACGTTAAAACTATGTGCTCAGCTAGAATTCAAACTTCTTATAACAGTGCCTTGTCGAACGAAAGTTTTTGTTTTTAATAAAATGTATTCATCATGTTTTTGTAATTGAATTATGTGATTTTTCTTTTTGTTTTGAATTAATAATAATAATAATAATAATAATATATAGAAAATAAGAGAACGATGACTTTATGAAATCGTGATATATTTTTGAGACTGCGATTTATAAAATAAACAACTATGTTATTCAATGATTTTGATTTTAGATGTGAGCATGAATTGATCAAAAAAAGTTTATTATTGCTCACTTTTATTATTTCATGTCTAGTTATATTACTCGGTCTGTTGCCGGTTCTGTCAAACATCCCGGTACATCATTTTCTTGCTATTGCCTAATTCATCGACGTTTTTATGCGGATCAAAAAGCAATAAATCATTATGATGCACTTGGCATTGCTTCGAATGCTTCTAAGAAAGATATAAAAGCAGCTTTTTACAGTTTATCAAAAAAACATCATCCGGATGTCAATCCTCAAGATAAAAATGCTGCACAGAAATTTAGTACCATAGCAAATGCTTATGATATATTAAGTGATCCAGTTAAACGACAAGATTATGACAATCAACTATCATCTCAAAAGTCGTCATCTGATCCCTATGTTACCTATGATCGAACAAGTACTTATGCACAACGAGCTCGTGCTCACCGTCCTTCATCATGGAAACCACCACAACCGCCATCGTCGAGTAATTCAAATGGAGGTTTTCCAGGAGCAGAAGGCGCATTTGGTAGCAGCCGCAGTACGAACTCTGGAACATTTGATAAACAATTTTATGATAGTGCATTCGGTCGATATCGTGGTCCAACGCCAAGTGGACGCTCGAATATATATGATTTTGATGAGTTTTATCGTGTTCATTATGCGGATTTTAAATTTTGGGGTAGTTCAAGAAAAGAAGCACAAGAAAGAATGCGACGTCAACGACAACACGAAGAAAATCAACGTCAAGAAAAAGAAAATCGTAGTACTGTATCAAAAGTATCTTCATTAGCTATTTGGATTGGTCTTGGACTATTTCTTATAGTTGTATCAAGTGCATTACATGATATGCATTTTCAACAACCTGTAGATGAACTTCGTACGAAATTTTATATTATTCCGAAGAAGTCGAAAAATCAATCGTTCGACGAATCGTCATCTAAATCTTAATATACATACGTATGTTTTGTTTTCCTCTGTATTGAATAATATTAACTTGTAACTTATTTTTGTATTCGTGATGAAATAAATGAACTACCTGATCTATTTTCTTGTTTATCTAAGTGAAAACTTTTCCTTCTAACTAATTTTTTTCCCTCTTACTAAGACTCTGATTGATCGACATAGATTAAATGAGCATCATTGACACTGATATTCAATATTGTTGGATTTACATGAGCTGCAAAATTCATACAGTTCTCATGTAATTAGACAACCTTATGTTTTCTAGTGTTCCTTGAATTTATGACAAAAATACTTAACTATGAGTCCAGCCCCTATGAGATTACAAGGACGATATTTTATTTTATATATTTCACGACTAGAGATGCGCGGGACCAGGTTTTTCTTGGTTCCGGTCCCGGTCTAGTCCCGATCGTATTACGGATGAATATACTATTTTCTTGGCTCCGGTCCAGATCCGGCAGATTTTTTTCAAACGGTCCCAGTTCCGGTAACTTTTCAGCGGTCCCGAAAGCCCGGTCCCGGTGGCTTTTTTAACTATAAAGATTTTATGGCTAACGAGTTCGGCTTAATATCATCTGAGTATAAGCGACATCTAACAATTATTAGAGCAACTGTTATTTCAAAAATTTCTTATAATCGTATCAGTGAAAAGGATGATTAATATCATTTAACCCGTGGTTGCTTTGTTTTAAATTCTTTATTCTCAATTCAATCGATAAAGGATCCTTGTCACATTTAATTCTTATCAATGTCTATTTCCACAACTAAAACATTTTTCGATAAACAAGAAGTGGAAGATTTGTATAGGAAAGTACGTGACTTTGAGTTGCTTATTTATTTATTTTTGATATTTCCGCTTTTTATTTTCGTTTATGTCGTTTTGCTTTATGCTATGTACATTTTTGTATTACTTGATATTAGTATGAAAATAATAAATTAATTTATGATGTACGGAAAATTCAATTTAAAAAAATGGGAACGTTAAAAATATCACAGATTTCAATTGCGGCCACGGCTCCGGTCATGGACCCGGTTAAATTTGGATTTTCAGCCCCGGTCCTTCTAAAATTTTAGATTTTTCGGTCCCGGTCCCGGCCGCAGCCCCGGTAAAGCTCTATTTATTGGCTCCGGCTCCGGCTACGGGTACCGGATACCGGGTTCGGAACCGGAGCTGGTCCCGCACATCTCTATTCACGGCGTATGTAATTCGCCGTTCTTTTGCTTAATTATAAGCAGATGGAATAAAAAAAACATAACTTTTGTGTTATGAAGATCCTCGATATTCTCATTTAGGATTATTTTCAATTATTATATCCAAATTTGTTTTTGTATAATTTTTATGAGCGCATATGACTTCATCTATATGTTGATTGCTTCAGTTCGAAGTCATGTTCATCGGCACACGATAACCTTTACGTATGAATGATTGTCTCATGTTAGTAAAAAAAGAGAGAGACCAAAAGAAATATCGATTCTATGACCTTTCGATCCCCTTTGGGATATGAGTTAATTCAATGCTTATTTTTTTCATCTAAATGAATTCTAGATTTATTATGGTGAAAACAAATAAAACTCAAAGTATTCTATATAGTCTTGATGAACTACGTCCGATACGATCATCTGTTGATCAATGCCGTACTCATCTAATGAAATTTATAGAACAATATAAATCCATGAATGTGTTAGATGTTGAAACACGCTTATTAAATCGTTGTGTATATAAAAATTGGAATGCCCGTCGTGCCGAACTTGGCATTCAAGCAAGCCGACGAACTGTTCGTTTACTTGAACAATTTCTATCGAAACGTGAACAACATCTTGAACAGATTCTCTCTGAATTCAAACCCGATCATGTTGAAATTCGTCTGCCATCACGTGGCACGCTCAATCAATTGCTTAATAGTCTAGAAGAATCATCACTTTTATTATCAAAAGTGAAACGTTTCTCGAAAGTAACTGTTGATCGATTAAGAGTTGAATGTAATCGAGCAAATTATGTTCATTATAATATATTAATGATGTCTCTTTGTTCAAGAATTTATTTCTTAGTTGTTGCTCTTGAAAAAAGCCAAAAAGAATTTTGTTTTAATGTTAAAAAATCAATTAAAATATTCAAAAAGAAAACTAAAGAATAAAACGATTCGTTACATTTCAGATGCCAGTATATCTTGATTACGCTCGTTTTTTAAGTAAAGCTGCCACGCGCCGACAACCAAGTGCTATTCGTGAAGCTAGTAAACATTCATTTATTATTCTATCTACAATTGAATTCATTTAAATATTCATTGTTTTAGCCCAATTATTTGCACGATCGCCACCGACAACTATTAGTTTCGCATCAGGAAGTCCTAACACATCATTATTTCCTTTTAAAGAAGCAACAATTACTCTAATGTAAATTTCACTTTTTCTATTTTTGCTAGCTGTAAAAACGATTCAACTAACAATTTGTTTTTTTTTCTGTCTAGAGATGGCACAAATATTCAATTGGATCCTTCGGCCATGTCGAAAGCATTGCAATATTTGCCTACACCTGGGTTTGTATTTTTTAGTATATATATTGATAGTTTTCCCCGCATGATTCATTAGTCTGGTTGATTATTAGACAAGCAGATTTATTAGACTGGTTAAAAAAATTACAAAATCGTTATCATTCTCCACGGGATTTTAAACGATATGATTTATGTATAACAAATGGCTCAATGGAAGGATTAGGCAAAGTTTTTGAACTGGTACTCAACCCTGGAGATTCAATTTTAGTTGATTCGCCTTGCTATTCAGGATCTTTAGATTTTGTAAATTGTTCAAAAACACATAGTGTCAATTATTTTTTTCTATGCATTGATCTTTATCCTTAGCTTCGTGGCTTTGGTGCTGACATTGTTAGTATTGATACAGATTCCAATGGTATGAATGATAAGCACTTGAATGAAATTCTTTCGAATTGGCCAGAGACAAAAACGTTTCCTAAAGCTCTCTATACGATTCCGAATGGTTCAAATCCAACAGGAGCATCAATGAATTTCGAACGAAGAAAAACTATATATGAGGTTAAAAATATAGAAGAGAAATTTTATTTTGGTAAAATTTTAATTTATTTAGATTGCTAAAAAATATGATCTTTTAATTATTGAAGATGATCCATATTATTTCTTACAATTTACAGTAAATAATTCAATAAATAATAAGAAATAGTTCTTCATAGAAAATAATTATAGAAACCAGAGCCATCATTTTTATCAATGGATATTGATGGTCGTGTCATTCGACTTGATTCCATGTCGAAAGTTCTATCAGCGGGGTAAGCGATTAAGTTCATTGGAGAGGAACAAAACAACAGCAAAATAATTTAATTTTTATGTTAGAATGCGTCTTGGTTTTGTTACTGCGCCCGTACCATTATGGCAAAAATTAGTTTATCATCAACAAGTAACAAGTATGCATGCAAGTTCGCTTTCACAAGTAAATGTTTTAATGATCAATCACAAAGAAATTCCTAATCAAATTTTTCTCATTAGATGGTAGCATTGAAATTATTCGAAAAGTGGAATCTATCGGGATTCGATGAACACACACAACGGTAGTAATCATTGAAAGTTTCTTTTGCTTTTTCAATTTAAACATTTTATAGAATTGCAAAATTTTATGAAAACCAGAAAACATTAATGGTTGACGCTATCAGTAAACATTTGAAAGGTATGTTTAACTAAAACATTTTCTAATAAAATTATGAAGTACCTTTTCGATTGTCTTAGAAAAGAAAATTCAATTAGAAGTTTTGAATCTTTTTTTAAATTCTCAATCTAGTATTTTTAGTAAAGAAGATTTTGAAGTATGTTAATATGAATCCATTATGGATGAATGTCAAGTGATACAAGATGACATTTGTCCCACACAATCAAGCACACATTTTTATAAGATGACCTTTTCATGATTTTTTTAATTGTTTAGCTAAGAAGTTTTTCTTGTCTAAAAATATTTTCTTTATACGAGTTAGTCTAGTGTTATTGTATTCAGCTTAAAGTAATTAAGAATAATACATATTTAGATATGGTCACATTCAATGAGCCAACAGCTGGTATGTTTATATGGATAAAAATTCTTGGTATTCAAGATACAAGAAAATTAATCTATGAGAAAGCTCTTGCAAAGGAAGTATTACTTTTGCCTGGCAGTGCTTTTTTTGTTGATCAATCAAAATCTTATCCATTTGTGCGCGTTTCTTATTCACTGTGTACACCGGAACAAATGGAAACAGTAAAGCGATTTATTATTATTATCTATTGATAAATTGATTGTGATTTTTTTTTATAGGGTATGACACGTTTTGGTAAAGTTCTTCGCGAAGAACTTGCTTGCTAACAGGCAAAATACGGATGGTTATATTATCGAAAAAACAAAATTGTGATTGATTTTTTTCCTGCGCTGAATGATTATAAATCTGATTAAAAGAATTTAAAAGAATGAAAATAACATACAACTAATTCTCAAAATCAATTATTTTGTCTGAACATAACGTGTATTAAAATAGAATATATGATAGATCTCAGACACAGTGCTGATAGAAACAACAAAACACTCATAAGTATGTCAATACGTATAATCAATGTTTTTTCACGTATCAAACGCTCTTTTTTTCTCATTGAGTATGTCATCTTGAGACACTTGATATTTATACAGGTGCCGTATGATTGACAAGCAACAGCATAGACCAAATCAGCAAAGACTTCGATCGATGGCAATATAAACATTTGCAAAAGAGAAAGAGAAAAAGAAAAAAAAGATGAGTGTATGTCAAATGCGATCATTGTACTTCTGTGAAAATTAACGATCACAGTATCCTAGTGTGATACAAGGGGAAATATTTGGTAAATTGTCAGTTTTACTGAAACAAAATTGGAGATTCAATTCTATGGGATAATTTCTCGTTTTAATTCGGTTCGGTTACGTTTAATAAATTAAGAAGATGGCATCACCTTTTCATTAACTTGGTCATTAGTCATTGAAAAAGTTCACTTGCGAAGAGTTACTGATGGAATAGGATTGATCTAATTGTTCGGCTCAAGTTGAGCCAATGACGTGTCTATCAACAATAACTGATAGGGTGTACATTTAATTCGAACAAGACAAGGACACCAAACAACTATGAATATACAATCTACAAACAAACATCGTAATGCACTTCTACTTAGTTATTAAAGAATTGCAGTTCGCAATGCAACGAGACCGAGCCGTAAACGGCAAATTTGTTAAAAAGTCAAAATATGCAATTTAGCCTTTTCTTCTTACAAGTGTAACGTGCTCCTATTTTATAACTAACTGCCGATCGCTTTTATGTTTCTCTTGCCATTCTTAGTCATACAAGTTCTTCTCTTCTATATATTCAATATAATTATGAATCATTGTAATTGATTATGTTAGAACCGAATTAAGATGAAACTCAATGGTGACATCGTCGCGTAATACCGAAACGGAAAGCGATCGAATAGCGAGGCGTGAAAACAGCTTTATTTATTCAAATAGAAGTCACTTTTGATCGATCATAACTTAACTATAACACTTCGAATTTTATTGTACCTATTATTTCATATATTTTTCTAAGTTTTGCTCGTTCATCATTATGTTGATTGAGACACATGACATTGAATACGAATGAATGAATTTCATTCAGGTATTTTGAATTGTCGTGTATTTTGCTGTTCTTCTTCTTCCTCTTCATCATCTGAATTTATTACTTGGAAAAAAAGAGAAAAGTCAAATATTAAGAAAATGATAGAACAGAAAGAAAACGCTTATCCACTAGTTTTCAATGAATTCCACGCAAATACTTGTGCTAACAACAACAAGACGGGAAATAGAAAGAACAAAAATAATGATGAAGCGTCAGCGATATAGTTAACGAGGTAAGAAAAAAGAATTGTATGACAATTGTCGACACACATATTAAAAACAACTTCTGGTTTTACCACTTGATTATGTTATTTTTATGGTTTTTTTTCTAATTTTTTATTTTCCAAAAACAACATTTGAAATAGCTTGTTTTTATACGGTTTGACAGAAAATTAATTATTCAATGGAATCATTTAGTTTTCATTTTGTTTATCTAATATCCGGTCTAAAAATAGAATAAATTGTTTAAGACAGTTGCATAAATAGTTGTTTTCAGCTAGTTTTCCAGTCATTTCTTAGTTATTTTTGACTATTGGTTACGATCTATCAGACAAGAAAATTTCTTCTCGTGCCCATAAAGATAAATAGAATATCTTATTATTCTATGAAATTGTATGTAGCATTTCTTTATTTGCTCCTTAAGATTAAATCGTGCTATTGACAATGACTATCTGAAAGTGTTTCACGTCAATTGACTTTTTCATCTTAATTTCGTCTCGTTCATTTTTTCCCTTTCACAAGAAAAATCTTACTCTAGAATTTTTTTTCGTATCGAGTGATGATACTTGGGGAGTGTGCTGATTTCTCTATTGGCTTCGATTCTTTTAGTCTAATTTACATCAAATCGTACTGGTGAGATGTTTATTAAAAGTATGATGAAGTGGTTTTCATCATTATCTATGTGTGACGCTTGACGTGACAAATTTTTTTTAATTTTTTTGAAATCAAATAAAATTCTTTTTTTTTAAATTTCTCGCAAAACATAGACAACTGTTCATGTGGCTAAATCATGGTCTATAACTCATATAATATCATGAAAAACAATGTACGATAAACAAAAAAATTAAAAATTAAAATTCTTTTATTCAATAAAGTAACACGGGTTGCATCCCAACAGATCAAAATATGATGTAAAGAAAGAAAAAATATTCTAATCGACTTGTGTGCTTGACAATTCGGCTTAAATTGTAGACTGCCTAAAATAAATCTAGCCTTTGCTAACAACAAGTAAAGTCTACATATAATTGAAAGAGACAGTTCACTTTTTGTGCCACGCAAAGAAAAAAAAACGGATGTGCCGTAATCAATGATAGTTATTATATATATTTTTTCTTTTTTTGAGAATAGTATTACTGACATGTAACTTGAGATCTTGATCCTTATAGTCATATTCAGAAATTTTAAAATATAAGAAGAAAAGAAACGAAAAAATAAACAAATAAAATTTTATTATTAAAAACTTGACAGATAAAAAGTAAAAATAGAAACTAAAGTGAAGGTGAATTTCTCTTGTCAAGTGTGATCGAACTCAATAATGATTGATTCCCACTGATTCTCTCATCGGATTGATGATCCTACGTAAATACGTATGTAAACAAATAAAATTAAAAAAGAAACGCAAAAAAACCTTTTCTTCTTTCTAAACAATACAGTTCTTCTCATTACAATGTAAAACGATGTCTATAAATAGATTCGGAATATTTATATATGAAATAAGTAGGGAGCAGGAGAGAAAAAAACAAATATCATGAGCATATCTATTGATTATTCTAAACATAATTATTGTTTTCTCGCACTATATCAACAAACAAATAAATCCATGGGTCTTACTGATAATATTCGTTTTTAGTCATTTGATATGTATAGATTCTATTGGATCGATTTTTGAATTAGGCCACGAGACCATAGGAGCATCAGCGCACTTGTTAATCTTATATTTGTGTAATAAAGGTTTCATTCATGAATTTCAATATATTTATTTATATATATGTATATGTATATATAGAATATTATAATTATGAATACTATACTTTTGGATGACTTCTTTTTCATTGCTCGTTCTTTCGCAAGTCAAAACTCTCTTTTTTCTTTGTATTTTTGGTAGACAATTGTCGGTCGAAACAAGCGTTTCTTGCTCTTTGCTGCAGCCATAATATTTTCTCCCCGATTCTCTTCTACTCTATGTGCCATTTCTTATCCAACATTAAACACGCACATATAGAGACAACATCCTTTTCCCAATAGACTTGTATTGAACAACAGTTCAGCGTGAATAACTTTACTAAATGAATTAGTTCCAAAAATTGCATTCAAATAATACCCAATCGATTCCAATCATTTCTTTTTACAATTAATTCACATTCACGTATTTAACCACATATATTTATATACATCCTATATAATCATGATAGTTTTTTCCGATTGATAGTGCATGACATATTATCGGTAAGTGTCTCCGGGAGCAGACATCCGTAACATATCAACGATAAATTATTTAGTTCTTTTTTCTTCTGATGAATTTTATTAGTTTGATGTTACTTGATCACAGAATGTTCTAATTATATAGATATGTGTATTTCTAGATATGAACACAATGGATTGCCTGTTTTATATTGTTTATTTGGTTGAAAAATGATATTAACATTATTCTCGGTATTTTCAGTCTGCGAAATTTAATCAGGATATTAGTTGTTTTTCTTCGCTTGTCTAGTTAAAGACAGTAAAAGTATTTTTTCTTTCTTGCTTTCTGTTCATGGCACACACATTCGTACGTAATTCTATAGATAGCTTTGTAGAAGAAGAGACGTAAAAAAAAAGACAGCATACTTCTTATTGTCTCATTGACAACAATCATATACAGAATGTCTGCCTTTGACTAAACATGGTACTCAATTAATCAAAATGATAAATCATACCCATACGCATCTTTTCGGGATAAATGCTTACTATCTATGGGGAAATATCTTGCAAAACTGATTGGTTATGACGTCTGCCCTTTGTAAAAGTATCATTTGTCAATACAGAGTGTAAAATATTCATTTTCTCTTTATTTTTTAAGGTAGGCACTTCAGTAGGTTTTACATTCTTTTTCTTCTTCTTCTTCTTCTATATTATCAAATAAGAAAAACAAAAGAAATCGAACGGCTTATGAATAGTGTAATTATCATTGCAATTGTTTTTGTTTCTTTTTCTAGCATTAAGTGTCACTTGAGTAATAACATTAAGTAAATAATATATGAAAAAGAAAGAAAACGTCAATAAAATACAATTGAAATTTTAACTGTAAAGTCTTGTTTATGAGTAAAAATCATCTTATTTTATGAATGATTTAGATCGTAGTATGACGATGTAGTTTTTTCTACATTAGTATATATTTGGTGATGTGACTCGGAAATCAGTGCGTTTCTCTATGATGGATTTCCTTTCTTCTTTTTTTTGTTGTAGCACACGCGTAGAATATTTTCTGTTTTTTGTTTTTTGTTTTTTTTGTTAGGAAAGACTCTTTTCTTATTTATAATGATCTCATTCTCTTAGATATTAATGTAATTTATGTACGGATTTTTAACATGTTTTCTATGATTGTTAACTATGAAAGTGCGCAAAAAGATCTATTTAAATGATTCACCTATGCTATTGATTCATTGTAGTGTAAAAGAAAAGAAGACATCATCAGTTCATGATGTATGTTAATCAGACAAGCCAATATAATCTAACAATCCATGATATTCTAACAACGATTCAAAATGATGTACAAGCTTCTCGAACTGGTGAACTTGTCATTGGTATTATTGTATGTGTGGCAACAAAAAAAAAAGAATCATGTAATTAATGATCTTTTTTCTTATTGTTCTTTAGGCTTATTCAATCATTATCATACTGAGCATTATCGGAAACGTTATTGTTGTTACAGCTATACTTCGTGTGCAACGACTGCGGCATCCAACTAATTTTATACTTATGTCACTTGCTATTGCTGACCTTCTTGTAACCACGACAGTTATGATACCAGGATTCATTTCTGAAATCAAACAGAAATGGATATTTGGACGAATATTTTGTAATATTTGGGTAGCTAATGATATAACTTTTTGTACAGCATCTATTTTACATCTGGGTAAGATTGCATTGATTTTTCTCTCGTTACTCTATACAAAAGATAAGCAGAAGTCAACTATTAACTTATTTTTTTTTTATAAACTATTTTAGTTGCTGTTAGTTTTGATCGATATGTTGCTATTGAAAATCCACTTAAATACAAACAAAAGATGACAAAACGCACAATATTTATTATAATCGGTTGCATATGGCTAATAAGTGTTTTGCTTTCTTACGGACCAGTTTTATTCGGCGTTTATAGCCAATCACGAACTGGGACAGTTTCGCCTGATCCCACTGTGTGTGGTATGAGACCTAATTTAATTTACTCGATAATATCATCATCAACATCCTTTTATATTCCTCTTATAATCATACTTTTTCTTTACGGACGAATATTTATAACAGCGCGCAAACATTCACATGAATTACTGAAACTTGAAAATATTATTAAACGTTTACATAGTAATGAAAAATTTGTACTTGAAAGTTCGAAATGGAATAAAAATATGAAAGCTATACGAACGTTAGGTATATACAAAACAAAATCACCAATATCTATTAGATAATTTTGTTTCGGTGAATATTTAGGTATTGTCGTCGGTGTATTCATGGCTTGTTGGTTACCTTTTTTTGTCATGTATCTTTTATTAGCTTATTGTAATTATAAATGTGTTACTCCAAATATTGAACGTTACATAACTTGGATTGGTAAAGATACTTTCTTTTCATGCTGTATTTAATATTTACTAAATACATTTTATTGTATGCTTAGGTTATGCTAATTCATTTTGTAATCCAGTGATTTACGCATTTTCAAATAAGTATGTTTTTGTTGCTTTCTTTAAAAATTTTATTTAAATACATAATCATGATAATAATAATCATTGTAGATATAGGAAACAACTAGTTGATGTGTATTGACAAAAACTAGCGATAGCACCTCGAGAGACATTTTTCTCAGATTTCAATGATTTTTGTTTTTTGACGATAGAAATTGTATACTATTTTACTGAAAGCTTTGCGAATCTTGGATTTCCTATTGATGAGACTATTCGAATGCTGCATACGATTAATTATCGAAGAGTTTTTCTAGTTTCAGCTGAAGATAGCCTTCACGTAAAACGAGATATCATTCGGATTACGTTTTCAAACAATCAACTTCAAAGAAAATGTGTTCAACAGTTAAATTAAATATTTAAGTTCGCATTCTATGGTACTGTTAGAGAACTTCTCGAGAGTTTATTCTTCAGAAAAGATTGATAGTTTTATAAAAGAAATCGCCATCTCGAAAACTCTCTGAGGCGTTTCAAAGTACTGAATAAGCATAATTACTATAGTATTCTACGAGAAATATTTTCAACAAGTTAGTAGATTAAACATTTAGTAGCATTGTATAGTCAAGTACTCTTACAATATATAAGCAGTACAACAATTGTTGTGACACATAAGTAGAAGAGTATCGTAAGCTCTGTATATACTGACTATAGGAAGCTTTGATCCTCGGCATATGTCATCGAGTTTGCTTTTAAATCTTCTTAGTAATTATCTAACCGTGACTATAAGCTTTCATTCATCAGTAACTATACTAAAAATAAAACATTTGACATGAATTAGAAACAGAATTATATGCTTTCTGCTCATGTGAACCAGTTAAAAGATTTGCTACTATTGTTTATAAGAAGAAACTTTCCGCTAAGTAATATTTAGACACGCGTCTTACAACACCCTATTCCTTAAAACAGGACTATATCTTTGATAGGTAGAATCATACGATTGTTTAATTGAGCAACAATAACTTTCAAATTATAACGCATCACAGAGAATAAATACGTAATTCAGTCAAGAATAAAATGTTTTTCACAATTTTAATTAAAAAAACTTCTTTTTTTGTATATCTATCCTACCAATGAACTTGGTAAACTTAATAAGAAAAACATCTAATTGTATTTTCATTTGTTTCCTTTTTCTATTTTTAGAGAATTTCGTAATGCATTCTTTGAAATTCTTCATTATAATAATTGTAAATGTTTTCCATTATCATCTCCTAGCAAAGTTCGTACATCTATTAGTAAATCCAATCATTCAATGAATACCAAATATACACCACCAATACAATCACGACAACCGAGTGTTATACCCTATTGTAATTCTTCACAACGTAATGGTTGTCTGTCATGTGAAATATCTCCAATTCCATCGAAGCTCATACAAAAAAAGACTAGTTTTCTAATAAACAATGATAATACGGATTCATTAGAAATGCAAATGATTACACATCAGCGTCAAACACTTGAAGCTTTTTGGGAACTTGAGCATCTTATACCAAATGGTGTTCCTAATCGAGCATCAATTGTTGAATTAAGATCAATAGTACAAGAACAAGATGATAATATTGTTGAAACACCGACGGAAAAAAATCAAGATTAAGATGAAATATATATATATATATATATATATAAATTGTTTTCATCACTTGTTTTAATGTCTTCTCATTCCACTAGTCATCTTTTTTTACACGTGCTCTCAATAACGGTGACTATATATATATACATATATATCAAATGACGATACCCAGTGTGTTTTTTTTGTGTGATATTTGTGAACTTTTGTTTTTCTTTTTATTGATTTCCAATAAGAAGATTTTTGACTGTGATAAAATAATTTAGATTTGATACATATTCAATTGTATTTTAGTGTTAAATATTATAGAGCAAAGAATAATTTTTTATTACTGATTTTTTTAGTTCTTCTGTAAGCAAACTGATTTGCTCGTAGGAAGTTTTTATTTACAATTATACGTATATTTTCATCGGTTTAAATAATACTATATCCGATGATTCAATAGTACATTTAGAAAAGTGTCGATATGATGAATTAGTACAGCTTCGTCGACTCCAACTTCGCCGAATAAAAACCTTGACCGAAAAATATCGAATCAAATTTGACCCATTCTAGATATAGAATTTTATCCTAACTAACTACTTTAATAGTAACTTGATTAATTAACCCCACCTGACTTGATAACCAACTGAATTGATAACCCACACCCACACTCACATCTACGCCCTTACCGATATGATGACTTTTATGGTTAGTTAGTACATTTGTTTTTTCGTTTCTTTATTTTCATATTGACTATCTCGATCCATATAATAGTTAAGCGTGTGTCTATAATACTATAATGTAAGTTAAATCTAAAATGAATGTCTATTTTATGACGAGACTTTAATATTATTTTTACAAATGACCTACAAGATCAATATATTTTTTCATCAATTCATCGTATTATGTACACGATAAGCGATAGACAAAACTCTACATCCTCGTTTTATCTTTATTACATAAATTTTATATTCGATAGGAATACTCAGCAGATTTATTGTTAAAGATTTTATCATAAATATTTTGTGTTCTTTCATCTAGTACTCTACTCGTATTTATCTTATCCTAGTATTTATTTTTATACTTGTTTCGTTCTTATCAATTGCATACAGTTGTACTTTGGATGCCAACTCAATTGAAGAGTTTATAAACGAATAACTGATTCATATTTTTCTTTTTTGTGGTAGATTTCTTTTGTAAAAATGTTAATATCTCGAGCATTTCGATTATTGAGATACTCTCCTGTACTAATTAATAGAAAAAATTTATCGGAAAAACTTTATAGAAATTATCACGCAGATTTAAAATTAAAATCTATTAATGATACGCATGCAACTTTAATTATTGATGGTAAAGAATTAAAGTATGATTGGATATTTTTACGAGATTCATGTCACTGTCATCAATGTATTGATTCATCATCAAAACAAAAACTACATAGAACAACAGATGTTCCATTGAATATTTCGCCACAACAAACAAAAATTCAAGTATTGGACAACAATAATCTTGAAATAGTTTGGAATCAACCATTATTAAATCAAACAGCAGATATTGATAAACATCGGAGTTTATATTCAAGTTCATGGCTTCGAACATATTCAACATCGGAAAATATTGCACGTGCAAGATATAACGATCGACCCTATGTTTATTGGACTCGAAATAATATTCAACACGTCGATTTACATGTTAAATGCGATGATTATCTTCATTCTGATCAAGGACTTTATACTGCATTGAAACTTCTAAATGATTATGGTATTGTTTTTATTGATAATGTTCAAGGAGAATTTACTGTTGAACGTCTTGCCGAAAGAATTGGTGTAATTCGACATACATTCTATGGTAAAACATGGGATATACAAAATGTTAACCAACCAATTAATATAGCTTATACGTCACTAGAACTTGGTCTTCATATGGATTTATTATCTTTTGAAGCACCGCCGGGCCTACAATATTTGCATTCACTTGCTAATGATGTCAATGGAGGAAACTCGTATTTTGCTGATGCATTTCGAGCAGCTGAAATTCTTCGTCAAAATGATCCAGAAGCTTTTGAAATACTTTGTTCGTATCCGGTTACGTTTCATTATCGAAATGATGGTCGACATTATCATTTTACTCGTTCAACAATTGTATTAAATAGATTTTCTTCGAATAATTGCATTGAACATGTTAATTATGCCCCACCATTCCAAGCTCCATTTGAATGTGATACTTCAAAACCTGAATTTCGAAAATTTATTAAAGCTTTTCATAGTTTTCGTGATTTAATAGAAGATAGTAGTAATCAATTGGAAATACTTTTAGAAAAAGGTCAATGTGTTATATTTCATAATCGTCGTGTTCTTCATGCAAGACGTGAATTTGATGCATCAAGTGGTAATCGATGGTTGAAAGGAACGTATACAGATCTAGATAATTTTAAAGATAGATTACGAATTTTTCGAGAAAAATTTGACAAAGTTTCACATCTTGAGTTGTAAATAAAAAAATTAACATTTAATAAAATATTTTTGTTTTTTACTGTGAATCGTTTTGTTTTCTTTCGTTATCTTATTGTTGATATAGAATCAACATTATTCATAAGATTTTTATTATCTCCTGCAATCGAACAATGAAAACATGTGAAAACATGAGATGTCTAGTTCGAATTGGAATATAAATGGACACTCAACTGCATGGTATCAATTCGAAAATAAGTGATAGAAATAGATTTAGTTTGAGATGGAATGGGTGTGGGCTGAGGAGGTAAAGAGGTAACTGTGGGTGGCGTTACGAGTGAGAGGGTGGGTAGGAGTGGTACCGGGGTTACTTTACATGTGGTTGTGGTTGATGGATACTATGGAGGAGTGCTCGAATGTGGATGAGGGTGAAGGGTATATATGTATTAATATGTCGCATATATCGGAAAGTTAAACTAAAACTAAATCTAGGAATAGATTTAATTTTAGTTTAAATTTCTTTTTTTCCATTTATATTCGAACTCGAATTAGACAGCTACTCTACTGCACATACGCGGAACAGTACGAATTTTTAGATTTTGAAAAAAAAAAAATAAAAGAATCTTCGTAGAAATAAAATAAATTTATTGAATTAGTAGATAGAACTCTAGTTGTGAAATATCTGATATACATACATATATATGTTTGACATAGTGTCAAATTCTGAAGAGAATAACTATTAAAACGATCAGTTTAACTAACAATCATCCATTTCATCAATTACAAAAGACAGATTCAGTATCTATGAACACTTATGTAAATGTAAATCACTCGTTCGTTCTATCAAACCAACATTTTACTCGCAATCGAAGAAGGATGGTATGGTGAGATATTTCCATAATTCACTCTCCCCCGACGATTTACCGGGGAGTCCCGCAAAATAATGAAATCCCTTGGGACTCTCTGGGGATTCTTCTAGGGAGAGTTAACTAGGGATTTGCTTATTCCTATAAATAGGGAGCTAGTGATTAGAGCAAACAAATTTTGTTTTGTATTTTAAACTGCTTGATTTGGTTAAGAAATAAACATAGAATAACACGAGAAACTACTGAAATCAGTATTTGACATAATTTCTTCTTATAAGGAAAAGGTTCAGTAAGATTGATCTTCATATTTGCGAGGATTAAAATAACAACCTAGAATAATAGAAATATAAAAGCATGATAATAAAAATTTGCACTTGCCTTTTATTCTTTAATGAAATTTTTAGGAATAGCATATCATACTGTTTGATTATATCAAATGTTCCATTGATATCGCCACTAAATGGAAGAAAAACAATCCAAAATTAATAAAATAAAAATAATGCCATATACTTTCTAGCACTCATGTGTGATGCGAGCGATAATTCGATATGACAGGATTTAGATCCCTCTAGGGGTGTCACACTTCCTATTACCTTCACTTCCACTTACCATGGTAACAGTAAGTGAAACCACTTACTACTTACTGGTAAGAGGTAAGTGATTTTTACCTATTACTTACCAGGAAGTGGTAAGTGACTTTGCTTACCACTTACTAGTAAGTGATAACTCCGTATCACTTACTACTTATTGGTAAGTAGTAAGTAAAACCACTTACCACTTGCCAAGTAAGTAGTAAGTGAAATCACTTATCACTTCCTGGTAAGTAATAGGTAAAATTCACTTACCACTTACCAGTAAGTAGTGAGTGATTTCACTTACTGTTACCATGGTAAATGGAAGTGAAGGTAATAGGAAGTCCGATATTCGTACAGAAAATATCATCCATTATACAAAGGAGTTGAGAGCTATTCAGTAGTCCCGTCTTGCAGTCTCGTACAGCAGAACTCGAACATCATCGTATTATGGTCCGTTGAAAGTAATTCAGCTAGAAATGACGAGGAAATATTATTTACTACTTACCACTTTCTAAGTAATACTGCTTACCACTTACCTAGTAAGCAGTAAGTAAAACCACTTACTACTTACTAGTAAGTAGTAAGTGAAATCGCTTACCACTTACCAGGAAGTAGCAAGTGATACGGGCTTACCACTTACTAGCAAGTAGTAAGTGAAATCACTTACCACTTACCTGGCAAGTAGTCAGTAAAAATCACTTACTACTTACTAGTAAGTAGTAAGTGAAATTACTTACCACTTACTGGCAAGTAGTAAGTGATATCATTCACCACTTACTGGTAACAGTAACAGGAATATGACACCCCTAGATCCCTCATCAAAAGATACCATCGGATATTCACTATTTGACATTTTACAATGATCAAGTATTTTTACTTTCTGTTTGGAAAAACAAAAACAAATTAATTTTAGTATTTGAACGATATCTCTTCCATTTCCTGCTCGATTAGGCTGCGTTTTTTTCAAAATAGTCGTCATCGGAAGCTCTACAAAAGCAGATATTTTTATTTTCGGATATAATCGCGGTCGTCCTTTGATATGTGATAGAATCGATTAGTCCAAGATGCGCAACGTTCAAATATTACTTCTGAACGAATGCTTTTAAGAGCACGTTTTAGTTCGGTGATAAGTATTTCTTTGGAGATGACTTTATCCCAATTGATGGCATGACTGAGTTCATCCCATGTTGCGTAATCCAGAGAATTCAAATCCGGACTGTTTGTATGCCAATGGTGTTTGTCTATAAATGATCGAAAATGAGTTAGACACCAGCTTTAATTACATTAAATAATGAATATGAGATTTGCCACCATCTTGCTAGAATATGTTCAATCACTTCTGAAAACATCGTCCCAGTATATTTAAAGAATTATAAAAGTTTTGCACATAATGCCAATTAATATAGAATACTGATACATAGATAGATTTCCAATTCATTTTTTTTTGTGCACAATATTTCTTAAACTTCATTGCGAAGTATAAAAGTATATTACTAATGTGTAAGAAACAAGCAGAAGTTATCGAGAATAAGTATAACTATTAAAATTAACAAGAGTATCTACGATGAACTTAGCGAGTATCGTGTATGGGGGTGAGCATGATGATGTGTTATATTATGTGCACGTCTCTAGTCATGCATTTCCGTCAGTTACACTTTCTCTTCTATAACAGCGATTGATAACGTATGCGTGGATAGAAACAAAGAGAAAACAGCAACGCGATAGATCAATAAGAGGGCCACAAGATCAATGTACGAGCATGCGAATATTGAGAAAGCAGTAATGTATATGAACAACAAATCATTCTATTTTACGTTCGTGAGGGTGCCTTTTTCTTTTTCACCAATGCATAAATAAAGCGCACAGCAGTCTTATATTATTTTCATCATTTCGTTGATGACACGAAAATCAAATGAGTAAATATTTCGATTCAGTATTCAATTAGAGAAAGGATTTTTCGAAGTAGTATTCAGTATACTTACATGATATTCGTTGTTTTTATGTATGCTCTCAATAAGATATTGAAAATGAACCTCACTGTAAGCATCTTATTCGTTGTATACCAGCTTATCTTTACGGATATAGTTATAAATATTGTCGATTAAATTGTAGAGCTACTAATGTTTCTATTAACAAGTCCGCATAGTTAAGTTTTGAATATAGAATAATGGGGTTACATGAATTTCGGCCCACGGAATTTTCGGGCCGGACTTTCGACCAATTTTATACAAATTCATTAAACTCGGAGAAAAAACGAATTTTTTTGAAAATTGGTTTCTAGATTTTTTTAGTACCGAGCGAAGCGTCGTAGTGCCGAGCGAAGCGGCGTTTTTCATTCCATAGAAGAAAAACGAGTTGAAATAAAAAAAACGAATTTATACCTAATTTACATCACAGCAAATTTCGAAAAATATACCAGTAATAGTGAATTCTACATCTAAAATAAAACTAAAAAATGTGCATCCTTAAGCCAATATTGAGATTACACTAGATTCGTTCGTGCTTGTTGTGGATAAACGATATGTATCTTAAAACGCCATACTATGTTCTATAATAATAGAAGTGCTGTTTTTAACATTATATTACTTCGCTCGGCACTACGACGCTTCGCTCGGTACTAAAAAAATCTAGAAACCAATTTTCAAAAAAATTCGTTTTTTCTCCGAGTTTAATGAATCTGTATAAAATTGGTCCGAAAGTTCCTTGGGCCGAAATTCCGGTCTCCCGAATAATGCACCCTTTTCATGAAACCGTGTAGTAATCTATCCTTAACGGCATTATAATGATTGCTTCGTTTGAAAACAAAGAATAATCTACCCTTAGAAGTGAAATACGATACACTTTCCCTTAACTGTATATTAATATATTCTTGATTGTTGAACAGTAAAATCTTCAAATTAAAATATAAAGTATAAAAAGCTTAAAAAAGCTTTCTGCATCCTTTGTACATTCATGTATTCTTTCGGTACATGAATCCTTCAAGAATAAATGTCATCCATATAAACTCTTCAAGGATTTGCGAGAAAAATGTTTAAGAGTAAAACTTGATTATTTTACACTTTGTTTTACTGTGTAGTCTCAATAATAGAACAGAACAGAAGAACGGTGCGTGTTTAATCTTATATTATTATCTACCTTTATAAAGATACCGTTAAGTAATTTTATTCGTTAGTACGGCCACAAAAGTGCACGCGAAGCACAGATATTATCATCAAATACTGTTCACTTATTCAGGGCCATCACAGTACTATTGTCGGATTATTATCAACAGTCATAAGTATATACTTTTGATAAAAATTCACTCTTGACAAGCATGGCATCAAATAAATTGAGTGTTGTTGATTATGTTATTCTTGTAATACTTCTTCTATCATCAGCTATCATTGGTGTTATATTCGGATTTTTTAAATCAAGCAAAAATTCGGCTAAAGAGTTTCTGTTGGGTATGATTCATCTTTCAATACACTAATAGAAACTATATCATCCTCTTATAGCCAATGGAGACATGGGAGTAAGTATACAATTATATAACAACTCATTTCTATTTATTCTGTACAGGCATTGCCAACAGGACTCAGTATTCTGGTATCTTTTCTTTCCGCTGTTACTTTATTAGGTACACCCAGTGAAGTTTACGTGTTTGGTACTATGTATTTTTATCAAGGTAAACCGAATGCAGATTTCTAATGAATGATTATTATAATTTATTTCATATTAGGAATTGCTTTAATGATCGCTTCACTAGTGACAGCACTCGTATTTATGCCAAAGTTTCGAGAAATGCAGTGCACCAGTGTCTACGAAGTATTCGTTTTTTGTTTTCAATTTTCAAAGGACAGAGGAAAATATTCTAGTATTTAGATCAACGTTTCGATCGAACCGTACGTTTGTGTGTTTCATTTAGTTTCTCAGTGATCATGGTAAGAGCTTATTTATTTCCTGTGCTCAATTTTCTTTTTCATACGCAGTTAATCTATATGGCAATTGTGCTGTACGGACCCGCATTGGCGTTAAGTCAAAGTAGAAAAAAATTTAATGCGAGACACGACAAATCAAAGACTACTATTTTTATTCAGCTGCTGGCTTAAATATTTGGCTTTGTGTTATTTCAATCGGTGCTATTTGTACGTTCTATTCTTCTGTGGTAAAATTGACAGATAATTTATTCGAGAAAAGCACCTCGGTCTAATCATTGTTTCTTAATTTAGGGTGGTATGAGAGCAGTTATTTGGGCCGATGTTCTACAAGCAATAGTAATGGCTATTGGTCTTCTTGCAGTCATCATTCAAGGTTTGAGAATCATCGGCAATGCGTTGACTTTTTCCATACCGTTTTAGGTCTGATTTCTCTCGGTGGCTTTAAGCGAACGTTTTCCATAGCATCACGAGGTGGCAGAATTGAATTTGATAAGTACACAATTACAACTATTTTTTTTCTTTGATGTAGGGCTATAATTTAAGTTTGGAGAAAGTAGATAGTTGTGACCCTCTACTTTTTCATTCTATATGCTCAATCGATAGAGAGCATCGTATTACTCTTATCCTGAAGAATTTACAATATTTTATTTTCATTAATCCACCCTATTTTGGGCTCAAAATCAATATTTTTATCTCTGAATGTATCTAGTTTTTCAACGATTTCAAAGATTAAACAAGAGAAAAAAAACATAATTTCTATCTTCCTAATGATATTATGTATGATGCATAACATAGGAAGTGACAAATAATTATGATTACATTCTTATTTTCGACAGTTCAAATACATACACCATCATGACTCTCGATGATTTTTGACATATAGTATCATTTTTTGTTACAAATTAAAATTCAATTAGTCCTTTCTTTACTATTCTCATTCTATTCTGACTCTATTCCATCAGTAATATCATCAGTCTATATATTAATTTATTGACTAGATAGAATCTACAGAGTTCAAGAATGATCAAAATATCGTTATTATACTTACTATAGCCTGTTTCCATTCCTATAGAAATCTTTCCAATACTAGTTGCTTCGTTGTTGAAATATATATGAATTGAGCATATAGAGAACTGTTATCTGCATTGAAGAATCAGTATGCGTTTTAAGTTGCTTTTCTTACTGAAATTTCTTACAACGAAATTCTATTGTTTCCTCTGTTTTCAGCGTTAGCATTGATCCTCGTACTCGTCATACAGTATGGTCATTGCTCATCGGTAGTTCAATCAATGCACTTGCCACATATGGATTTAATCAAGCACTAGTACAACGTTATATGTGCATTCGTTCAACACGGGGTGCTAAACAAGCTCTTTTTATTAATGCAATCGGTTCTGCACTGATCGTTTTTGCATCAGGTCTTATTGGAGTTATCCTCTATGCATATTATGCCGATTGTGATCCGTATACTAACAAAAAACTTCAAGAAATCGATCAAATTCTACCTTATTTTGTTATGGAAGTATTGAGCAATAAGAAAGGTTTACCAGGTGTATTTCTTGCTTGTATTTTTTCCGGTTCACTCTCGACAATTTCATCTGGATTGAATAGTCTAGCAGGTGTACTCATTGAAGATATCTACAAACGATTATTGGGCAGGCAATTAACTGACCAACGGCAAGGTTTTATTTGTAAAATAGTATCAGTCTTACTCGGAGTTCTTGTCATACTACTAACTTATGTAGTCAGCTATCTTGGATCGATACTCAATGCAACATTGTCTCTATTCGGCGTCTTCGAAGGTCCTATTATGGGTGTATTTGTTCTCGGTTTCTTTTTTCCACAAGCTAACCGACGAGGCGCACTTGTTGGGTTTTGTGTAAGCCTAGCCCTAGAATTTTGGATCTTTTTAGGTGCTCAAATTACGAAAAACCAAATGAAAAGTGTTAGTTTACCATTTTCGATAGCCAATTGCTCTGATATGACGAATAGTACATTAACGAATTGGACTACGAGTACAGTGGTGCCCACTCTTTTCAAGTAAGATCAACAGATAGATTGATTGAGTAGATGAAATTTGTGAATCAGTTAATTTTATTTTAAAAACAAATGTGATTTCTATTAAGGCGTAATCCTCTGATTGACTTATATTCAGTTAGCTACTTGTGGTACACTCCAATTGCAGTTGCTACCGTTATATTCGTTGGTATCATTGTTTCCTATTTAACTCATCCATTACAACCACATGAAATTGATCGGAAATTGATAATATCAGTCAGTGATTTGTGCTGTTGTTTTTCACCAAAACGATGGTGTGGATGGCTCCGATGTGGTGCTGGCGATGAAGCCTATCATAAGAAACCGGTATATAAATATATGGATAGCTTTTTTCATAAATGCAGAGTTTTATTTTAGAGCGATACTAATGAAATTGAAATGATGGCACATGACACGTCTAGCTCTAATCATACAACTCCTACTGCACAAACGCCCGATAAAAAGTTCAAATTAGTAATGAAATCAAACATGGTGGCACCTGCTTCAATCGACGTTCCATCTTCTATACCGGTTGCAAACTGAAAATCTAGATTGCATATTACTTCATTCGAAATACAATGAAAGAGACTATTTCTTCACAGTTGCATAAAAATGATATGCGCTTAGATACATTCAAAAACAATAACTGATAAAAAAAGAATTATAAAATTCATTTTTTATTCACTTGATTCTTATCATTGCTGTAACGTTATGTATTGATATATTATGAATGCCCTTATAAAGCAGACAATCTCAATGTGTAATCAAAATTCAAGTTTTCGGTACGGAGAACTTTTCGGATGACCAATGCTTTTAAAAGTCATCAATTATCAATGACCTGTTAGTTTCAGTACGTGATTTTAAGAAACATCCTAAAACAGAAACTTCACTCATCATTGAAACAAAATGCGTGAAGAGCTTTCAATCACTGTGTAGAAATTTTTCTCTGTAATTCGACTTGATCAATAAGTTTATTTTCTCTGTAAAAAAACAAATCATCAGTAATAGGAGATTGTTGGTTACTTTTATTTGTGTATGATGTTTGTCGTCAGAAAATTGAAAATGGATATTTCAATCTCGACTGCATTGCAAACTCAACTACTTAATTTTGAAAAATCAAAACACTTCTATGAGAATGAATATTATCAAAGAAAAGGTTCTTTTGTCGCAATCAGGTATTCTGCAAGAAGCCTTCGGCTAGAGTAGCATTTCGTAAATCGACTGTTTTATTTGTTCGAACTGTTGGACGATGTAGCTTTTTCGGTGTCTCTTGCTCCTTTGAGTTTGGCGGTGTTGGTTCATTTGACTCTGGGGTCACTTGCTCAGGTTGAACTTTGTTTGTGGACGGCATTCTTCAATTAGAACAGACAAAAAAATGTGAACTTTCATATTAAATAATTTACTTTTTACAGTATCGCACAGTCTTAAAAATGATCAGGCCACTAACAACAACAAAGAAGAACACTCCAGCTAACCCAACACCAACGATCAAGCTGGTATTGATTTGACTCTGGCAAAAGAATGAAAAAATAATCAGGTCATTTTTGTTTTGAAAGAAGCTTATTGAAACAACCTGTGTACTAGACGTTGAGGAAGTATAATTCAATGATCCAACAGTTGTATTTGAATTTGAATTCGATGTCGAAGCTGTGTTAAAAATGAAATAAAAAGTAATATTTTCCACGGTTCAAAGAACATTTACTAGTCGCAATCGCAAAACAAATGTTGCGCCACTTTTAAAAACACTATTAACATAATCTCTCTACCATTAGAATGTGAAAGCGCTATATAGCTTCTGTCAGTATCTACACGAATATAATTTTCTTCGATATATCTTGGAACTCACTCATTTATCTGTTCTGACTTAAACCGGTAGAACTATAATAAGTAAGCAGTTGATATATATTCATGAGATTTTAGTGATATATAATAACAAAGTTGACTTCAAGAGGTCTGCCATGATCTGTTGGGATTTGGGAGGTGTGGGTTCAAATGTCTACCCTTTATACTTCAACATTCTTTTCAGATCGTGTTGCACAATATATCAACTCATCCAAATATTAATAAAGTTCAAATATATCTAATGCTTTGGTCAGGAACGAATCGAAACCACTGCGCTGTGAAAATTCTCAAGATAGAAAAATAAAACACCGGAAAAAATGAATTGATATTTGGTGCGTTTATCGAATTCCCAGATAAAAGAATAAGAAATCTGACATTTTGAATCTATAAACTCAACAGTAACGATACTACCTGCAGTCGTATTGTTCAATAATACGCTTGTGGTCATGTTCGTGACGTCAAAAAAGAAGCGTTTTTAGGTTGTACAGTGATTTGCAAATCTACTCACTAGTTGAAGAGTTGAATGTTGTACTAGTCGTTGTTGTTGTTGTTGTTGCTAGAAAAGAAATGTTTTTAGGTTGTGCAATGATTTATAAATCTACTTACTAGTTGAATAGCTGACTGTTGTATTAGTCGTTGTTGCCGCTAGAAAAGAAGAGATACAACATGATTTGTATGATCACAAATATCCTACTTATAAATGTTGGAACAGAACAATTGAAACCTAGGCCTGACGAACACGTTGCTATATTTGTATTGCACATGTTTGTGAGGCAATAACAATAGCAACCATAATAAGAAACGTTATTGCTCATAAGAATAGGCACCGCTAAAAGCAATTGGGTCGTTGATTCGAACATACGGTAAGACACACCGGTGGAAGTGCTGTAGTTCGTAGCAATAGTCCAGAGAACATTATTATTGATTTGCTGATAAGATTCAACTAATCCATATCCTAGTGCGACGCTATAAGCATAGTATGGATCATAGTAGATGGAACATAAAAACATATTTGAAGCAAAATAGATCATACAAGCAGATTGGTTGAACCCAAGCCAACTACTGAACATGTTACACATGGTGTACGATGAAGGTAGTGCACTGTCAGCACAAGTCAATGGTACTGTGAGATTCGGAAGGATCTGAGGAAGTTGCGCAGGAGCAGCGTTTGCTACCAAGCTGGCATTTACCATTGCTTGGCAAGTTGTATAGTTAAGTACGCTGGAGTTCGCCACATAGTTGCCTGCAGTAACGCATATATCTGTATAATTCCAACCTATGTAGGGTCGAGTCGAACAGTTTCCATATCCAATAGGAGTATTGGAGGAAAACATTGGCCCCGAGCAATGGCGGGATTCCATCAGAGCTGCGTAGAGGTTGCTATAAACCAGAGTTGGTTGCACATGCCAATCCAAATAAGTATAGTTATTGATTATCACGTTGCCGAACTCTACTGTTGTATACCACGCCGCATTTGATGCAAGATTCAAGGAAATTGGATTAACAGGAAAAAAACCATATACGGTTGGCATGAGAATCAGAAAAGAGAAATATAGCCAGACCATCCTTACTGCTTTGAAAGAGAAATGGCGTGGATGAGAATTGTGCCACACTATATATACACAGTTTGAATGATTTACCGTTTTGAGATGTCGCCTGAGAGTATATTTCGTCATTCTTATGATGTTAAAAGTATTTTACTGTTTATTGCTAATGTTTATTTATGGAGATAATCAGAAGAAAAGGCTGTAAGAATTTTCGGCGAAGAAATGTTGGATTGAGAGAGTAAGATCCAGTGAAAAGATTTCGCTGAAAGGATGTTATTGTTGACGGAATATTTCATCGAACAAAAACATTTGCCTGTCATGCGCGTGTACAAGAAGCAATGCATAGGTGTGAGTGTTGGTGATGCTGAGCACGTGTGTGTATCGG